ATATTAATTGGACCTCTGGGAAAACTATTAGTCTGGGGAGTAAACTGATTTTGATCATGCCTAATTCTAAAATTTTGATTATGGTGATTATTGTTTTGAAAATAATTTGTAGGGCGAATCGGTTGTACATAATTAAAATTTTGGTTACTAAAATAATTTGGATTTTGTGAAAATTGTTTAACGGGTTCGATAGAAGTATTAGGTAAAACTTTTGATTGAATTGGAGTTCTGAAGATATTTTGTGTATATTGAAAATTTTCCTCTTCAATAATTTGGGTCATAGCTAATTCTATACAGCTTGGATTTTTAAGTCTTATAATACTTTGTAATTGTCCTGGTAATCCTCTAATAAACGTCCTTAAACAAATTTGATCGTATTGACGTAAATGAATTACTTTGCTTGCATTATCCATAGTATCGGCAGGAAATGCATTAATTTTTTGAGCAAGGATACTTCTTAAAACTTGTAATCTTTTCCCAAAATCTAAAGGATGTTCATTTTTAAAGGGGGTGGCCATAAACAAATCCTGTTCTAAACATTCTAAGTTTCGTCTATCGCCAAAACAATTTAACAAAGCTCCTTTAATATTGTCCCACGTTACTAACTCCATTCTACAGCCTACTAGAATTTGTGCGCGATCAACAAGTTTCATTCTTATAGTTCTTAACAAATATTGTTTTAAAATTTCGTCGTTTCCTTGACCATATGTATCAAAAAGGAAATCTCCAGCTGATAGAAAACTATTTAAAGTGTTGGAATCACCATTATATGGCAGAATACTATCTATAAACATTTTTAACAAAGTGTAATTTACACCTGAATTCGACGATTGATTAGAATTCATTTTCAAATTGATTTGACTATTCTCTACTTTCTGTTCCACTAAATTTAATGAAGTAAAAAACGCACTTAAATTGTCGACGTCTTTATCTTCGTTCATAAATTTAATTGATTTTGAAATTTCTTAAAATTGAACTTAAAACTAAGAATCCTTAAAATTATTTCCACCGTCCTAACCAGGGAAGATGAAAGGAGAACAATAGGAATTTTGGGCACTAACCTTGATTTCTCTTAGTCGTCAGCCTATTCTTCCTATTGGAATTTTCCTTGCGTAGCACTGCTTGCGGGGGTGATTTCTTGCCTTCCTTGCCCTCAGTCGAACTCAATCACGTTGGGTTTGTCAGACAGTCTATCACAGGTTCGTTTTGGAGTTTAAGGGTTGAAACCCACGTTTCGCAATCAAATCGTCCCGATGACGTGGCTTTGACCGAAAACTACCCCAAATCCGTCACGACTGCGCCAGTTAAGGTTTTCAAACGAAGGATCTCGTTTTTAAAAAACACTTTTTTATTTTGCAAACAGAACTACGAGGTTTTCTTTAACCCGCTACAAGGAGAACTGGACGCAAAGCACAGATTTGTTATATATATAAAGTTTTTATGCAAGCGTCGCGTCGCAGATACCGGATATACTGAAGCTAGCATTTCATCAGCATTTTCTATCACATAATTTGTATTTTATGTAAGTTTTTGCCTGGTATAACGAAACAAATAGAAAAAAATAAAAAATAGATGTAGTCTATTCCAAAAATACCTGAAAATATGTTTTTTTAAGTATTCCAAATTTGGTATGTCTATAGTACTCGAAAAGTGATTTTCGAGTCTTATTTTGTTCTTATATGAATACAAACAGTTCATTAAAAGTTTGTTAAGATATGGGCTAGGTTTGTGTGTGTGTGTGTGTGAGTTTGTGTGCTTTACTGCTCCAGAATTGGAAGATTCATCAAGATTTTACAAGAGTCACAGAAGGTCTCATTTAACACGCGTTGCAGGAGATTAAGCCTTTTCATTCAGAGTTATGTAAACCTGCAAGTCTATTACTTTTAGGTTAAATATTCAAAAACCAGGCAAACTTATTGGAAATTAACTTAATTATAAAATATGTGTCTGAACTGAAGCGACAGCTAACTGAAAATATTTTATAATGAAAATTTGTGCCCATGCCAGTAGCATTCTGATATGTTAATTCTGTATATGTTATTGGAAAACTATTCATAAAAAAATAAGGTTACCAAATTTCTGTGGAAGTTAAGGGCTCGACTGTAATAATTACAGTCTAACTAAAATTTGTTCAAATTGAATCCATGTCCAAATAATGCACGTGCGTTATTTATAAAGGACCTTGTTTTGTCGCGGTATTGGCAGAGGGCCAAAAACGAAAAAATTGATTGACTATCGCGCATCAGACTTCTGTTTTAGCTCTAACGATTTTTAATTAATATTTTTTTAAATTTAGATTTGTCGGGTAATCGTTCCAATTCCATAATACGATCAGATAGGCTGGCCTATTATTCGTGTGCGTGGGCTACATTGAGAGATCGTTCCAAAAATACTGTTATTTTGAGTACTTCCAATGACCTTGTTTGTTTGTTGTATAAAAACTTGTTTAATGAATTTGCTACTTAAGGAATTTTCGTTAGAACAATGCAAACCTATTTAATTAAAATTAGATCCAAGCATAATTATTATTTGTTCATTTTTCACAACACCATCTTTGTACGACAGTAGTCAAAGAAAGAACAGAAAATGAAAAATTAAAACAAAGAATAAAGTACGCATAGTACGAAAACTTATAGTTATCTGAAGGAAATGTAATATACAAACAACAATATATAAAAAAAAAGAAGATTTCTACTACTACAATACACAAAATAAACACTTCCGAATGAGTAGAACAAAATTGGAGCTTGCAAAGACTTATTGTACCAATATAGAAGTTATAATCCTTAATACATTTTCACAAGAGTTGAAAAAATATTCTGACAATATTAAAGTTTTGAAAATTGAAAATCTGTATTCAAGAAAATTGCTTTTAGTAATTTGACTGAGTACGCTACATATTAATTTATGTCGTTATTGTTTCTTACTATTATGTGTGTGTGTATTTTCTGTACGTTTAAATGTTTGTTTGTATATACCCACATATTAATATAAATATTATAGTAATAGTATAACTAAGAGTGCATTTAAATCACCGATCAATAGCTAAACGACAGTTATTGTTCGATAATCTAGATCTAGCAGTTTCTTTGACGACAAAATTATTAAAACTGAAATTTAACACATTTTTAGATGGGCGTGGATCATGACAGCGGATATTCGAATATTTAAATTTAACCTAGCTAGATAGCACCAACTATATAATAAAATTCACGAACATACAATTGAAAACCCGGAAATTCTGGCTTTAAGTTTTCCTGACACCCTAAAATTTTAAACTTTCACATTTCTGAGTATTGGCTAGCTCATAATAAATTCATCTGGGCTTACGATAAGCTTATAACATTTTTTTAAGATGGAAGAAATGTTTAGAATATTTGGACAATTTACTTACCCTATATCATGAAAGGAAACTTTTTCTTAGCTTCGTGTATTGAGAAAAATATTGTAGAATTTTTTAATTGAATACTACTAGCATTTTCACAACAAAGAAGGAAGAAAACAAATATAAAATTATACTATACAGGGTTTTCCAGTATTTACCGAAAGCTTTTCAAATTTGAACCACTTTGTGGGTAAGTTTGGCACAGATTACCAACAGCGGTATTCAAAAATATCGCTGATAGCTAAACGTCAACAAAACAGTATCTTCAAGAGTGTTAGTATTAGCTAGATATTAGTTTTTAAATATCGCAAGTCTCCCGAAAATGTTAAATACATCCCAAAATATACCGACGTCGTTTAGCTAAAACCCACGCAGATTGACGTACGATCCGGGTATTTCGCGAATAATCAGTCATTTGCCAGTGCCGATCGTATTAGAAGTGCCGCTAAAAGTGCCTCGTCAACGTATATCAGCGATGATCCTCCACGGGAACGCCGTGAGCGAGAAATTTCATAGTGAACCTGGCGAAGCTGCGATCATGTGGGTAAGATGTGCAACAAGCAATGCCAAAATGTTAAATGGGCGCTAGATAGGTATGAGGATAATTAGGTCTTTCAAACCCGCGTCTGTCGTAGATATTGCCGCCATTCTAATTTGTCCCGTTATCTCCGCTTTTAGACTCCAAAACGGGGTCACTGGGCAAGTATGTTTAAAAATCTGGAGTCTAATTAGGTCGGTTTCCGAGTAACGTAAAGGAGGAGTTGATCCCGTACGGCAATTTGTTTGGATTTAATTGATATATACCTCTCAGCCTTACAGATCATAACATCATCAACGCAATCCAAGGAGAGATAAAATAATGCCAATTAACTCCAGAATTTATCTTTCTTCTTTTAATTCCGGACCTAAAGAAAAGTTTTGGCTCTTCCAAACAGCTTTTGGGTATATCGGTTATAGTAGTACTGAATATCTTATATTAGCATTTAGCAGTTGAAACCAGTTAAGACAGTAAAGCCCTCCTGAAAATTTTATCTAATACTAACGGCACACGTTTGTACGAAGGTACCGGTGCATATCTTTCTTGTACGGTTGAATTGATGTCTTCGATCTGATCTAAGATTGCGCATAGCAAAATGTGCGACCAGTTTACACTTGGAAGCGAAAAAATAGGGCTAGGATACATTCGATTTTGGTCATTGTAGTAATGTCTCATCTTGTCCTATTAAAATGGATACCATCAAAATATTGATTTTGTGACGTGTAGTTGTGCTGTACTGAAATAATCTTAGTAGTCAAGAAATATTGTAATGTATTTTATATATTGATTCAATTTGTATCAACGACGTTATATTCAAAGTGGACCCGAACAAACCACAAGGCTCCAAATGCGCAAACGGTTTAATTAGCATTACCATATATTCCTATTTAACCTTAGGATCGCGGGATTAGGAAATCACTTATGTTCTCCTCAAAACACATTCTGTCGCGAAAAGGGTGGTGAGATGAGGTCATCCGCAAACTAAAGACGTCTCGGTATCATGTCCATTGTATTGTTAACCTCAACTAAAGTGTTTGTGCGTGTGTGTTTAAGTGTTGCGTCTCACGTTTGTTGTAGCCATATCGTACGACTCCGTTGGTGTTACCCGGCGCCAAAGTGAAAAGGGAAGCCGGTCCGACTGAGAGCTACCTACGTCATCATCCCAATCCATCAGTCAGGGCGCCTCCACACCATTTAGATCCGAATCATGTAGTCCGACAAAAGGTACTCCATTATCCTTTCGTTTGGTATTCGATATTATCCATTGCGATTGTTTGCAAACGAAAGCGCATGCGTAGAGGCGCGTAGTGGTTGTATTTGGCTAAGTGCGCCCGGATGGGGTATTTATATGAAGCAATATTTAGCTGCGGAGATCGTTTATCGACTACTAATTGCCAATTATAAAAATAACATTACTCATCGAGGTTGAATGGATTTGCGTCGCACGATCTGATGACACTTCAACACTGAAATTGTTGCGGGTATTCCTTTTTAAAGTTCATTGCAGTGTTCTTTTAAAATATTATAGCTAGCTATAATAATATAATAATTATAGCTAGCTAGCTACTTCGTGTTTATGACGTAAGTACTTGTAGAACTCCATCAAAGGTTGATTATATTGAGCCAATTTCAACATAAAAACTTCCACGGAATATGGTTCTTTAGATACATAGTGGGCAAAGAAAATTTTTTATTCAATTCTAATTTTTTCATCCTATTGAATCTTAAGAGTTCTGGCAATATGCAGTTAGTGTTAATGGGACTGTTGGACTATAGAGTATATCACAAAAAGAAAGAGAAGGAAAATATATAAAACCAAAAGAAACACCAAGACATTCCTATCTTAAACGTACGGAAACGGTGAAATATCTGGGGAATTTCACAATTTCGTATGAGTAAAAATTAAGTAAATATTCGCTTAGCATTTAATAAATAGCTTGTTGCTTTAAAGCATCAAGACAAGACCGCAACAAGTAAAAAAATAAAACCAAATATTGTAACTAACGTACACAAATGTACACATTTTTTTACTAAAATGTTCCGTTTTTGTCTGTTCGCTAATTAATCAAACGGTTGTAATTAATTGAACAATTAAGATTTGAATGGTTAGATTTCGCGTTTGTTAAAACAACAAACCATTATATTTGTACACTGCATAATAAAGCGTCTACGGGGAACATGTATTTACGGCAAAATCCAGTAGGTGGCATATTTGATATCGAGCCAAAAGCTGATGAATGTATCTATGTATCTTGCAGTAACAGCGGCCGCCTACAATTTCTGTTCGCGATCATGACATTAAACGGAATTAGTTGATTACATGAATGGCCGCGTTTTCAAAATTTCAATTATTCCTACAAATTATTCAAGTACGCTCCATCGTTAAATAAAGGAATGAAATATTATTCTCTGCCAATTTTGTAGCTGTTGAGAATTATAAAAGAGTAATAATTAGGGAGCGCGAGGTAATCTGAATTTAATATCGCCAACGAAGTGGTGGTTAGTGGTTAGTGCTATTAGCATAAGTAAATTGTCAATATTTTATTACTATCTTATAAATTTGGGACCACTAAATCAACATCCAGATAGTAAACTAGTAAACAAATCTTCCGAAACGCCATTCCCCTTAAATAATTTAGTAAAAATAGGAAAATAAAAATACCATCTAGCTTCGATTTTCGGCAACTAGTCTCTAAATATCATCTTTAAGTAGGAAAAAGTAAAAGTCCATTTCAACAGATGTCCAAAATGGCTGCAGTCTTAACATTGGGGGTTAAAGTTGCCGGAAGAAAGAAGTGTTGATGTGTATTTCGAAAATTCGGCGAATTGCGTTTGTGAGCAAGGTCCATTGATATGAATTTTGAAACAAAACCACTGCCTATTTTTCTGTTTTGGTGATATGAGCAGCTTGTTTTACACAAGAAATAATTTGTATTTATTCGTTGAACCTTGATATTTATGCTCAAAAAGTCGTACAAAACAACCAGCAAAAGAGTATGTAAAAAAACAAAATATTAGAGACTTTTCGCACCTCTCATTTTTTCCGCTAAGTTCCGAAAAGCAACCTCAACTTCATTTTACTTGAACTGTCACTTTTCAAATCTTTTTATTTCACTAGTTCCTTTGTTGGTTAGTCTATATAACATATAATGCATAACATCTATGTCAGTTCTATGATCTTTATATATTTGAATCAATTGATTTGAAGGTAAATTTTTGAAGCGGAGTATAGTTTGCTTTTGATTTTTCGAACATGTAAAATGTTGGAAAGCGAATGCAGTGTGAAGATAATGACTTAAAAGGAGGTCCGTCTCATTGGGGGGGGGGGGGGGGTTGATCATCAAAAATATCGCGCAAAATAATATTTCTTATAAGGTTATGATTTTGAATTACGACAAGTGCTCCTCTGCGTCTAACAACTTCATCAAACACTTTTCTACTGCGACAATAACTTTTTTTTCTTTTAAATAATGAAAAAAGTCTAGAATTAACTTAAAATAACTTCAACAAAAGAGGACGTACACAAACTTATAACCAAAAAAGCGACATAAATATGAAATGTCAATGACAGGTGCAAAAAGTCCCTATTATACATAATTGATCAAGGCGTTAAGCAGATCAAAATTATGTTTTGAAATTTATATACTAACGACATTACGAGCCATATTATCTATTTCGAAAAATATTAACGCAATATTTTGGGACAGGTGGCCAATTCGGTGTTAGACAGAATATCAACGGGCGATCCGAACAAACAGGTTATTATTACAACGTGTACAGGTTTTAAGATGTTTGTCCACACAGCTTGTGTTTTCACTGACACTGACACAATTTCCCGACCTAATATTAAATTACACCCAATTTACTTGTTTTAACGTTATCTAATCTCGTAATTTTCTATTGGCTAATTGTAAACATTAACCGATAAATAACCGAGTTTTTGGCAGTGTACCAATGACGTCGTACACTGCAAGCATGTCTACAACCTGTGTGTACGTCCAAACAGGTCCGAATTCTAATTTTACGGCGCCGATTTAAAACCTCCTTCCGCGGCGCGTTGCTTCCGTCCTCTCTGTACGTTTTCTATTATTTCGCCGGAGGTTTTGATATTTTAAAGGAATCTCTTTTGCGCAGCTCGTACACAAACAGTTCAACTCGCCGATAAACTTGTACAGCGAACCCAACGTCGTCGAAACGATCCATAAACAGACGGGAGTCAATCCGTAAGTAATAGAAATCCGGAATTCCGGAATATGTTTTTGATCTTGTTGCCACTTGGGGGCGCCTGGATATATTGAATTTGGTTTTATATTAGTAAAAAATAGCACTTAAAATAGTATATGGCGCATTTTCACTGCACTTTTTTTTTTGTTACAAAAAAAGTAAAATATGTCGAGCTATTCAAATCCTTTTCTAGGAGCTAATAAAGACAATAATAATCGTACTTAACAAAGCGTCAATGCCGATTAAGTGACAAGTAAATGAGAAAATACAAAATTTTAAATAATTCCGAAAAATATTTTGGACGATAATACATATACACTGCGTTCATTTGGCTAAATAATTAAACAAATGGTTATACAAAGTAAAGTAAATAATTTGATTGGTTCAATAAGAGATTTTTCCACAAATACGTACAGTTTAAATTTGACCTGAAAACGCCAATAAATTTTGATGGCTTTGCAGGATTTCAAAGGTCAAATTCAAAGAGTGTAGTAGTTTTTGAAATTGAAATTTCGATTGAACTCGCATCACAACTATCCTGACACTATTTTCCAAGTTATCCAAAAGATATTAACCATGAGATTCGAGATAAATATATAAAAATATCATCCGATTTTTGGAAGTAAATCATTAATTGACGTTTGTCTCGTCTTTGAAAGCAGGGCAATTTTTTTGCAATTCTTCCCATTATATAGCACGCATTTTATAAAACTCGGGTGGTGTTATCGAATAAGCAAAAGTATCTTTTCTCCAGAACTGTAAAATCTAAGTGCCTCCAAAGTGGTTAAAAATTTAAAAAGTACGAACGTCCGAATAATTAGCTGGCTACCCTAGCCTTTCAGGTTTTTAGGTTTTTTATGGACTACCAAGTTTTGCGGCCAGGGCAAGGACCATATTCATAGTTCACATTAATGTTGTTAAAACTACCAGTCGGATAGTCGTACTTTTGATCGAATATTTTATCGTAACAACATAATTATTGCTATACATTAACCAGGAATTTTGGATTTTTGGAATATTTTTCCTAAAATGTATTTATTTTTTCAAATTTGCATTGCAGAGAAGTTAAAAGGCAAGTAGACTACTAACTGTTGTTTGGTATGCTAAAGACTGTATCACATAGATAACATCTCGCTTCTGCTAACCTGTGATTGTGAACTGTAGCATACATGGTAGAGCTATACTAACCTCCTTTATAAGCCTTGTCGCCTTATAGCCTAAAATTTGTAGGGATAGGTGTTTCTAAATGTAGCGTAAAATTTGATAAACCAGTTGACGTTGCAGGCAATAAAATTTATAAGCAAGAATGTAAAAAAACAAATTGAAAAATAGTCTCGATTCGCGTCCCTTTAGATTTCGTGATGCGTTTCGAAACGTTCTGTGTTTTTCGGTTAATTTTTCGAAAATTTTATCGCTCTAGAAACCGAAGTTTCTTTATAAAGCAGTGGTAGAAAATGTACTGCACATTAGGAGTTTCCTTACTATTAGTATCAGTTCATGGGCAAAAAAAAAACTTTTAACCCAAAGAACTTACATGCACGTTGTGTAAGACGATAACGAATCTGCTATGACGTATTTATGACTACGTTTTCATACTAAGTGTGGGGGCTGGGTGATCTATTCCAGTTCGGTCAAGCGGCATGTCAAATTCAACCCTGCAGAAAGCGAGACGTTCAAGGCCCTCCAGGAGGAGGAACTGGGTGGTCCCGTCCACGAGGTGGCCACTCCACCACAAAGTAAAATTTACGCCCCTACAAAGGTAAAATCTCTAACGAGCACCGTAAAATCTGCCTCGTAGGTGTTTTCGCTTCGCTTATTAAAAGTACGTTTGCAACCGGCTGGCAATTTTGAATGTGTTCGTCTGTTCCGTGTTCCGTAAAACTTAACACTTTGTGTTTGAAATTTAGTGACATGTTGGGGTTAAGTTATCACCGTTTCGCTATTTGCTTCGTTCCTTTTTTATTTGTATTTGCACATTCAAATTCACTCAATATTTCTAATACTCTGAAGTAAGTTCCAAGCTTTCAGCTATTTCTCTGAAGGTAAAAGTGAAGGTGAAAGTTCTAGCCGTAGGTGTTAATTAAATTTGAAATACTTTCAGATATTTATTTATTCGTACGTAATTTAGAGTGTTGCCCGACATGATGCCACAGTAATATACAATTTAAATTGTTTAAATTCACAACCATGAGAGTTGTCGAAACGTCGGGTGTAAAGGCAAATTATTCAACAAATATAATATAAGATAATAATAGTTAAGAGTGTATTATTGTTGATACTGTGCTGTATTGATATTAATGTGCCTGATAGTTGAGTTTGGTTCACGTGTGACTGATGCTTTTACTGTGAATGCATGAAGCAGGAATCCAGTCTTTAACCCAAATACAGAGCTTACATCAGCTGAGTGACAAGAAGGTGGACAACACAAATATTTGACAGAGGTTCCCCGAGATGTTATATATATAGATTCCTTTTAAGAACTTAAAATAACAAAATTCGCTTACTTGAATAAATATTCAAAAAGTTGTTAGAATCGGTCAATTTATGTTCAAGATAAAAATTTTAATTTCATTTAATTTAAATTTTGATATAAAACTGATTAAACGACTGTCTATCTTTTCCTAGTTGTAGCTACTGTATTTACTAAGGGACTGTGCTAATTTCCTCGCTTTCCAGAGCTGTTAGCATAGGTTAAGTACATCTTGGTACACCGCATTTTATTGACTGCGCCGTTTACAAGCCGAGAAAAAAGCTACCCTTGTTATTCTGAATGGACAGATCCTTTTGTATCTGCCGGATATTCAAAGAGTTTTTGTATTTTACAGTAACCCTGTAGTAATAGTAAAAGTAAATAGAATGGAGTTTCCTTAAAACTCATTATTCTAAAGTGAATTTGGCAACATGGTTTCTACCCGAAGTCCGATAACGATATCTCTGCATCCAAATTATTGGCTGATTGGTGTCCAAAACGGGAGTGGTAAATTTGGAGCATTGGAGCCTTATTTCCTTAATTTACGCTGTCGCAAAGGGAATAATAGCTTTCTATCGAAAAAGCTTCGCGCGTGTAAAGTCCAGTTTTCAATTCCATCGATAGTTCCAAAAGATTATGCCTAGCTCTAATTCTGACAAATCAAACTGTTACAGTTACTGTTAAAATTTAGGTAAACCGATTTCCAAACCAAAGCTAAAGAATGTTTGCTAATATCACGTGTTCAATTTTGGGCAAACAAGAAATGTAACTACTATAGAGTTTCATTTTCATTTTTTTATTTACATCTAAAAATGAGAATGAACGGAAATTTCACACATTTGAAGAAATAACTAGATACAATACAATAGTGTGATGCAGTTATCGAAAATGGGAACTGTTATTTGCTTTTTATCGAAAGAGCAACTTCTAAACATCTTTTTTTCTCCTCTAGAAACCAACCCAGGTAGTGAACCAGAATCCTCAATATCTGAACGCTATAGGAAACGATCCGGATGTGATCCAGCAAAGCGGTTCCTTCAGGAGGCTGATGATGAGCGTTCTTCCAGGATCCAATTATTAATTTTTACGCTTTTGTCCAAAAAAGAAAACATAAATCCATGGAACGACTATAAAAATCGCTAATCGTTCAAAATTTTGCGTCTTTGAAATTTTATGTCAACGTGAGCACGTGGAGCCATTTAAGAGTCAGTTTTTCTTTATGCGCGCGTAATTTTGGAGACGTACAATTTTCACGAAAATTATCTTTTTTTCCCGCGAATTTCGCAAATGATGTTTTATTACGTTACGAGAAATTTATGTTTTGTAGTCATCGTTGCGTTTCTGTTCTTTATTTATTTTCGGGTTTCAATGAACGAGTGTACTCTAGTCAAAAGTTGCGTCTAGTTTCGTATCTATATTTTTTTAATCCTAGTTGTTTGCGCAGTTATTCTAAATTACGTGTAAGTCATATTATATATAGCCATAGGCGTACGTATATCTTTCAATTTTTGAAGTTTAACTTTATCCTATATTAAACTAGTTTATGTTATATAGACTTACTCAGAAAAAACTCGGGATTGTTTACCGTAAATATTATATATTGCAAATAAAGAGGCACATATTTATTTAAAAATTACGAGTATTCTGTGTTGATGGCCCTACCTATCACCATCCGTCTCACTTCCGAAGTCCCCGCCCCGATCTCGTACAGTTTAGCGTCCCTTAAAAACCTTCCTGTGGGATAGTCGTTTATATACCCGTTCCCACCTGCAACGTAATATACGATTTGACAAACACCGACATTAAATATTTAGACCGTGCCTAATATCTGGATCGAGTCTAATGCCATTTCCGTCGCTCTTTCTGCGCAGTGCAAAATCACCCCCGCGCAGTCCTTGCTGTTGACTTTGTTGCGATCGCATGCTCTGGCAACGTTGTACAAATAGCTTCGGGCGGCACCTAACGTAGTGTACATATCGGCCATTTTTTTCTAAAAAAGAATTTCACAGTCGGAGTGTGCCACTAAAGTGTCTGCATGGAAGCTTGTAGTCTGTTCGCGAACAATAGAGAAGCAGTTAAATTTAGGTTAGTATATAAATTTATTATTTCAATTTTTAACATATTAACAGTAAGAATTTCGAGCTGCCTTAAAATTGCAAGTTCGATACTTCTGCTTTTGGTTTTTGATAATTTGTTTGTCGGTATAAAATTTCTTAAAATTATTGTGTTCTTGTAACTTCTAAACCTGTTGATAGCAAATGAAGTAAGTGCTGGACACGCGAAAAAGGTAAATAAAAATTGAAGACAAAAACAAAAACCGTATACAAAAACCGCGAGAATTTGTTTTCACTTTTTATACAAAGATTTATGCTGTAGTTTTCATATTGGTTTCGTAAGTATAAATAATAAGAGCACGAGAATACAATCTATGTATGAGACAGCCGTCTATGTGAACTATCTGTTGGGAAAAGTGAGAAAACCTTTATGCTCTATTTCCTCGGTTGTTTTACATACCTGGATTAATTGGAATTCCCCTATCCTGGTATTAAATTGTTTTCTCACGTGGGCATAGGAGAACGCTACGTCGCAACAGGCTTGCATGATCCCCACAGGTCCGGCTGCGAGGACTAGCCGTTCGAGGTCTAAGCCACTCATTAAGACGTAAACACCTTCCCAAAATTTTATATTAATTACTAATTAAGTACTAATGATGTTAGAATTGTGACATAAGCAACCGACAATCACCGCATGCGAAAAGGAGTTAATATCTGTAATTCAGAGTCACTTTGAATGACTGGAACCAATAGACATATTTGGTTGTGCTTACTTGCGTCGTAATTCCTTCGATACAGGATGTCAACGACAAAAATATTTATCAATTATATTCCTTTTATTAAAGACGTTAAATAAAGTAAAATCCGAAACTGGACATTACATTTGCAACTTTAATTTCTTTGAAGATGCTGCTATTCTTATCTTTCAAAAGTAGGGAAACAGGAAAATATTACCTGCCTATAAATAGTATGTAAAGGAATTCGGAGGGGTAAAAAGAGAAAGATGTTGGAGGAATTTTCAAAAATCACCTAAACGTAAGAATAAAGCTGGAAATTAATAAACGAAGAAGGAAAAATCTAAGCAAAAAAAATCACCTTTATTCTCCGACCCCAATACGTTTTCCTTAGGTATTTTGCAGTCTTCGAAAATCAGTTCCGAAGTGTTAGACCCTCTCATTCCGAGTTTATCCAATTTGGGTCCAGTTTTAAAACCTTCGAAACCTTTCTCGACGACGAAAGCCGATATTCCTTGGCTCGATTTCTTTGCTTTCTGGTCAGTTTTTGCGTACACCTTAAAATCAAAAATAGCTGCACGTATTCGCGCCTGAAGAATGAACTAACGACTAAAACATCGGCATCCGGTCCATTTGTTATCCAAAATTTGTTCCCGTTCAGCAAATAATGATCGCCGCGTTTATCCGCCCTCAGTTTCATCGAGACGACGTCAGATCCAGCACCGGGTTCAGACATTGCCAAAGCTCCGATATGTTCGCCAGAACATAACTAAAACATATTGGAGGTGTCTATCTGCGTAAAGGATGGATAAGATGTTATTTTTTGACAGGCAATTCGCATTCCAAACATTGTCGAACGTTCACTCTTTCGCTCTGTAGTGCTCATACCCTGTTGATACTGTAGAATTAAAGAAACTGGGATTGGGATTTTCGACCCATAGCATCGGCCTGTTTGATCTAATCTCGCCCGTAGTGTCTTTGTTAGTTAGACATTTGTCGATAATTCAGAAACATTATTATAGGAGTAACGGTTCTCCGGTTTCGTGAAGTGGGTGCCTGATAAAATTTAAAATATTGAAAAGCTTTTATTGGGAAAAATTGTAAACTTAGCTTTTTGGACATACACCACACATTTCTGCATTACTTAGAAGGTATATTAATAGTTAGCCGTTATCCAAATTAACCTAGTTTTCTTGAGCATCTATAGCATGTATAGATTTATATTTATTATTGTTTTGGTATATATTACATATACTTATTATAATAACGTACTTTGGGTAGAAATTTTAACTTTTGCTCTCGGGTACCATTTCGATGTATTTGGTTAATGCACAAATTAGAATGGGCCCCGTATGAGAGCGCAATTGCGGCGCTGGCTCTCGACAATTCCTCCATAATAATCACGTGATCGGTGTAGGTTCCACCAGTTCCTCCATAGTCCGTATGAACCGTTATGCCTAAGCCAGAAGAAACGAAACGTATTTTTGCTATTCGATTTTACTAAGCGGGTCAAGAATTATACAAAATAGAATCTTACCCTAGAGCGCAACATCGAAAATTTACAGTTTAAAATTTATCGGTCTCTTATAGAACTCCATTTTGCAAATGCAATGCAAAATAATATCAAAATAAAAATTGTTAATTAAAGAAAATATAACATACAAGTTCACTTCACAAGTATATACGCAACACTATTGAACAAAATTAAATTTTGTGAAGTCTTATTTTTCTAATAATGGTAATAGTTTCGCAAGTACGGGCCTGGTTCATTTAAAAAAAAACGAGAAACGGACATTTCTATCTAAATTCGATTTTGTTTAAGATCTGTTAAAGATAATTAAACATATTAAACGTTTATTCCTTTAAACGGTTTGAAAAGAATTTACCAAAAAAAAAGTTAAAAAGTATAAATTAACATTTTAATACGCCAAGACTACAATTTTAGTTTGCAAATAGGTACCATACATTTTTTTGCGCGATTGAGTTATGCGGAATTTATAATGTGACTGCCATAAACACAAATATTTATTGTTCACCTCTGCTCAAAAAATTTTTTCGTGATCAAAAAAACGACAATACGATGTTTTTTTACGCACCATGGGCGCCCAAATCGCCTAACTTTTTCCAAAAACTCCGCAGGTCATCGAAATTGTTGGTTCTGTCGATTTCACTTGCTTTGGGTGCGAGTTCATTTTGCGCGAAATCGAATATCGAATCTCTCAACTACAAATCATTATTTCCCAATAACATATTAATAACACAAGTTTAATGATCCCACTTCTACCTGAATCTGTTCCGGTTGCAGGCCAAAAATATGTTCATCAATTGTGTAATACTGGGACACATTTCTCGCTTGTATCCAAACTGGATTTTGGCATTTTTTTAACAGAAACGTATGTAAATTTCTTGCCATAACGTTTTATTCGCGAGAAAACGAAACATACTGATTCATATCTAATCTCTATGCATGCTATGAACCAAATAATAAATAAACAACTCCGATCGGACAACAAAGCTTGCAAGCGATTTAATTTAAATGATTAATAATTTTCGCTCGGGTGCGTTCAATAGGCAACCATCAAAATGCTTTAACGGTACTTTCGACATGGGTACGGTATATTAGTATTAAAACTACAGGGTGTTAGGCTATACATTGACAACATAATTTATGGAACAAATCATTCCATTCAGCCATGGTTGGTTTACTTTAAAACTTGATATTAAAAGGTGGTGTTAAAGTCGACTCCATTCAATAAATGAGCGCAACAAGTGTTAGTGATTATCATGTTATTTGGGTTTTACATATTCGGTCTACATTAAGCATTGTACTTTCATAATGATTCAACAAATTCTTGTGTTCAAAATTGTGTCCTGACATTAAAAAGTATGGAACAGACTCTCTACATGCATGCAGATTTATTAGTTAACCAATTGTACCGTTTGGGTTTTTCCAAAATTTTTCTATAAAATTTTTCCCATTGGACTATGGCCCTCACTCAATACTGGCCCACGGAATTGAGTGGAAGAGACATGTCAATTATCTTTCCAGCTGTCATGACAGCGATTAGTAAAACGATTATTTTGATTAGCAGTGTGCTCATTATTCAGGAAAAACTCCGCAATTATGAAGTAAAATGTGTAGTAATTAATTAATACGCAATCATGCATCAGCGGAGAAGAGTAAATTGTGAGAGAGACTACACGTAGGACATGCATTGAAACTTTCTTTAGTTTGTAATTTAAGTATCATTTTTTTGTGTTGTACTTATGACCATCAACAATTGTAATTGGAGGGATTTATTTACGAACGGTGAGTCACTTGAAATTGTAGGATTATTGGCCTTAATTTAAGTTTTTCAGGTAAACAAACCAGCATGGCTTTTGAAAAAGCGACCAGAAAATGGGAGATATTTCAGGGCCGAAACAGATTTTATTGCAGCGGGCGACTGATGACTGCCCCAAACGCAGGGGTGTTCTTTTTGACGGTATTTCTCATAACAGGCACTTGCGCTTTGTTTTTTATATTTGAGTATGTAGCTTATCTTTTTTTACCCTTTTGTATAATATAATAATTATATATTTTTTAGTTGCAAATACTTGGCCGAGAATGTTACAATAGCAATTCCAATCATCGGCACAGTATTGTTTTTATTCACAATGTCTTCTTTGCTGAGAACAAGCCTTTCGGATCCTGGAATTATACCAAGAGCAACATCGGAGGAAGCGGCATACGTTGAAAAACAGATAGAAGTGACAAATTCTGCGAACAGTCCAACATATAGGCCTCCGCCCCGAACGAAAGAAGTTCTCGTCAAAGGGCAAACAATTAAACTAAAGTACTGCTTTACTTGCAAATTGTTTCGCCCACCTCGAGCATCACATTGCAGTATTTGTGATAACTGTGTAGATCGATTTGATCATCACTGTCCTTGGGTGAGTTATGTTCAAAAAAATCTTCTCTGCAGATTATAGGTTGAGAGTTGACTGGCATTTTCCAATATATGTTGCTTTTAGGTTGGTAACTGTGTTGGCCGAAGGAATTATAGGTTTTTCTACATGTTTATAGTATCCCTGGCATTTCTTGCTGTGTTTATATTTGCCTGTGCTGTAGCCCACTTGATATTAAGTAAGTATTAAGTGTACTTTTATATTGGGAAGGTTTGGGCACTGTTCTGTTTTAACCTTTCTTATGATTAATTAAGCGTTTATATTTATAAATAGTACAACATTAACAAAAAAGGAAAATAGCAATTTTATTTTCCTTTTTAGTAACCAGAGAAGATAGGCAGTTTTTAGATGCTGTCAAAGAGTCTCCACCCAGCGTTATAGTGGCAGTAATATGTTTTTTTAGCGTTTGGAGCATAATAGGATTAGCTGGATTTCACACATACCTCACAACAAGCAATCAAACAACTAATGAGGATGTAAGTTCATTGATTAACTCAATGTAATAAAATGTTGCAATGTTGCAATAATTAATGAATGGTTTATTTCAGATTAAAGGCTCATTTACAGGTAAACGTGGCCAGGAAAGCTTCAATCCCTACTCAAGAGGAAATGTTTGTTTGAATTGTTTTCATATACTTTGTGGTCCTGTTACTCCATCACTTATCGATAGGTAAAATAATGTAACTCCAAGTTGGTATTCTCTAATTACAAATTTTGTGTTAGAAGAGGTGTTGTAACAGATTCATATAGGTCTGAAATAACGCATCCAATAATTTCTGAGCCAGCAGTGCCCTTAAAAACTTATGGGATGAATAGTCAGGTAAATTTATAAACATTAGCGAAATAATGAAATTGTTCAACACATTATTTGTAGAATGGCGCGAATCACATCATTACAAACGCGAGTGAGACGCCCGGCATCTATCGTCAGACTACAGAAGCAACAGGTATGCCCTTAAGTCCTTTAAAGCGCCATTTGTATCGCGCCCAGCAAATCATGCCGTCCAAAAATTGTACGAATCAAAAGATAATACCGTCCCGAGCACCTCTGCTACCCCCTTATGATTACCAAAGAAAGCCGGTAGTATACAGTCCCCCTATGGATACATTTAAAAGTAGTAGGTCTTTGCCACAACTGAAAAGGGTGATGAGTCAATTAGATGAGTCAACGGAGGTTGATATACATCGCTTCGAGCCTCACATTCCTGATATCCACTGCGAAGAATATACGCGTCCTTTTACGCCTCCCGAAAAACGTTATAATAGCTCTACTTTTGGGCGAGAGAATCAATCGATGAGTTTTAGACAACAAAGCCCGTTAAGTATCTGTATATATGAGGATGTTAATGTTACAGATGATTTTGGTCTGAATAGACAGATCAGGTACCACAATATAAAAGTTGATAGGTTCCCGACGCCAGATTTTAATCAGATTTACATTCAAAATCATTACCACTGAGATATATATATATATATATATATATATATATATATATATATATATATATATATATATATATATATATATATATATATATATATATAATCATCATATGCTGCTGCAAATTTAATGTAATAGAGTGAAGCTAAAGAGGGAGAGGAAAACATTCAAGGATGCTTTAAAACCTGTTGTGAGATTTACTTTAAACAAAAAAAAATTGAATAGTGTTATGACCAAAAGAGAAATGAAAAAAAACATGAATTACTATTGGTGGATGCCTCCCAATAATCTGTTAGTTCTGTTAATTTGTTACAGTAATTACATTATTATCATCATGATAATGTAATAAAATTGATTACGTTCTTTCTTAGAATTTGCCAATAAATGACACTTTAAAGAGGAAACTGTGTAATTGTCATTATTAAAGTTCCAAAATGGGATTACGCAAATTGCTGAAATTTGAATGAGTGACATGTTAACATTTTTAATATCAAACTTAATAGAAACAATTATATGTTACAAATTACTGGTCCAAGTTTAAACTGAAGTGTTTTTCCCGCAACAGAGTTATAATAAGTGTAATTTTGTGGCACATTTTTCAACTTACTATATCCAATCCAGTAATCAATTCTCTCTAGTATAGAGTAACCAATTAAGCAATAAAAGTTATTCACGCCTTATTATTGTACAGTATTAAATATCCAATTTTTTGGACAAAGTTGGATTTTTCAATTTTTGGAAGTAAATGTATGTTACTGTTTCAAGAATATTTATATAATTAATAATTGTAATTGTTATAAATTTATGCCTTATATTTTATGTGGTCAAAACAATTGTCTTCCTTTGCAAACATTTGGATGTTAATGATATTGTAAATAGAAAAATTATTTAAAATTACTTACTTTCTCTGTCACCTGTGTCAACAAAAAGAAAAATATGTCTATTTTTAACTCAGTGGTGGACACTGTCGCCTTCAAAATTATATTTGAGTGGCGTTATATATCTCTAGTATGTGTACTTGTATAATAATGAAAGTTTGACGCTGAAAGGTATATTTGGTGCTCAGACGCTCTGGCGTAGTGTTGTGATAAACCAAAATATATAATTTGTGTAGATATTTCTGTATATATGTAGTGTAAAATGTTTCATCACGAATATGTTTGGACAAAAAATTTTCATGTTTTTTGGTGAAACACCTTAGCGCGTTGTATTTTACACCTAATGTACCAGTACATGGTGACATAATTGGTCGCTGCTTTGTACAAATTATTTTAGACAATTTTACATCTTGACTTGTCATGTAAAAACAGTAGCGGCTATATAAGTGGCAGTATTATTTTACATGTAATCGAGTGTGTAAAATTAAAATACACTTAACACATGCACTTAACTCACCTTTACGGAACCCGATTGGTTGAGCTTTCTTTTATAAATTTATTTTGGTTAAACTGGATATGAGTTAAATAGGGCTTTTTTTTATTCGTTGCCGCCTAACATTTGATCGGCGGAGACTGTCCTATGGCTGTTCCGGTAAGTTTACGTTTGAGCATGACTTTCTGATTGAGCTTGTACATTTAATTTATGCGCTTCACTCTACTTTTAGTTTGTTTCTCTTCAGGCTGTTAATGTTCCGTTTTAAACTATTCATATAGATAGTATGAATCATCCCAATCCTCACTAATGTAAACTCATCACCATATCACATAAGTTGGCTACTGAAAACCATATTAGGTGTCCAAAATGCATAGGACACTGCACTTAGATTATTGTTCTGTACATGGAAGCAGAGGCCATGTACGCTTTCATACATTTCAAGCGCTTTTCATTGCATATTAACTGATTTTTACAATAAATTGTGTGAAACGTTCAAAGGGGCGCCACTTTTTGGTTTCTTGCAAGAACCCAGAGAAATTTTAAACGTTTATTCTGTGAATGAGACCGGCTGGCACTGCTTTAGGGAGAAACTATCAACATTGCACTTAAGCACTATATAATTGCAGAATCGACAATTGGTGGATATGTTATAGGAAATTAATTGGGAGTTTGCAAGAAGGACACTGAGCTCGGCTGATCAAAGGTCAAAAAATGTAATGCTTACTACATTAAAGCTTTAACTATGTGGCCAGGCGGCCGTTTGGCTTTCAAATTATGTCATAAACGTTTGATGTGGGTGGTTTTATTACTTTTAGGATAAAGTAAGTAAAGCTACACAGGTACATGTTTATATTCTGGCCAAGTCCAGATGTGTTACACTATTGATCATGAGCTGAGTTACTCCCTGATTGCACCCTTCCCATATTGATATTTGTTTTAATTGTCGACCAATTCAGTTTTATTGCCGCGGTTTTTGGTAAAAATCGTTTTAAATTCCAGATAGCAACGCGGGCAGCGTAACTCAACTAATGACCAACGAACAGCCAATAGCAGTCGGCCCCGCGCTTCAGCGTCCGCCTGAGGACTCTCTTGGACACTACAAGTCCCAGCCAAGTCTCAACCACTCCCCTTTGTATAACAACGTCACACCGTCGGCTCAAACTATGAGCCGGTCTCATAGTTACGCGAATGATATCAATTCGATGGGCGAGAAAACAGATGACGCAAAAATAGACATAGAAGACTTGCAGTTAGATCCTGTGGTAGTCCGGGAAACCCATATTTTGGCAACAATCAATGACCGATCTAAATATCGCGAGTTGAAGTTGGACAATGATCTCACTGCCAGCGAGAAAGAGAACAGTCTGTTGAGCGCGAGTCGGTTGCGATTACTCCAGGACACCACAATGATCGAAAGTGCTTTGGATTTAGATTCTCTCGAGGATTCCAGTTTGGGTACCGGTAGTCACGCGGGGCTGATGAAAGTAGTTGTGTAGTCATTCTTTTATATATATTTTTTTTTTGGAAAAATTGCAAGGGTTATTGCCAGGTATATGATGTTATTCCACATCTACAATGCAGTTACTTTTTATGGTTTGGTACTAAAGAAGACAGCCAGCTCCCAAGTGCCCAATGATGACATTATATACACAGTTTTTATGCCAATGACCGGCATATTCCGTCTATGAAATGAGGGCCCAGTGTTTATTATAAAAAGTAATATTTATTTTTTTACATTGTAGTTTACCAATTAGACAATTTTTGCCATTGCGCACTTTATACACAGGGTTATTACGGGACACTCTACAAAGACGAAAACGTGTTCAAGAACCTATTGATTTGTTACAATTGCACTACTGGAAGCTATATCCGCAGAATCTGATTGTGATAAGTGTGTAAAGTGAAGAAAACGAAATATATCAAATGAGTGTAGCAACCTTGTTATTTAGGCAATGCACTTGAATATCAAAAAAATGTATTGCTGCAATGATTTCCATAATCATAAAAAATTTACGGGGCCATCTGGTAATTGCGCATCTGAATTCATTAATATCAGGTTCAGTTAAATGGGTACATCACTGATTAACAGATTTTTAAATACTCAAGGTAAGTACTGCTTGTCGCCTGCCATTTAATACATCACACAAATCTAAAATATTAAAATTATAAAGTTTAATGAAAAATGTGAAAATGTTGCCAACTCTACTATTATTGCAAGGTTTTTTTTTTTTTGATAAAGTTTAAAAACTTTAAACTAAGTTTAAAGTTTTACTGGAGTACAAATCGATATACAACAAACAAGGCTGCCATATTTTCAAAAAAATTATATCGGCCAAATATTTTTTAAAACCCTTATTCAAAATAAATTATATATGAACTTTTTATAAAATGCTTCGAGATATCTCCCATAAATAGTGTGTCTACTTTAGAGATACTATGAGAAATCGTTTTTATTTAACAATTCAGGAATTTAAAAATCATAAAATTCATGTGAAGTAATTTAGCCCTTGGTCTATTTAGTTTTGTATATCTTCGTGCAATGATTTATTATGCAGTCACCATAAAGTACAGCGAAAAAAGCAACGTGCAAATGAATTTTCCATGTTAAGGCATTTTGTGGCAAAATATTTTGTTGCTATGCTCGCTTAATCAAACTTAACACTTTTCACACCTCTTTTAATCAACTTGTAATCATAGGTGCGCACATTTTGCTCTCCGGATCAGTATTTAACAATGCCGAATTTTGCTTAACTTCTTTTTAACGATATTTTCGATTACCCTAACTCTTTGAGACTGAACAAACTCTACGTCACAATCTTTGTAGATCGAAGTTTAAAATTTAAGGCCAGATCGATATTTTATTTCAGGAAATTATATATTCTAAGCTGTTTGTACATACGTGTTTATATAATGCTGCTACTTAGGAGGGACAGTGGACTTGTAAATAATTGCTGTAAGTAAATAAAATGACAATATTTTTTGCATGTTTTGCCATATGTAGTCAGAATATATTGTATACATATAGTTGTAGGAAATATATTTTTACAAATTTAATGTACTATCCAGATTTTTCAGAATAGTGAGCGAGTTTACTTTTTCTTTTATTGTTGTAACTTAAAATATACATATTTTATTTTCTCCATTTTGTTTTATTTGTTTTCTAATTTGTAAATATTAAGCTTTTGTCCAAATATGAAAAAAAACCTGTTATGGAAAATATATATTTTTTAAAAATACAAACTGTAGACGAATTCACAAGTATGGACCCCACCCTATGTACATTTGACACAAGTTATCAACATTCATTGCTTCAGTTATCAAGTGGTCAGTTTGACCTTCAACTGATAAACACTGGGACATAGTATGGCTCCTTGTCTTAATATTCCCTTGTAGGCGTAGCTCAATGTTTTTAATGTGCTCCAGAGCCTAAAACGCGTAACGTTCATGACTTAAAATTTATATCGATAGTACCGATAACTTACTTGTTCATTCACTCTCTCTGAGCTATGGGCTGATGCGGGAACGTGACTTGGCCAAGACACTAGCGGATCATATACAAAAGGTTTTACTATTGACATTAATGTCATTCTATTACTTCGTAGAACCCGGAGGGTGCACTCGCAGGACTTCCTAAAAGTTCCTTCAACACCTAGCGGCCCCATCGCAGATACCATATTATGGGTCAACCTAAAGGGCACCCTTTCTGGCCACTCGAAGGTCTCTCCTAAAAACGATAGAAACATAAAAATGCGAATCGATCGCGTTTGTTACTCACCTTTGTTAAACAAACAATTGAAATCTACATGAACCACGTCTCCACAAGTGGAGTCCAGTAGAATATTTTCCCCGTGGCGGTCTCCAAGACCTAATATATAACCAGCTATGGACATCACGGCGGTAGTTCTAATGTACCCCGTCCTTGCCATAAGCCAAGTCTATTATTTAAAAGAACAAAATATTTTGTTTGATGTATTTCTATAAACAGGTACCTGAGCATCAGGAAAAGTTTTCCTAAACCAATCGCTGAGAACTGGAGGGTGTTTCTTTACCAGTACCTTGTTAAAAATGTCCCTCTTCCTACTCAGTGGATCTCGTATTTTGCAACAAGCTTCCTTCAATTCTTTCTGAGTCATACCTAAACCTGTAAAGTTCGTATTATTAGCCATATACAATAACTAAGTAAATTGTTACCTCTTTGTTTGTACAAATTCATCAAAACTGGTCTCAACCCCAGCAAATCAGGAATCCATTCTATCAGGCCACACTCTTCGTTGAGTGGAGCCACTGAATACAACCTTATATTCAATCGCCTTTGCCTAGCTTCCGAGTCGCGCAGTAGCAAGTGATTTACAATGTCATTGAACTCCATCAATCTAAAGTCTTTCCTGAGATCGTCTTTGGGTTTTAGCATAAATATGTATCTGAGAAGTAATACTTTATGTAATTTTTTTAACCCTTCCAAGTGTTTCTAAATTACTTCTTGCCGTCTGACCCTTTCATTGTTATTTTCCTAGGTCGCTGCAAACTTTGAAGAACGCCTATCTTATCTTCAATGCCTATTATGTGAGCGTACTGATTCGGAAACGGATTATGACGGGAGCTTTGAAAATCCGGATTTGGCAAGATCAGTTTACGAAACTTATGTGTTGGCATCATAATTTGGCTGAAATCTTTGGTGCTCAACATTCTGAAAATAAGTATTTTGACAGGTATATTATTACTCAATAACAGTCAATAATTAGATTAAGATTATTTTTGTATATTCCAACTACTAGGTATAAAGCAACACCACAACATGTACAGTAGAACACGTACCGTGGTAAAGCCTTTACTAGCAAGCTAACAGTTGTACTATTTACATCCGGAGGAATTTCCTTATTACACAAATCTATCAATTTTTCCGCCAAACTAGTAAAGTCTTTGAACAGCTTCAACATAGCAGTAGTTCTAAGCCTCGAATCGTTCAATATTTCGGCACACCTCTTAGCTCTCATTGGATAACTTGACTTGATAACTGAACTTATCATCCACAAGCACTGTTGTGGGTAGTGCAACATTAGTTTAACTATTATCGATTTTAGTACTTTATAAACTTCCGCCTGGGGATGGGATATCCGCGAAATAATCTGAGAGAACGATGTTAAAAAAATATAAGGTGGTAGTTTTTCCAGAAAAGTATCTATTAGCATCGACATTTTTACAAGCACATGTTTACGTTCTGTCTTTACGTTGGTGTTCGTTATGTCAAGAAATCTCGTGCCGTAGTCAAACCATATCGACAGGAGGCGAGGCATCGATTGATAAACGTAATTTGTACCGAAGTTTAACGATTTTCCAAAATTGTTTACTATGTGCAATTGCAGGTCATTTGCTTTAACGTCTTTCTCTTCATCGGTAAAACTTTGAAGTATTCTATCTTGGTACTGTGCTAAGCTGACCTAAGACAAGAAATAGTTATGTAAACCCCAAAGTACTGCAAATACTTTACCAAGCTTTTTTCCCACTCCTTATATAAATCAAGAGCGTCTCGGTACTGTTGGAGATTCATTTCCACATCGACGCTGCAAATCGCGTCATTGTAAGTTGCTATTAAAAGTTTCGCTTCGCCACAAATTTTCCTGAAATTTATTTCAATTTTTGAATGGGCGTTTGAAAACTTATCGGGTGCATTCAAAACATGATATGCGAATTGGGGCCTTAACAGATTTTTGTAATCCGAATTTGATTTATAACTATTTATTTATAAAAATATACCTTTTTTCCAAATCTAGCGCTGCCACAACTTCTTTCATTTCTTGGCTCGAGAGACCATCGGAAATGTAAATGTTCAACCCCCTGCGTAGGGTGAGCAGAGCTTCTTCGTGTTCATCTCTTAACCAGTGTAGCTTGGCCTTTTCCAAAAATAGTTTGGGAGGGGCGTATTTCTCAGCATCTAAAGTGTAGGTGTATGCCCGCTGATGCACCTGCATATTGTGTTTTGACTGCTATTTACTCTACTTTAAATATAGCCAATAAAAATTAGCCATAGCATGCAACATAAGCACGACAATAAGGTCAATCTAAGCTCCGCCCCTGATATTTACTTTCTCGCTCGCTGTCTGATCCATCTCTTCCTAGCAAAAGATAGCAGAAGGCAACAGAACAGGAATATTTCACAGAACATATATATTGTTTTGAACTTTTTATTCGAAATTTCCCTTTTAAGTTTTGAAAGTTATAGCTCTTAAAAAACCCTAAAATTAACGAAAAAATAAGTTTTGAAAAAAAGTGATTTAATAACATATTAAAAAAATTGTATGTCTTTAAAATGAGAATTGAAACAAATTCTTACTGGGCCAAAAAATATACAGGGTGCAATTAATTATAACAAAACGCTGGCAGAGAAAGACCTTTCTTGTCTTGTCCTGTCCTGAGCTTGAAAGTATATATCATAGTAATAAGTATACATAGACAAATTTTACTTTATTATATTAAATAAAAATTATTCACCCCGGCCATTCTGGCAATGCTAACGCTCTGCAACCAGCTCTCTCCAAGTAACTTATCAAAATATGGCACCGAATGTTCCACTCTAGTCTCTGCGACACTTTTTGCCAACCCCAGTACCGTTCGCCGGGTGCTTAAAATAGGTTCGACGATCCTTATGGATTCTTGAACGACTTTGAATCTTAACTGCCATTCTTTCGTCAATTTGTTCATTATCCCTTGGATGTAGTTATTATCGTTGGGCTTCAGAAAGAGCTCGGAAAGTGCCTTTTCCACTTGCTCAATTTCGTTCAGGCAGTGCAATCGGACAATATAGCCATATCCGTGCTGGTACGCGCCTTCTTCTAGACTAGCAGCTGCGAACGCGTCCACTTGCTGCCTCTTTATCGCTTCCAGCACTGCCCTAAATTCAGGTCTCTCGCCTAGATTATAAAGACTTTAGTTTTATTAAAATAGTTTACAAGAGTTATTGTAAAATTGCTTAAAAATGACTTCTAAAAAGCAACGACGCCGCATTCACTGTGTGCCATTTTTGATAGTTTTCAAGCATATACGTTCCTTATTAATGAAGCTAATAGAGCTAGCGTGTTGCGGTGTTTTTATTATATTAAAGTTGTCACATGCAGAAATGGCATCATTAGCTTGGATTTTTGAATACAGGGTGATTTTGGTTTGGGTAGTCAGTTTTCTTCTGAAATTCACAAGTTTTGATATACTAAACTTGTGTTTTTTTAATGCATGTTTTTTAATAATTTTTTTAGGCCTTTCAAACAATACCTAGGAGCTATTTATAAAACAAAGCACATGCATAAGTAGGTCTGAATAGTACCTGTCAAAATAAATTTGTGTTTGTACAATTTTAAATGCGATCATAAACATGCCTATTCTATCCAATTTCTCATAGCTGAAATATTTTGGGTTAACATCGCCACAACCAGGAGAAAAAAATTAAATTTTAGAAAGAGAGAGATTTTGATTTTGTATCCGTAATACAAATCCATTCAGACCAGTTTTTACCTTTTCGATAAGTTGATGATGTGCGACTTTTCATTTCATGAAAAAGTGGACTATTAATTAATTATTAATAAGGCAAACAATCAAAAATAGAATACACTCAACATAACCCGTCCCAGAATGCCAAAATCAAAATCGAGTATGTAAATTTCAAGTCATTGAAATCACCCTAAAAACCTACAAAAAGGAACTTGCCCTTTTTTAAATGAATCAGTGACCGTCCCACTTGGATCCCCCAACTTTTGTTACTTTCATAGTTAGGATCCTCAAGCAACCCCTCCAACTCATCGTACTTTCCTAATCTCCACAATGATTCGGCCTGCATGTCGATCAACATGTTTCCAAACTCCGGTTGGTCGTCTAACGCCCCTTCGGCTAAATATAGAGCGGTGTTTACTTTATCTAAATCGAGATAACACTGTATCAACCCCTGAAATCGCCGAAATGTAATTTAACTATTTTATGAAATTTTCTCTAATATCTACTCTGATATGTTCCAGTCTCAGCGGTCTTGGCATGTGTTCGTATATCGAAGTCGCGTCGGCAAGTTTTCCAGACACTTCTAATGGCAGCAATCTCTGTTCTAGGGAAGGTTCCGTTTGTTGGAAAGCCTCCACACCCATTACACCGTCCGTTTCGTTTAGTTGAGCATATATCTGAAGGTGACTCAAGTTGAACAACTTTATTTTTTTTCGCTTCACCATCCCCCGTCCCAGAAGCAGATCTTGAGATATGAAAATTACAGATTCCTAACTAGCCAAAGAAATTACTGAATCTCAAAAATTTTCCCGGCGGGCGGCTGATGGTAAAGTAACAAAATGACACTACTAACGCGTCTTTTTATTTTCGGAATTGTATTAGTCTTTGCTTATACCCTCAGATTTAAGAGTGCTGCTCTAACTCTGAAAATCGCCTACTATATGCAAAATACTTCGAATTGGAATACAATTTGAACAAAAATCAGTTGGGTTATTTTCTTACACCGTTTGTCATTTTCAAGACACTTTAATTGAACTTTGATGGCGCGATTCTTAAGTGATGCAGAATCAGCAATTATTGGCAAACATCATGCAAGCTATATTTGCCAAGTCTTGGTGTTTAGCTAGCAACTGAAAGAGTCAAATACAAGTCTGCATTCAATTCGATGATTGCTCAAACGGTGTAATTTCAGCGTATACCAAGTCTTAATGTGACTTGCACATGCAAGTTTAATGGAAGGTTGGCTAGCGAAATATCGGAATACAAGGATTAAAATATATACTTATATATATATATATATATATATATATATATATATATATATATATATATATATATATATATATATATATATATATATATGATGACACTATATTCCGGGATATCATCCGTTCGCTCGTTGAACTCCGACTGGAATCCTGCATCCGACTGGAATCCTGCAGATCTTGCATCCGACTGGAATCCTGCAGACGTTTCGCCAAAATCTCACTTGGCATCTTCAATGCTCGCGTTCCGAAAACACTTCGAACACGAGATTTTGGCGAAACGTCTGCAGGATTCCAGTCGGATGCAAGATCTGCAGGATTCCAGTCGGATGCAGGATTCCAGTCGGAGTTCAACGAGCGAACGGATGATATCCCGGAATATAGTGTCATCACATTTTTCCATCCGTGAATCAATACGTGAGAATATCATACACCTTTACGGGAAGGAGATCTTTACAGCAGTGTTCGAAGTGTTTTCGGAACGCGAGCATTGAAGATGCCAAGTGAGATTTTGGCGAAACGTCTGCAGGATTCCAGTCGGATGCAAGATCTGCAGGATTCCAGTCGGATGCAGGATTCCAGTCGGAGTTCAACGAGCGAACGGATGATATCCCGGAATATAGTGTCATCACATTTTTCCATCCGTGAATCAATACGTGAGAATATATATATATATATATATATATATATATATATATATATATATATATATATATATATATATATATATATATACTTAAGTTGAAAAAAATCTATTGTGACAAGGCTGAGTCCGGTTCCGTCTGGGTTCCAAGAACCTTGCTAGTCAGTCAGTTGAAAAGAGAAGCCGGAGCGCGCAAATATAAATAACCCACAGATATAAGTTGAAACTTTATATAAATTATTTAAAGTGTGTCTAGTGAACAGTAGCGTGGCAATAGTGACAAGCGAGCTTCCGCTGATATATACCTCGGCTAAAAAGAACAAGTGTTCGGACAATTCTATCGGATTAGCCGTTATATAATCTTCCAGGTACATGAGTGCTCTGGGATATTCTCCGCATTTGTAATTGCATCTGGCCAATTCTAGTTTGCAAAACTTCTTGATAAACCGATCGATCGTTTGATAGTTTTCATCGGAGCCGGCCGATTTACCATTCGCCCATCTCCACTCACGAATCCAGCGGTCCAGAAAATCCAGCAGCACGAACATTACCTTGGTGCACTGCATCTGTTTGTCGTCGTCTGCCGGTATTTCCCGAATTACTGGAGTCAAACCAGGAACACGCAAAGGACGATTCTTGAAATCAAATAATAAACTTACAATAGAAGCATTGATTGGCTAAAGCTTACGTTAAAGATTTTCGAATCGACGGTTTTCGTATTGTAGGAGTTTATTATCGTGCGGAATTCTAAATAAGCTCTGTCGTCTCCTTGTCCTTCTATAAGTGAATGCAACAAAATATACGGCAGAAAATGCATCAGAATTTTTTTGTTCAGTTTCATGCTCGGGAAACAGCTTTGGATCAGCGACTTTCGCTGCTCGGGTAGGACTCCTATCAGGCACGAAGCCCAGCTAGAAATTGTTTAAAGGATTTATTCAACTTATTAAAAAATTAAAATTTATTCAATTTATTAAAAATTATTTAAATTAAAAATAAAACTTAATGAGTTTCCTAGTCTCTAATAAGGGCACCTCTTTTAAAGATATAGATAAAGGCCAACCAAAGGTACATCCAAACTTATACTTTTCAATACATTTTGTTTTAATGTAATATTTTTTTGGGACATGGAGCATAACATTCAAAACATGACCACAGTGTAAAGTCTTTATAAACTTAAAACATTCAATAATTCCTAAAAATAATAATATTATATAAAACAATGGCAAACAGCACAAAAATTGACTTTTGTGGTTTAAAAGGCGCATGGTTTTTAAAATGTCAATGAAATGCTACTACTATTATATACTATAAAACTGCGGACACCATTATTTCTCCTACCGAAACTTTATCTACTATAACTCATAAATCAATAATCTTATTCGGTATACTTGGTTATTTTTTCCGACTCACTTGTACAACCAAGTTTGGAAAGAAGCTGCTCCGGAGGTCCCATAAACTGGACAAGGATAAACCGTGCTCTTTTCAACACAAATATACTTGGACGATAATAACGGAGTCATTACGTCGCGGTGGCTTTCGGAAAACTTTTTCCATAAGAAATGACGAGAGCTGGTGACAGTCGGCGATATGTCGTATATTTTTAATATTTCCTGAATCGCTAACGCCACCCGGTCGGTGTTCTGAAACAATTCCATTTTCAAAATTATCGGCTTAATTTTTGCAAAATAATGCTAACCCTGGCGTTTTTGTCGGTCTGGAACGCCTTGAGCAGTTCCAATAAACAGCTCTCTATGAACGCGTCATCGGTGATAAAGAATATAAAAGAATTTACTTCTTGAATATACCTGAAACGACATCCCTATTTAAACTCGTTTAACGTTAAAAATTGCTTTTCACCTCCTAGGCAAGTGGCTGGGTTCGATAGCACCCAATTCGCCAAATATTTCGCCGCAAGCTAACTTGAGAGTCAGATCTTTTTCTCGACAACCTATAGTTAAATCATCTATCAGTTCGACTATGCAAGCGTCCATACCGTTGTAGCCAAGAATCATTTGATCGAGTTCTTCGCGATTACGTTCCAAACATTCCCTCAACTGCTTCAAACTTTGGATCCGCACCTCCAACGTATCGTGCTTCAAATATTTTAAATATCTGGTGATATTCTGCTTCAGCGAATAATTCTCCACTTCTTTCAGGTGTTTGTTGATCACCGCTAGAACCGTCGGTTTTATGTGACTGTTACTAATGAAAAACAAGTCTAGTATATTTTCTTTAAGATGGTTTTCGTTATGGACGATCAAATACTCTAGTACGTGATTGACTTCGGTGGGATTGTGTTCTATTAACCCAAGCATAGAAATGAAAATGGTTGCCAGATGCGGCCCGAGATATTCCATTTCGCAGTTTCGCACAAAAGTATCCCACACTTTACAAACCAAACTCGAATACTTGTTAAAGTGTGTCGTCTGCAGCATTGCGATGATTTTAAATCGTAACGGTGCTATTCGACCGGGACCAAGAAATTGGAGTAAGTCCGCTAGGCTTTGCAGAATCTTCTCCTTTTGAGAATAGTCCGAGGACAGTTCTAGATCGAAATACAACAGGAATGCCAGAAAATTTGATTGGATGTAATCGGGAATTGAGGCCGAATTTAAGCCACAGTCTTCTTGGAGAAGTAGGTTCAGTATCGTTAAAACTTTCTCCTTCTTTTCGTTGAATCGAAGCAACAGCTCATTCAAAATCACTTTGATATTCATCTTTCTTAATTTTGGCCCACTCAATGCGGTAGCCTTTTCTAAATAGAGCATGCACTTTTTGGACTGCGCTTTATCCATATCCCCGAGGAACACGTGCAAAAATATGTTGCCATACTTCCGAGATAATAATTCGGATATCTCAACTTCCATAATTTGAGCCATTTCACTAATGAGGCTGGATACTTTAGAGTACTTGACACTTTTAACTACCAAATAAGGTAACAAATATATGCTCTCTTTGGAAACAAAATCACCCACGCCGTCAAAACCCAACATTATGGACACTCTAACTAGAGAGTCGCGAAAAGAATAGTCCACCAAATACAAATTCACATAGCACAAATGTATGATCCTTTCACATAACTCTTCGGGGTGTTGTCTATACAAGATCATTTTGCCCGAATCATCCTTCTTTGAAAGTTTCAAACATTTATTTATAGCTATGAGATAGTGGATAGAGGATGGAACCATGACGGCATACAGTAAGATCTTCAGGCATTCCAGTTTTATCCAATCCATATCCACGGCGCCTAACTCATCAATGGTTAATATTAAAGACAACTGCAACTCGTAATCTGAATATTGCAAAGACTTCTTTAGCAATCGCATAAGAACATCAAAAATTATTTCCATCGTGTCTTTTCTTTCATGGGTTGCAAAGTTATCCTTCTAAAAATAATATCGCACCTAAACTATACATAAAGACCCTATGGTGACTTTGCCCCATTTAATTCGTAATTAACTATTGCTTATATCCCAGTTGTTACAGTCATAGTGACTTGCCACAATCGTATTATAAGATGTGACCAGCAAATTTACAAAATGGAAATAAATCTATAATATAACTTTTACTAATTAAAAAGTAGTACTTATTTAGACTTTTTATTCGCCAAATAATTTTAACTAAGTTTGTAGATCCAGTGGCGTCGTCCGAATATTCAAAAAATTTAACAAAATATATAATAAGCAGGTTATTAACTTAATATTCAATAACCACTGACTTAAGACTAGATAATTTTCTAAAGGAAAAAAATGAAACTTACTTGACCACAGTGAACAATTCTGTATATGACTTCCTTAACTTTGTTCCTAACATCAGAATTGCAATTCCCAGCAAGTTCAATCCAGATTTTTGTGATTTCTGGGGTATAAATCTTACCAATGTGTCTGCATAAATAAGGCAATGCCTCCAATGCCATAATTTTTACCTCAGAGATTCCGTTAATCAAAAAATTCATAAGACACTTCAGAATTTGGCTGAATATCACAGAGAGATCGGATTTAATTTTTGAAAATGGTATCTGTAATATGGTGTCGCCTCCATGCTCCAATTTACATTCTGCACAAATGATTTCTACCGCTTTTGGAGTTATAGCTTTCAAATAATCACTGTATGATACACACATAACATTTGGCAAAATGGAAAGAGCTTTCTCTAAAACTTGTACTTTCGTTGATGACATCAGTATAGGTAGTAAGATGCATGAAATTATGCGATCCGTATCAGAAAACAAACTCATTAGATGGGGTACACTTTCAAGAGCCTGAAAATAATTCAATGCGTATAAGTACATCGGGAGATCACTTAGATACAGTTTCCAACTTTAAGAAGAGATGGAGACTACTATATTTTTAAATTAACAGCCTGGATGTGAGAGACTGTCGATTCAAAGATATTATTTGGAAAATTATTTTTTAAAAAATACAATATTTTTGAAAACGTTATTTAAGATATTTTTTCAAAATAGACGCAGCAAGCGAATGTTTAACGTCACGTGATATAAAATAAATTAAATTGGGAGTCTTAAATTTGGATACCTTTTCAAGGTGGAAGAGCTACTTCCAGTATAGTAAAGAAGGTAAATAATTTAATTTGAAATTTTAGATAATTGAATTTTTTGTCAATAAAGCAAGCAATACCAACCTTGCACAAAACATCATCGCCGTTATCACAAACTTGTTTCATAATCTTCATGTGCAAGACTTCAATTTGTTCAATCTGGGTGTAATTTAAATTTGAAATTGTTCCACTTGATACAATTAAAAAGAAATGATTTAACCTAGATATAGCATCAACTTTACTTAAAGCTTGACCCTTCAATAAATGTGAATAGACTATTTTGAGATTTGCCTTCAATTTGCCTCTGTCCACAGTTCCTATAAAATGCTCAGGCAATTGAGAATCACTTTTATAGCAGGTTGGGACTAGTAGATTACATGCTATCAAATGATATACAAGATCTAAATTTTTGCTATTACAAACAGCTATCAAATTTATAAGTAAGTCTAAAAAATGGTGTGTATTCAAGATCTCATTGCACTTGGTCCAATGTTCTGACAACATAGCTAAAATTTGAGGTAGCACCACACTTTCATTAAAGAACGTTGGAAGGTATGCAGTATTGTGATGTTTCCTAAATTCAAGAGATATTTCAAATAATGCTCTAGTAATATCTTTTAAAAAATGCAATATAGAATCCAACTGACACTTTTTGTTGCAACAATAGTTATTTAGTTTCCCTAACAATGTGTTATAAAACATGTTCCATGTTTTGCTAACACCTCTTTCATATACATTGAGTACACTATGTGGATTTTTTTGTTCAAAATAACCGGCCAGTTCGAGTATTAAAATGTTCTTTATGCATTGAAATGCGACTGCATTTTTTAAATCAATTATTGGAGCAATAAAATCATCAAAAGTCTTTCTAAGAGAATATAAGGGTTTCATAAAATTTAATACACACACTGTTTGGACAGCATCACAGGGACAAATAGTTCTATCATTTTGAATCTCAAGGCTTATTTTAATTAAGAAAACTGACAGTCTTTCTTGGATTTGTATTAGGTTAGTGCCTTGTAAAGTTCGGGGTAAGTTTAAAAACAGTACTAACAAATCCTCAAGCTTCTGTTTGTTAATGTTGCTAACTTGGCCATTATAAAAGTTATACACCAACTGTTCAGTGATTGAAAAATAGGATTGAATATGTTCCATAAAGGCAGGATCCCAATCATCTATATGATAATTCAATCTATCTGTTACACTGATAAATATCTCAAAAATCTCCAAATGAAAATAACCATTGGAACACAAATACAACAAACTGTCTAAAACACTATAGTCTGTAATATCTAAGATGTGGAATGAAACACTTTCCACTAAAATGAACTTCAAGATTTTCAACAGTTTCTTCAGCAGGTCAAAACAGGTTGCTCTAGTTAGAAGTTCAACTGATTTTGTTTTTAAGTTCAGTTTCTCATCCAGTTCCTTGTTCTTATTAGGAATGAAAACTTCTAACATCAGGCTTTCACTTGGTATTTTTAAAAATTGAACCAGTGAATCAAAAGCTTTCTTGTACTCTTTAGCCAGGTGCCCATAAATATGCAACTGAGTTTTTGCAAGTTGTTCTAGCACACACAACTGAGCATCAACTACAATTTTCTCATCAGAAGTTAATAGGTAAAAAAATTGCCCAAGCAGCCAGGTTGCGAAAGATTGATATTTGCTCAATATCTCATTGTACTCTTCAAATGACAAATCGGGTTCTTTACTATACAAGAAAGTCTTGGAAAATTCCTTGGACATAACCATATTAGCAAGCTTTTGTATCATATTTCTATCAATTGGTCCAGGTTTAATCAGTGTTTCCACAAATTCGTTGAACATTTTCCACATAGAAAATGCTTCTTCTAATATTATGGAGGGCATATTTTGAGAATAGTTCTAAATTCTAAAAAATAAATAAAACAGGTTTCCAACTGTTTAACTACGATTTTATTTTATTTACTTACACGCTCTACGACTGCTCTACCACGTACAATAAAGATTACAATGTACAAATAACTGTTAGAATAAAATAACACAAATCACAAATATTAACTACCACAAACAAATTCAAATTAAAGAATCAAAGATTAGTTGGAAGTGGTTAGATCGTTTTTGCAATTTTATTCTGTGGTTTATTAGAAATTAAAAGACAAATATAAATCGTCAACTTCATGATGGACCTAGAAAAAAAAACAAAGAACAAGAAAATAAATTATCTGCAACTTTTAAACCTTACATTAAACAGATTCGAATTCGCATTATTTCTTAATGGGTGCAGCTTACGTATTTAGTGGATACTGGATACCAAAATTGTTAGTTGGCGCAACCATGGTCCCTTATAGAATATTTAAACCTTTGGTGCTAAATATTCAATTATCATTTCCTAGACAGTCTGTTATATATTCTCATTTCTCTAGTTCTTAGTATTGGGATTAATAGATTTTCCTTATACACCCACAAGTAAACATATTTTTGGATAAAGTTTAACCATTTGCCACTAATAAAACTTAAAATTATCGTTTATTGTATCAAAGTTTCAAAAACAAGCTTAAAAAACAAAATTTTACCAAAATAACCAAGCACATTTTGTTTGAAAAAATTTCATCGTGTCTATCATAAAAAAAATTGCCATACTGCGCAGCTGGATGATATTTGGCGACCACAGTTAACATTTTTGCAATATTATCGCTTGATGCACTTCCATAAAAAACTTGTGCCTATGTCCTCATGCACGTGGCCATCAAATACAGTGGACTAAGCACAGAATACTAAGGTTACTTTTTGTAATACGTAGAAGTAGCTCCAAGTTATGATTTCAAGTTTGACGTTTTAGTAAAAAAGGTAAATTTATGTATTTTTGAAAACCAGTCTATATTAAATGCTGTAATCGATTATTGTATGTGACGGAAGCAAACTCGAGTTTATTGGTGTGACAACGAAATGCGATCAGAACTTACCGCAATAAATCGTGATAAAAGATAAAGGGAGGCGATAACAGGTGCTGATCCAATGCCATACATTTTAGTGCGCGGAAATTTAGCAGCGTACGGCCAGAGGTATCCTTGGAGAGTGTTAGTGTCAGGTCTAAAGGCGGCAGACATAGAACAGTTGAACAGATTTGCATCAGGGGGCTACTGTGACGATTCCACAATTGTATATATGCAACATCCCTGTGTAATTCTAACGGCTCTGGAAGTTCTAGGCTATAAAGTTGTTGCATCTTCATCTACCAGCGTCAAGCAGGATTATAATGAATACATGTGGACTATGAGAAAGGAGTTCACAGAACCTGAACCCATTGTGGTGTCACCAACCAAAGCTTTGGAGAAGCTACATTTGGAAAAAAGCCAAACATAACATGGAAATTCCAGCAAGCCTGCTAATGTCATCAGGAACTTATGGCTATGTAGCAGTTAAAGCCTCCATACATGCATCTGATAGTGCTGTGTTTGGATTGAATGATGATGAGATCAAAGCAATGGTCAAACGATTTTCAGATTATCGGAAGGAAATTATAAATGGAGTGTTGCTTAAAGCTTCCCCTATGGAAGTTGTTAATGCCCTGGGACAGCTTGGTTATAGAGTTGTAGCAACTACTGGAGAGGCTGAAGTCATATGGACTATGCAAAGGGACCTTTAAAATTCTTGGATATTTTTGAATATTTAAGTATTCTCTTCCTAGTAGAATTGAGTATTCTTTCAATAGTATTTTGTGTTTATATGGTATTAATGTATTTGTATAATGCACTGTGATTGTATACATATTTAATGTAATGCAAGCAATTCACTTATAACTTTTTTAGATTGTACATTTTTTGTAAGTTAATTTACCTCTTTTATTTGTTAACTTGGCAATTTTTAAAAAATAAAAAATAGTCTCTGTCAACTCTGTGTACCTCAATAAGTTATATCTACTACTGTATAATTATTTATAGACAATTGTCCAGGATTCTTAAGAAAAATGTCAAATTGTGGCAGCCACAACCACCCTGCTTGTAATTGTAAAAGTTCCACAGCATCTCAGACTTTAGATGAGCTCAATTTTGAGCGAGGCATCTGGTATGCAGCTCAATATGGAGACCTTCAAAGGCTCAAGAAACTGATTGAAATAAAACATTGCCCAGTAGATGCAAGAGACTCTGCTGGCTATACGGCCTTGCATTATGCTGCGAGAAATGGCCATTTGGACATATGCAAGTATTTGATAACAAATGGAGCTGATATCAATGCAACTACTAGGTCTGGGCTGGCTACGGCTTTGCATCGATCTTCTACAGCAGGTAAGCTGTGATGTTTTATAACAAATAATATAATAAAGATAAAATCTTCAGAAATATTACTTGAGGATCTTTCACTTCAATGTATGTCCATTGGAACAACTGGGCAATAAGCAACCACTTGCATTTGGGAATTCAGATGTTAAAATTTTCTAATCTTATAAATATATAAAGTATTCAATTTTCAGGACAAACTGAAATTGTACGGTACCTAGTTCAGGCAAAGGCAAACATTTTCCTCAAAGACATTGACGGTAAAAGTGCCCTGCAAAGAAGCATAGAAAGCAACCACAGAGACATAACGGAACTACTGTTGAACTACAAAGCAGAACTTACATAGTGGATAAAGCAGTTAGAAACCTTAAGATAATTTCATTAAGGCCTGTTTCACTCATTTGTTTGTTATGGCTTATGCTTAAATGTCGAATAATAAAAGTACTAAATGAAATTCTGCAAAAAAAATTTATTTCTCAACGGAAAGAGTGAGTATCACAACCTAATTAAAACTAAATTGATGTATTTTACTAACAAGTGATGTGCAAATATATCATGTTTTTTTGTTAACTTTTTTAATCAAAATTTCCCGAAATAAAATTATGCAGTAACTTTTTTATACTATGATCAACAAATTGGTTGGATGAGGACACGAAAAATTTTGCGAAATGACCTTAGTAAATTACAAAGAAATGTTTCGATGGAAAAAAAAAACATTCAAAGTCATAAGAGCTCAGCATTCACACACAATTTTCATTCCTAGCGGGTCGACTGAAGGTAACCATGTATAAGATAATGTAATACTATACTGAATGCGGTAACTTTTGATTAAACAGGTAAAAAAATTATCATATTTACTTCTGCAACAATTTGCATTATGAAGTGAAATACCCATGCTGTACAAATTATTTGATTACCTTCAAGCTTCTGAGATCAGTAGTTATAAAAAAGTGGATGTATATTTAGTCAATTTTCTAAATGAGAATAGTTTCGCATTTGAGAAGAAAATTGCTAACTTGCAACAATTAAAACACAATAACTTCCTTGCTGGGATGTATTGTAAGTCCTATTCCACACATGGCGTAATTTCCGTCGGCGGAGTCCACATAGAATCCGCCGCGAAATCCATTGGTGCACATCAGCACAGTGGATTAATTGAAGAAACCCATAGGATAGCAGGTTTATACTATACACTTCGCTAGCGAATCGGTCGTTGAAGGTTCGGTTATTTTATTAGGGTTTTGTTAACTTTATATGCGTCCCTGTTATTCATTAGTGGAATGATGGATGTGGATAAATTAATTCAATTAACTCAGAAACGTAAAAATGTTTCGGATGCGGGTAAGTAACTACGCCTATTATTACTTTGTTTTAAAAATATTCTCTCTATGTTTATGTCAAAACTTACATTCTATATCTGTATAGTACTGAACTGGAATTTGTTTCTTAGGGAGAAGGGAACCTGACACACATGACGGATTAAACGCGGAATTTTCATAGGCGGAATTGACGAGCGGAAAAATACACTTCCACTTGAACTAACCCACATATCCAGCGAAATAGATTTCGCTCTGCATTTGCCAGTTTCCCTTCTCCGTAAGAACCTAATGGTAGTCAGATATAGAACGTAATTTTTGACATAACCATATACAGAATATTTAAGTTATAATGGTTTTTTTTGTGATTTATTTGGCCCTGCAACTCAGGCAATTTGTTACAAATATTGGTAAATAGAATTCAAAATTCCTAAATGATGCTTCCTACTGAAAGGGTGTGGACTAACCCATCATCCTCCAGGTTTGTTAACATATTCATATAGTGGAACAACTTCTAAATGACGACCGATGCTTCTTAGGGCTCCTGCAATTATCTCACATGGGATATCGATTCCACCTGGCCTGGTTATCAGCGTGAATACAAGAAATCTAAATACATCCGCTTAAGACGAACACTATTTCCCAAATTTATTGGCACTGCGCCTCTATCACTTCAGATAACAAATATACAAAACACTATTTAACATCAAACGACACTAATTTCTACATATTCTATAATAGGTTTAGTTATTTACCAACATCTTCTTTTCCCTTATATTCGTCCACCCTTTTATCGCAAACACTTGGACGTCCTGAATTAATTAAATTAACATATCTACATCCACTATTCTACTATTTAACAGTGTTATTTAGTAAGCCCATCTGTTGGCATGTTTATGAAGTATACCAGTGTGCGTGCTCAGTAAAATGTCGTTTTTCAAAGTTAACGATAATAGTATATTATGCAACAAGTACAGTAAACAGCATTTGATTCACGAGTTTATTTGATACGAGCGGAGCGAGTTTTTAATAAACGAGTGAGTTAAAAAGTTTACCGAACGTGTTGCATACTATACTTTTTCTACGACCGTTAGTTTTTGGGTATATTTTCGCAAAACAACACGAATACATTTACTAACATTACCGTCAGAATTAACAAACGGCAAAGTTCAAACCGTGGGAAATATCTCCGAAAATCTCGGAAATGTCCATGGTAAAGTGGCGCTTCCCGCACGCTAGATCCGTGGGTAATTTACACACGGGAGTAGAAAAAGAAATAAAGTTAGTCTATGCTGAAATCTCAGTAGGCAAAGTGTGTTCCATTTCGGGGTTAACTAGAATTTCAACAAACAGAAAGCATATAAAGTTAACAAAACCCTAATAAAATAATATCGCGTTGATACTTTACAGCGGTAGCGTATTTTTCAGTTCGGAAATTCCGCCATGTGGTGAATAGTGATTGTGAGGTTAATTCTTTTCATCAAGTGATGACATTTTAGCATGCATTTACTGGGCAGAATTTATTACTAGACTATTGAGACCTTTGTATCCCACAATCTATATATCTTGTTTTAAAGACATTTACTAAAAGAAAAGACACAAAACTAATCTCAATTAGATTTCTAGTTTAAAAACGCCGGCTACTAAAATGACGCAAACAATACTAGGACTATAAACCTATCCAGACAAACGACTAGTAGATAAATACTAACGCATTGAGATCATGATTAAAATAGAACTATCTATAATATCTCCAGGGAGAGGTACCGATGTAACAACGGCGGCAAAGGGAGTGCCCGGATCCTTGATATAAGCCTTTTTGGCCCCATTTTCCTCCTTACGACTATTCTGCACAGTTCTCTTAGGTTTAAAGGGTTCGTCTTTACCGAAACGAGAAAATCGCACGACGGATCATTCGAATCCTTGCGCAGTGTTTTGGGATCCAGACTCATGCCCGATAAACGAAAACCTGCGTACACGATCATCCTTACCAGTTGCAAATTGCCATATCTTTTGGCTAAGCTGAGTATGTCAACGAATGCTCTCTCGTCACGAAGATTCACGTCGGCTCCGTGTTGTATCAGGGAAACTGTGGCGTGAAGATTTTCTAATATAATTGAATAAAATAGGACACTGCCCTGGTAGCTGGGCGCGTTCATGTTAGCCCCATGATTAATCAGGAGTTCCAAGAGGTCGTAAATGTTCGCCGGCACGCGAACATCCTGGACGCAAACGTGCAACGCCGTACGACCGTCGATGTGACTCATGGCGTTTATGTCCGCTCCTTTGCTCAACAATAACCTGGAACTGAGGTTCGGAAACTCCCGAAAGAAACCGGTACCCGCCGTTTAATACCTGATGATGGATAAATTTTTTCTAGAACACGCTAGCATTAACGGTGTATACCCGTGCTCGTCTCTGACGTTGAGAGCCGTTCCTGCTTCGATTAATAGTTTCACCACTTTAAAATTGTTGTTGGATATCGCGTTATGCAACAAATGATGCGAATGGATTATTCTAGCGCCCGCATTAAGAAGAATTTTTACCTAAAACAAGACACCTGTTTGTATGGTTTGTTATAAGGAATCTATGCCATCAAGCAACCGATACAACCAGGGAGAGATTCCAGGGTTTGGGGAGCTTCTATGTTCTATGGTAGACATGCTTGTAGAATGCAACGGAAAATAAAAGTGTTAAAAAACTTATGTTATTTAAATGTTATAGACAATAGCACGACAGAATCTACAGATTTATTTTATAACACTCAATATATTTTAAACTTTATCAAACAAAACTGCCAATAATCGAGCGACAATATTGTTGGGTATTTGTTTAGTGTAGTAAAATTAGACTTTTGAAGAAAAAATTTACAAACTATAAAAGTTTTGGTACTGAACTCCCAGTATAAACCCTAATACAGCAGAGTTCCCACCGGCCCGCTCCCAAGCTTCAGAGTTTTGCTCATAAGCCGTAAAAATGTGATAAAACTTTTTATAAAAAAAAATTATATCATAGCGTATCTTCCACCCAACGCTATTAAATGACCTTGGCGAATAAATCTAGATCTCGGCGGGAAGAGAAAAATAATTATCATCTCAATTATTAACGAGCAAAAAATGAACACAAATAAAATGAAACAAGCGTTCTTTCTCTACCAGGCTAGCATAGGATAAAATATTTAAATATTTTGAGCTCGTTTCAACACTACCTTTCAGATAGATTCAAGTTTTCCGACCCACTATGGCAATATTATCTTTTGCCAATGAAGTGAAGTTGAATACGACTACCACCTTTTGTAAATCGCTCCGAAGAAGGCAAAAATAGTGCAACTAAACGCGTGGGCCAACAAAATATTAATTTTGCAATCCTTTAAAACTATCGTGGGAAATATGCACCCTTTCCTTAAAATTTATTTCCTTGTACATATTTCAAAAAGGGGTCCTTGTCCGACTGAGAAAGACCGAATATGAGTGTAAGCAAATCGATCCCTACCCAACAAGTTTTTCATAATTGTTCCATCTAGCAGCTAGAGCGGAAATCGCTGCTTCCCGCTCTTTACTTTCAAGATTTTGAAATAAATTCTTATGCGAATCACTAATTGACGTCTTTTTCAAAAATTATTTGTTTATGTATAGAAATAACGCATACCAAATATCAAAACTCAAAACCCAATAGTTCAGTTTCAATGCTTCCTGATCTATATAAAAGAAAGAATACTTTAAGTTATCAATGCCAATATACATTAAAATCAGTATTTGGGTTTCCTTTTTTTTTTTGTTGAATAATTTACATTTTATTTGATTTACCATTTGAATTTTAAAAACTAGAAAACTTTAAGCTGATTACAATACTATATTGGTTTAAAACTAGTGCATAAATTTTCTCCGAACCTCAGCAAAAGAAAAACTTTCGGTGTTTTGTGTGTTAGATGTCACCATAAACATATCCACTAAAGGTAAATTATCAGATTGACCTTTTTAAAAATCGGATTCAGTCATTTTCAAAACTTCCTTTTTAATACTAAACACAAGATAACAAAATCAAGCGACTCGATTAAGACTAAAATTTAAATTAAAACTATCAAGACGAACGCGTTGTGGTTCTCTAATGGCTTCTCTATGCTACCGCCCGGCTGGCACGTAGTCTTGCAAGCGAATCAACGTCACAACAGGTCAGAACCAATTGCAGCGCGTTTCAAACATAATTTATTTAGCAACATTTTTCGAATTAAAATTTTGTTTAAGTTCTCTATTATAGGAGCCGTTGCGGAAGAACTTTAAATGGGGCTGGAGAACAACTACCAAAATGCCAGTGGTTACGACTGAATTTTTCAGTTCATTTTCTGCGGTTGTAAAAAGGGACGTGGAAAGAGATCCAACTGTGTGAAACTTGGTTTGCGTTGCACAACAATGTGTGTGTTTATCTGTTTAACTTTAAATGTCGTCGAGATGAATGATTTTGCGGAGGTAGACAATTAGATAGTTATATTTCATTAATGGGATAGGCCTACACGGAAAACCACGTCAATACAAGCGGCATCGAGAAGATGAATGTACCTCAAGGTTGGTACGGAAACGAGTTCAAAGTACAGAATCATAGGTATAAAAAACATTATATGACCACTAACACTTGCTAATAAATATTTTATTTTATGTGGCCCTCCTAGAGAAAGAGCTGATTTTTAATTTAGATTCATTTTTTGCTCATTCTAATAATTCTCGAGATAATCGCCGCAAAACACGGCGCTGGGTTAATTTTTTCTCTTCCCGCTGAGAATTAGGTTTATTCTCCAAGATCATTTATGAGTCTTGGGTAAAAGATACGCAAAGACATTAGAATTTAATGGAGAATATAACAATTCCTATAATAATTTCTCTTCGAAATTACCGTTTACACTTTTGGAGGTAGTTTTTTAGCTCCCACCGAGGGGATGGAAAAACTTTCGGATCTGGGTTCTTTCTGTGATTTCAGTACCAAAATTTCAAAACTTTATACATTTTTCTATTTGTCGTGATGCAGAAACATACCACTGCCGCATTATTAGACCATACGGCTAATCTTAGTGGAGTCAATCCACCAGGTTCCTCGTGGTTGACGCGCGCCCCATTTGTTACTAATATTTTAACAACTTCTTCGCAGCCTTGTCGTACTGACAATGTTAAAACAGATTTTTCTTCCACATCTAGAGCATTTATGTCGGACCCCGATTCTAACAAGAGGTTTATGACGGCCATGTGCCCTCCTCTAACTGCCACATGAAGAGCAGTTTGCCTTTGCCTGCCACCGTAAACATTTACACTTGCTCCTCTGCACAGCAAACATCTAACCATTTCCGAGTCTCCATTCGCGGCTGCCATGTGCAGGGGATTGAAATAACAAGCATCATTTTGATTTATATTTAAGTCTTTTCCTAAATTATCCATAAGATATTCAACCATGTCAATATTTCCAGAATTGACAGCATAATGCAAGACGCTTTGTCCATGCCTGTCCAACCGACCAAAATCCTTATCAGGAGACTCTAATAATACTGAAGTGCGGTTTAGAATGCTGGCATACCTGATAATAAAAATACAATAATACAGGGTATTCCGAAATTATCAACTATAACAGCATACTCTAGGTCCAAAATAAGCCCTAGTTTCCTAGATAAACCCTATAAAAAAACCCTAAAAGGAATGGACCTGAAAATGGTTTTCCATTAATATTTCTATAATCGATAGTAATTTTGACATGCTAAAATTAGAAATGTTAAATTTTTGGTGGGAATGGGTGTGTTCTGTTATAAGAAAAAAAAAGAAACCCACAAAAAGTTATTGCAGTTATTGTTACCTGTATCAATAAAAAATTGTTTGACTCTCATATTTTTAGAATCAGATTGAGGATGCCAAAATAACATAACCGTTAATTTTTTCCGAAATATTAATAAAAAAAACTATTTTATATACTGGGCCTTCAAACTTTTCACATATACATTTTTTTAAATAAGTGTAGGGGATTTAATTAGATCACCCCTAGCATTCTTCTTAACTAGATTCAAGGAGAAACTTATGCAATGGAAATATTTTTTATTTAGGTGCTTTTGTGTTTTGCATTTTTTTCCAAAATACTTAGATTTCCAAAGAAAAAAAAAATCTACAGCAGTGCATAACGAAATCAAAAACTTTATTATATAAAAAAAACTAGTGGGCTTCTGTCACTTCTTAAGGTGTTTCTTATTATTGCTTTATTTGACATTGCTCAGTGAGTTTAATTACAAAACAGGAATAACTTAATCAAAAATTTATTATATAATCATTTAATTGTTCAATAATAAGAATTTTAATTCAATAATAGTGGCGCGCAAACGGAAATTCCTTGGATGCTTGTCTCATCCATAATAGATCAATTAATTTTAGAAATGTTCATGAATAAATTATTTTTAAAATCTAATTGGTTAGAAGATCATTGATAATGTATTTACAAAATACAACTGTTTGGCAGCACCCAACCAAATCATTTTTCTAACATTTTTATTTTTATAATATGCAATGCTTTACATTTTTTTTGGAAGTTGTATCAAGAAATTGCAGGAGAAAAAAGTTTCTAGTAAATGGGTCTATCAAAATTAATTTTTGTACATGTCATTGCCTAAGTTTAAATTTAGTTTAAAGGAATGATAGGGATAGTCTAAATCTTCCAATAATATATCCAGTTTAGAAAGATGTAAAAACTTATGTCACTCAAAAGTTAATATATATAATTACCATTTGTACATGTTTATTGTATCATCTACAGGATCATCTTCTTGAGGAAAACTACTATCGTTAACCTCCATGTCCCATTCTAATCCCTCCATACCTTCAGGGGTGGGACCATCACCAAAGTCATTTTCCTCCAAATCTCGACAAACAACAAAGTATCCTATGTTCTTGTACATGTTTTGGTTATTACATTCTAGCTGTAAATATTGAGGTTTAGGTCTTGGATCCATTGAAGTCCTGTGATTATGGTACTCCAACAGGAGCTTTAAGAGGGCCAAATTTCCAGTTTGTGCAGCAGCTCCCACAAGAGTCATTCCATTTGAACATATTTTATTTATGTGGATATCTAAAATACCATTCGTTTAAGTAACCAACATAAAGAATTCGCTGGAAGTTACATACCTTTATTTAAGATGATATACTTTAAATCGTTTTCGAAAATGGCCTTCATAAAGCACTCATTCGAAGTGTCCATAGTTTGGACCCCAAGATAATCTATTTACATTCCTGCGAACGATAATAATAATTCTGCATCACAATATAACTATATCAATATTTAACCAAAAATTTCATTCACTATTGTTGTTGGTGTCAACTATGCCCCAACTTTTCTCTGCTGCAAAGTGTTCCCAAGAAACTTTTCAAAGTTAACTTGTTCTTCTTTTGCGTTTCACCACCAAGATTGTGCAAGCAGATTCATTAGAACTATCCGCTCATTGCCGATTATTAGAAACAAAGAAAAATAATGCAATTGTGTTTTGGATGTTTTTACTCTAAGGTTATAGAACAATAAATGTCTTATACTTCACTCCGTTCAGTTAATAAATTGAAAATTCATATTGATATTATTTGCCCTTCTATCAATAATTTTCCATGCTATGCGACCGGCATTGTTTACATGGCAGGTCATAGTCTGCTAGCTTTTTTATATTTATCTTAGCTTTCGAGGTTAAAGAAAGTTTGTGTTGGAAAAGGAATTTTTCAGCTGTTTTTGACTGCCTTTATTTGTGGAAAAAATATGTCGACAATTACTTCTCCTTCTGTGGAACTAAGTTCGTACCGAGATCAACATTTTAAGGTAAATTAGAATCAGGCAATAGTACAAAAATCACTAAAATTTGAGTTATAGGGCACTCGGGCAGAGCAGGACAAGCTGCTAAGGGTGTCGTCTACTTTGTATGTTGGTAACTTATCATTCTATACCACAGAGGAACAAATATATGAACTTTTCTCTAAGTGTGGTGATATAAGGAGGATTATTATGGGTTTGGATAAATATAAAAAAACACCCTGTGGGTTTTGTTTTGTTGAATATTATAATAGGGCAGACTCTGAAAATTGTTTAAGGTAAACAATTAGAGCAAAATGAAAGGTACCCGAAATTAAACTTAATTTTAGGTATATTAATGGTACTCGCTTGGATGATAGGATAGTTAGAACTGATTGGGACGCTGGCTTCATAGAGGGTAGGCAGTATGGACGCGGAAAGACTGGAGGCCAGGTAACTGTAACTATTATAATCGAAAACTGAAACTATGTTGTTCATTCTCTAGGTTCGTGATGAATATAGAACAGATTATGATGCCGGGAGGGGGGGGTATGGAAAAATTATCCAACAAAAGTTGGGAAATACAGAAGTTCCTGCTTTTTTGAGATGAAGTAGTGTGTAAAAAAACTCTGTAAAATTTAAAATGGTTTTACCAAATAACAGAACATGTAACTAAATTATAAGATCTTTGTAAAGAAGACAGATAATATTTTTCATTCCCCAAAATATCCAGTTACACATCGATTGGATATTACCTACAAATTTAGGAGCAATCAGATGTTTTCACATTTTTCACACATTATCCTCTGCTTTCAGACGTTTGTTAATAATATTTTCCTGTTATGTTGCAAAAATGTACCCAAAAAGTAATGGTTGAGATAAAATATAATATGTAACACCTTTGACAAACTTTCACGCGCTTTGCTTGTGCCAAAACAAAACTTACGACCTGAATGCAATTTATTAAACTTGTTGGATAATATATACTATTTTTTAAATGACGGCAACTATGAGCTAGGGTAAGTGAATCAGATTGGCAACAGAATTAACAAAAATTATTAACCTAATAATTTTATTAATCTAAACATTAAAATTAACTCTTTAAAAAAAAATAAAAACCCTTTCTGGAAAACTTTATGTTTAGCTGTATGCTACTAGTAATATCTTATTTATAAATGGATAATTCTAAAATTATTATTTATTCGGAAGAATCTGGTGTGTGCCAAGCAATCCTTTCCTCATAGAATTGGATAACAACTTGTGGGCATTTCATGTTTGCTTCTTTGGCAGAAACCAAATCCGTTTCGTCAGTGCCAATCCACTTCATGAGAAACATTAATTGTCCAGTTGAGTCTGAAGCTCCAATAATCTTTTCCGCTTCTAAGCCTTTATCAAATCCAGACTTCTTGGGTCCTCCTGATTTGTTTTTTTCTTTTGATTCTGGCTTCTTCTTTTTTTTGTCTTGCTTTGAGACATTTTCCTCATCAGAATCTCTTGTAGATTCTTCAACCTTTTCTTTTTTCTTTGTTTTTTCATCATCAGAGTCAGAATCAGCCACTTTTTTGCTCTTTTTAGATTTTTTTTCCTCTTTATCATCTTCTGTTTTCTTTGATTTAGGTTTTGAATCTGACTTCTTCTTTTTGGTTTTTGGTACTGAATCAGATTCATCATCTGATTTTTTCTTTTCATCTCCTGAATCATCTGCCTTGGACTTTTTAGTTTTGGGTTCTTCATCCTCTTCTGGAGAAACACTTCGGCCTCTTCTTTTCTAGAAAGAAACATGACAAACCCTATAACGCATTCCTCAGCAGTTCTTCATGGTCCACAAAGGAAGATACGTAAAATCATTAAAAAAACTTATTCAAAACAGGAAATGTTTTGAGACAAAAATTTGGTGATTAAAGTTTCAAAAATTGTGAGGGGATTGAATTAGAGTTGTGTCAATCGCGATTGATTCGGTTACTTTGATTCAATGATTTCATAGGATCGAACGACCGAATCCCGCTTCTTCGTAACGATTCGATTACTTTCTTGTCTCTCGCTGCCGCCTTGTCCGGTCTGAAGTGACCGAATACAGGACGACCGATCGACCGACCCTACCAAAACAAATCGAATTCCCCGGAATACGATTCATTTGAATGGTTTAAGATTTAAATGCATGACTGAGACAGGCTACGGAAAAGAAATGGAAGTATTGTTATAATTATTCTATAGTAGTGAGTTGCGACATTGATTATGTGTTGAATAGAATATTGAATGAACTATCTATTTCCACACAGGTATTTGATTTAAACAAATTAATGTATTACTGGTACAACCCAATATGTAGCACCTATTTTGATAAAATTATGATTCAATAAAAAGCAGAACACAGCTAAATATTATACTAACTAGAACAGAAAACATAACATATAGACACAACAATAATTCAAATGAATCTGAATCGGTGGTTCAGACTGTTCGGATTCAATGACTATTGCCGCTTATGTTGGCATCAAAAAGTATCGAAATGAATGATTGATTGAAATGATTGGGTCCTTTTCAAAATCGGTCACTGATAGATTCAGTCCTGCTAAAATGAACAATTGACACAACACTAGGTTGAACACCTGTCAATCAGACAAATTAAACAAAACTCAATTTGGAACATCACATGTTAATGATTATTAATTACTTCGATCGCGCTTGAAATTATGTATTTTATTTAATTTAATCTAAACGTCAAGTAAAAACATAACAGCAAAGAGCTGTACCTTTTTCTCATCAGAAGCATTGGAGTCAGTGGAATCGTTTGAATCTCGTCGTACCCGCTTCTTATCTTTAGTGGACGATTTTGCTTTGTTAAGTTTTCTGTTTCGCTCAAACTCTTGAATTAGATCTGGGCAATCTAAATTTTCTTCGGGTTCCCAGGTATTGTCATCCTCGCTATAACCCTTCCATTTTAAAAAGTATTCAACCTTTCCTTTTACCACACGTCGATCAATTATTTTTTCGACGGAATACTCTTCTTCACTTTCGCTACTTTCGTCCGTTTTTGACTTCCCCATTTTCTCTGAAAATACAAAATGCATGGGAATATATTTCCGACGCCATGATCTTTCGAGTATTGCCGACTATGTGATAGATGGAAGAAAAAAAATACTTAAAGCATGGGAATAATCTATAAAAAGCAACAGAATATAAGTATATATACCTTGAGCAAGTTGCTTAGTCTCCGAAATCTATGGAATTTTACTTGAAACACGACGCTATCTCCTTGGCAATCCAAAACAAACTCCGCCAGGAAAATGGCGGTTTTTGGAATCAGCAATACCAACACCAACACTAAACACTAGGTGCATAACTGTGATTCAAGGACTCATGGTTTGTTAATTTGTTTTACCGTTTAGATAGCATAAACTGGCCGCGTGATTTCATATTGAATTGAGTAGAATTCCCAATAGGTTTGAAATTTAAATTGTTTAAAATTCTACTGTTCACATTTTCCTTTGATTTTATTTTTCATAATTTTTTTGTTGAAATATTAATTTAGGTAGCCAATTTAAAAAAAAAAAACTGTTTCATTTCTTTCGCTACTAATAAAAAAAAACAAACCTAGCGAAACCTAGCTAAATCGAACTAAAACAAACCAAAAAACAAGTCTTGATGATAATATTTACAAATTTTCACTTCCAGTTAAGCTCTGAAGAACCCAACAGGATAATTGGCGAAACGTCAGCAAATTCCAGTTATCACAACCGAGAGATAGTGATACAGTAGCGTGCGAAAATTTCTTTAAATAGCATATAATGGTAAAAATTGGTCGAATGCCTTTGGCATATCTGCCTATTGACAGTAATGAGAACAAAAACAATTATTCTATGTTTGACAAATTAAAATATGGGCATATATTTAAACATCTAAAAAATTAAAAACCAAACAATAAATATGAGTAACGGATTGGATAAAACGCAAATTGCTGCGGTTCTACAGATCCTTAAGAAATATAATTTGAAGGTATATTTTTGTATTCTCTATTCGGCACAGTACCTGGCATTTATTTTTAGGGTACTGAAGAGTTGCTTCGTAAGGAAGCAAACCTTAGTGGAGAAGTAGGGGACCAACAGGATTCTGATGTCAGCAGCGTCTTAACAGGTTACAAAAGCGATGGAGATCCAGAAACCTATGAGGCTTCATATATGGAACTGAAACGATTTGTTGAAAATTCTCTGGATATTTACAAACACGAATTAGGCGTCATTCTGTACCCTGTTCTGGTCCATATGTATTTGGAATTGGTATATAATGGTCACACAGAAAAGGCAATAATGCTGATGAACAAATTTGGACCGGAACAGGATACATATTATCAAGATGATTTGAAGAAACTAGCAATGGTTACAAAAAGAGATCACATGAATGGAAATGAGCTAACTGACACATTTAAATCAAATCAGTTCATTATTAGAATGTCCCGAGATACATTGTCACTGTTAAAACGGCACTTAAACGATAAGAAAGCCTCAGTGCTATTAAATATAATTCAGGAACACCTATATTTTGATATGTATGAAGGTGTTGCCAGAAATAAGAGCCAAATTGATGCTACATCTGGTGCAGTAGGAGGAGAAGCCAAAAGACAAGGTAATGGTCTCCATGTAACACACTGGAAACTTTTTGTTGCTATTTGATTCCCTGTAATTAAACAAGTTCAGAAACTGTTCCACTGTGAGAGCTATGTTTTGATACCAGGTGTATACTAATTCCTGGTAATGCATCTAAATGTCCAATTTTAGATAAGTATTTCCTCTAATACAAATTAATTCCCCTATTAATACCTCTAATACCTACTAATTTCACTGGGAAGGTCCGCTATTTCTGAGATGAAAGCTATTAAACTGTGATGTTCCGCTCCCATGAAAGTACTAATTCCAGTTGACAATCAAAAAAAACTTTTGCATATTACATTACTAACATTATTAATGTAGCAACCTAAAACTTACCTTGCATCTTATAAAAACGGTTATTGAAAAGGTTTGTGATTTATTATAGACTACCCCACCAATCAACGTGACAACATCGACATCTGGAATTTTAGAAATGCTGACCACTCTAGCATAGTTATATAGAGAGTTATATGGTGCCTATAGCTAGAGTTTTAAGCTTTCAAAATCCGTTTTTAAAACAATTCTATATGGTTATTAGTTAATAATGCAGTGAATCCACGTTCACAGTTTATGCCAAGAAATAATTTATTATGCAACAAGTGCGGTAAACGGCAGTGTTTAATCAACAAGTGACTTGAAGAGTTTACGGAACCTGTTGCTTACTATACTTTTTCGACGACCATTAGTTTTTGGGTTCATTTTCGTAAAACAACACGAATACATTCACTGACATGACCGGCAGAAGTGACAAACGTCAAAATTCAAAGCGTGGGAAATATCCGAAAACATCCGATTGCTCCCAAATCCATGGGGTAAAATCCCGGAAATGTCTGAAGTGACTCGGATTCATGGGAAACGAAACTGACGTGGTAAAGTGACACTTCCCCCAGGCTAGATCGGTGGGTAATTAGGTATTTTACAGACGGGAGTAGAAAATTAGTACATTATGCAACAAGTGCGGTAAACGGCATTTGACTCACGAGTTTATTTGACACTAGCGGAGCGATTGAACGTGTACATCGGTTCGGTTTTTATCTTCCGTGACAAATACGAGGGACGTTCGGATTGAACTATTTTATGGAACAGCACAGTCAAGTGTAACTTCCTTTATTCTGGCTTAAAAAGCCATATGATAGGAGCCATCCCGTAGATAAATCTTAAACAAGATTTCTGGACACAGAATTTTTTGAGTTTGCACGTTGAATACGTTTGTGAATGTAAGGTTTCAATCTTAAAGTTGAATCAAGAAATAAAACCAAGTTGCGACATGATTTTAATGTTTTTATTGTTATTTAGGCTGAGTTTCCCAAAAATTAAATAAGCCGATTTAGATGAATTAATTAATATGTTTTGTTGTTGCGAAAATTCAAATAATCTAGTTAGATTCTCGTTTAATTTATTTTGAGCTAAATCAGCTTCATTGGTGTTAAAAGAAATATATATTTATGTGTCGTCTGCATCTAGATGAATAAGGCAATTATTCTCTACGGCAGCGTAGGTTCGAAACCTACCTACTGCAAACGGCCATTGTTTTGCTGGAAATATATATTTTTTAATTAACAGCTCAGCCCAGAAATTTTTCCCAAATATGGGGATTGAGTGCATAAATTTATAAAAATATAATGGCCTTATATTTCAAACGCATGGTACATCACCTGAAATAGTTCTACTTTCAAACAGATTTAGCCCTGGTCTGTCGGTTAAGGCATCTGACTAGAAATCAGATTCTCTATGGCAGCGTAGGTTCGAAACCTACCTACTGCAAACGGAAATTGTTTTGCTTGAAATATATATTTTTTAATTAACAGGTCAGCCCAGAAAATTTTCTCAAATATGGGGATTGAGTGCATGAATTTATAAAAATATAATTTCCTTATATTTCAAACGCATGGCACACCACCAGAAATAGTTCGACTCTCAAACAGATTTAGCCTTGGTCTGTTGGTTAAGGCGTCTGACTAGAAATCAGATTCTCTATGGCAGCATAGATTCGAAACCTACCTACTGCAAACGACCATTGTTTTGCTTGAAATATAATTTTTGTAATTAGCAGCTCAGCCCAGAAAATTTTGTCAATTATGGGGATTGAGTGCATAAATTTATAACAATATAATGCCAATTCATCTGGAATCTGGCAATAATTTATAGAATTAATGATGTTACAAGAACAAATACAAAATAAGTATAAGTATAAGAAGTAGAAGTTGTTGAGTTGAGTTCTTTATCGGTGAAAATATTTTTATTTACATTTTAAAAATATTTATTTATTTCGTTGGGATTTTTGAAATTTTTTGGTAAAGAATTAAACTCACTTTTAGAGTGTTTAAAGTGTTTAAGTTGTTTCCATTAGTGTTAATTATATGCCGGAGGTATATTCTCCCGTCTTATTGCCAAATTAGTTTGATTTTTTATTTGCTTACAGAAATTCCAGCTAGCAGCTTTTTTTCATATTTACAAAAAGCCTTGTTTTTTAAACGTGTCGTATTTTTTACTATATATTTTAGACTTACCTCTTTGATAGAAGCAAGGGTGTCAAAAATATTAAGTGAAAATTGTTTAGAACCACGACCTTATCGTTTACTGAGTTCATGGAAAAATAGTCTAATTTAACAACTCTAAGAATTTCTTTATTGTCATTTTTTTAAATTTGAAACTTAATTGTTCCAGTTGATTAGTTAGAACAATAAGTGAGGAAATTATCAGATAATCCATCATCCCTAGTGCCTGAAACCATGTTTGTATCTCCATTTAATACCAAGTGAACATCCAATAAAGTAGCGCTACTTTTAATGACTCTAGTTGGCTCCATTATGACTTGCTTTAAATTAAGTTATTCTATATAGTCATAGAAGCTAATGATGTGCTGATCTGTTAAATTTAAATTAATATCACAGTCACGAAGGTTTCGGATGACTGAAAGTGGGATAGTCATCTTTCAAAAATTTGAAGAAAATCAGTAACCGCTCTACATAATTCTTATTAAGAATTGTCCGACAAAACATAGAATACTCTAAATTGTTTTTAATATAAAGTGCTACGCCGGCAACTCTAAAGCATCTGCCTGATCGTACTACTAAGTCAGGCATGGTACTTACACTTCTAACAAACTTCATTGTATCATTGTTAAACAAAGATTATTATTAATATTTCAGGTAAGTTCAAATTGAAGTTATGAATTCCTGCTATATCCTGTGGAAACAAAACTCCTTTGTTTTATTTAATTGCTTTTAATCCTTCCTTTCTAAAGTAACAAACACATATTTTCATTTTTTTTATTGTGGAATTTTTAATTGATTCAATTATTGGCTGACCTTTTTTTGTTGTATTATCGCAAAGTGTATAAAAACACTACTTTAGTCTCAAATCTATAGATAACAAGGCAAAAGTATATTATGGAATCCCAAAAGCGCCTGATATTCAGATATTGGCAGCGCCAGTGGAAGACGAGGAAGATCCTGGCGACCAAGATAACCCTGATAAGCCAAAGAAGAAAAAGTCACGAAAAGATCCATTGCTATCAAAGAAGACAAAATCAGATCCCAATGCTCCTCCTCCAGACAGAATCCCCGTTCCAGATCTGTAAGTGTGTTTTTTTTTTATATTTTAAATTCCTGACATTTTATTGTTTTAAAGAAAAGACAACGACAAAATCGAGAAACTCAAAGCTTTGAGGGAGGCGTCAAAACGTATTAATTTGGGTCCCGAAAATTTACCATCATGTTGTTGCTATACACTTTTAAATTCAAATTATAGGTAAGGTATTAAGTAATAGGTTCGAGGATTATAGTCGTTGTTTTAGTGTTTGTTGTGCAGAAATCACTGAAGACTCTAGCATGTTAGCAGTGGGTTTTAATGATTCCATTATAAAAATATGGACTTTAGTACCTCAGAAGTTAAAAGCAATGAAATCGGCTGAACAACTGCAGGACGTCAACATTGAAGCGGAAGACGTTTTAGTACTGTATATCTTGTCTTAGTTAAAGTCGCATTTTATATTTACGTTTTAGGTCAGAATGATGGATGAACGATCTGGCGAGACTTCACGCACTCTTTGCGGACACAATGGACCAGTTTATTCTGTCTCTTTCTCGCCAGACCGTACTTTGTTACTAAGCTGCTCAGAGGACACAACTATAAGGCTTTGGAGCCTTCAGATTTGGTCATGTTTAGTGGTATATAAAGGTCATATGTTTCCCGTGTGGGATGTTAAGTTTTCGCCACTAGGATATTATTTCGCTTCCGCATCGTATGATAGAACAGCTAGACTGTGGGCCACTGACCATTACCAACCGCTCAGGCTTTTTGCTGGGCATTTTTCTGATGTAGACGTAAGGGTCAATAGAGTTAGAGTTAGAAAAAAATATCTAATTAATTTTTTACAGTGCATTCAGTTTCATCCAAATTCCAATTATATAGCGACTGGTTCGAGCGATAGACGAGTGTGCCTTTGGGACATAACCACTGGACACCATGTCCGTTTAATGACAGGCCACAAGTCACCCATACACGCTTTGGCTTTTAGCGTTTGCGGGCGTTTTCTGGCATCCGCAGGAGCGGATTGCCGGGTGCTAATATGGGATTTATCCCACGGGCATTTGGTCGCCGAATTGATTGGCCACGGTAAAACCATACACTGTTTAGCGTTCAGCAGATGCGGAAACGTGTTGGTATCGGGAGGTTTGGACTGTATGGTGAAGTTGTGGAATTTCACTAAGCTCACTGAAGAGACCAATTCCGAAGACGTTAATATATCACATAATCCAGACGTGAGGACAGGAGATGATTACCTTTTAAGAACATTCCAGACTAAAAATTCCCCTCTAATAAGTTTGCACTTTACCAGGAGAAATCTTATGATTGCGGTAGCGGTGTTTGACGGAGTTATGACATGAGATAATTATTGTTTGTAATTAAAATCAAAATATTAATAAATTTTAAATATCAGCTAATTTTTTTTACTAGCGTCCTCCTTGTCCCCATTCATTCATATAAGCATCAGCAATGGAACTAAGCAAAATTAAAACTGGTGTCTGCAATTAGATTATATAATACTAGAGTAAAAATTACCATTTAGCAATTTGAATGACGTGAATATAGGATCATCAAAATCATAAAGATAAAAGATTTTTTCTACTCCTGTTTGTAATAGTATATTATGCAACCAGTGCGGTAAAGGGCATTTGACTCACGGGTTTATTTGGCACGAGCGGAGCGAGTGTTTAATAAACGAGTGACTTAAAATGTTTACCGAACGTATTACATACTATACTTTTTCTACGACCGTTAGTTTTTGGGTACATTCTCGCAAAACAACATGAAAACATTCACTGACATGACAGAATTGACAAACGTCCAAATTCAATTCGTGGGAAATATCTCCGAAAACATCCGATTACTCCCAAACCCTTGCGGTAAGTGGCTCGGATGAGTTGGAAACGAAACTGACGTGGTAAAGTGACGCTTTCCGCACGCTAGATCGGGGTGTAATTAGGAATTTTATAGAAGGGAGTAGAAAAAAAATCGTTTTAGTTCATCATTCGTTCATTCCATAGAACATAATATATAAAGATTTTTATTTATATTTAATAAGTCTGGCATTAAGACCACTCACACTTCCCATTTCTAACTACAACTACATATAAATTGCAAGCATGTATGAAATTACAAAATAGAATGAATGATATACATGTATTCTAACGGATTATTTTACATTAAGTTTAACAACTGCTTTTTTACATATAAGCTAAAATTTTTACATAAAGCAAGTAACTTTGATTTGAGGCCGCCATTTAAGGAGTCGAACAAGCTTACAGCATTATATGTAACAGAACATTGAAATTTTTTTGTTTTGTGCAATGGCATAATGAGTGATGATTGGTGTCTTAGATTCAAGACATGAATGGATTTCCTATATACTAATTTGTCATTCAAATATTTTGAAATGTTGCAATTTATTACACGTTTCAAACAGCATAAAAAATTGACAACATCTTTAATTTTTAATCAATTCAATCTTTTGAGAGCGGCGGATATGTGGTCAAACTTGCGTAGGTTAAAAATAAAGCGACAAGTATTTTGAATTTTTTGTAGACGCTAAGATGTAACAGCGTCCAAATAGGGGTAATACACAATGTTACATTTTTTAAATTTTATTAAATATAAATTAGTTATATATAAAAATATGTTTAAAAAATATATTTAACACTTTAGTCACGAGCGGAGCTAGTGTCTAAAAAAGAAAATTTAAAAATAGATTGTTTATTTGTCACGGCGATCTGTCAATGGAGGCGTACTTTACGTTTTTCTACTCCTGTCTGTAAAATACCTAATTACATACCGATTTAGCGTGCGGGGAAACATCACTTTACAACGTCAGTTTCGTTACTCACGGATCTGAGCCACTTCGGACATTTTCGGGATTGTACCGTACGGGTTTAAGAGCAATCGGATGTTTTCGGAGATATTTCCCGCGGTTTGAACTGTGACGTTTGTCAATTCTGACGGTCATGTCAGTGAATGTATTCTTGTTGTTTTGCGAAAATGTACCCAAAAACTAACGGTCGTAGAAACGGTATAGTATGCAACACGTTCGGTAAACATTTTAAGTGACTCGTTTATTAAACACTCGCTCCGCTGCGCACTTGTTGCATAATATACTATTACAATTAAGCGTCTATAATGAAGTCAATGAAGCTTGTAAGAACTGGGGGCTATCTATTAACATATATAAAACTAAGTATATAATTTTTTCAGTTTCAGTCAAGTTCTGAAGAAGCCAACAAAATGATTGGCGAAACATCAGCAATTTCGACTCAGCAAAAACCGACGATGGAGGAATCCAGAAGCTTTGTAACAAGTATTACAGTGGAAGTTTCTTTGAAAAATTAAGTATTTAATTGTGAGTAAAGTATATGTTAACCAGACCCTGTTAATTTTAAACGGAGAACCGTTGGAGAAAGTGACAACAAGTTTAAATATCTCTGCTGCTGGATTGATCAATGAAATAAGATGCCGCATAAAACAAGCAAGAAATGGATTCCAGAAGTTCAGGTAGTTGCTTTCAACTAATGCACTAAATATCAAAACAAGAGAAAAGTTTATAAAATGTTACATATGGTTGATTGTTAAGTATGGATGCGAAACCTGGACGCTTAATAAAGAAATACTCAATAAGATCCAAGCATTTCAAATACCCTGGACCGCAAGAACCAGAAATGAAGAAGTTCTTTGAAGAATGGGACAAGACAGACTACTTCTGAATATTATCAAGCGACGAAAACTTGAATACCTAAGTCATATAATTAGAGGACCTCGATATAACTTTCTTCGACTTATCCGCTTAACAGGAAAAAAAACGAAAAAAAGTGGATTAGGCGTAAGAGGCGTTCATGGCTAAGAACCTTGAGACAATGGACAGGCCATAATGCAGATGAGTTACTCCATATAGAACAAGATTGGGAAAGATATAGGGACATCATGAACATGGCAGTCGTCAACGTTCAATAGGCACATGACACTTGAAGAAGAAAAATATTGAAAAAATAACATATAGTTACGAAAATATATATTTATATATATTTGAAAAATTTAGAACCAACTCATGTTTGAAGGATACATGCTAAGAGTTGCGATAACGATTTGGTTGGATTTCCATTTCCTGTTGCCAATTATTGGAACCAATTTGAAATATTGTTTTCAAAGAGATTCGAGTAGAATTCAAAAATAACGAAATAAGTCGAACAAATTTTATATACCTACATTTCCATTTGCGAAAGTCCATTTAGAAAAGAAATTCAGAAAATTTGGCACAAAATACTTATTTTTATATATAATTAGGCTGACTAGTGTCGGCACACGTAAGCTTCGAAAATTCAAAACATCAAATTGTTTTCGGTTATTGCGAGTGCCGAATTCAAAAATAGATTTTTATTTATCTATACGTGCCGAAAAATTTCGCCAAATATTGGTGAAATGGCAATGAGATGAAAAAAATGAAGCCGCTCGAGATATTGTGAACATGGATTAAAACTATAGTTCGTCCATTTTTAAAATTTGCTACGATTTTCCATTGTTTGAAAAAGTGAAAAATTTCATAAATTTCTTTAAAAAGCGTTTTAAGTTTTTTACATTGCTGATGGCAGCGCTGCCATAACTATCCTTGGGCTCAAACTATTGTAAAACGCATCCCAAATTCTATTTCTAGTTAAGATATTATTGGATTACTGGTGGGAAATTTAATGACAAATCCTATTTGGATAATTCTGCATTTTGGAAGTTAAGAGATACTCATTAGATGAGAAATGCATTTTTGAGAGTACTCTGTATCTTAATACAAACTCTTATGATAAGGTAAAGTACATTTATCAAAACAAATTGTGAGATTGCGATATATCATTGATAAAGAGCAAAAAAGGACAACTTAGTGGAGAAAAAATAAAGGACATTTCATTTAAAAAAGGTTATAATAATTCAAAAAGCGGTCGGCCAAAAAAGTAACCGATAACATAATTGTTTTAAGAGCTTCTAAAACATTAAAGTATATGAAAATATCCTAAACAGCTACAAGAACTAAGATATTAATTAAAATCAGTCAATCAATGTTATTTTATTTGCAAATTTATTTTTCATGTTTTATTAATAATTGGGAAATTTATTTCCATGCAATAATATGAATAATATAAGGATATAATATACAAATGTCGTAATAACAAAAACATAGGGGAAGTATAATTAACAACCCAATTATAATTCAAATCGCAAAATCGAAAAAAAAAGTTTAAAAATGAATCCTGATTGGCTTCCGAAAATTAGTTGAAATGGACCAGATTGAACCCCCGGTTTCGAAAATAGAAACGTTAACATATTTTCCGCTACAGATCTCACGGAAAACTCAACTGAAAAGCATTTGATCCCGGCATACGCGAATCGGACTCATTGGTGTGTGGTCGGTGTGTGAAAAATTTGCGACAGTTAGGTAATATTGTTTTTTTAATTATAAGTAAATTGCTTCTGAAAAACACCAAAAAGCATCGCATTTCTTTGCATTTTATTTTGCCGTTAAAATTTTTGGCTCGTTCAGTAAATTTGTGGACCTTAATTTCGGAGCACACGGTCTACAATTTAAATTTGTGCATTATATGTGAAGATATTATCACCTTACAAAATTAAACGTAAATGTTAAGTACTCGCAACAATGTATTTAAAAAGCTTGATAAAAATCTCTCTACATCGTACATACTTTGTGGCCAAATGATATAAATCACCAAATCACCCACATACAGGATCGAATCTAAATATTTACCACGTGATCGCCAACGCTTGGCGCGCGTTCAACACGCAAAAATTTCCACCTTCACATGTTTTCAAATCAGCATTTTTTATTTATACATTTGATGTCGAATTAAACGCATACGCTCGCCATTAATTTTGGCACGAGATGTTACTCATAATTTACCGACTCAAAATTATCTATTAATTTCGCCTCTTTAATCACTTTATTTGTTGAAATCTTAAAAGGCCTGGATTTATTTTTAAAATGCAGCTCCCAAGGCATATGAAAATTTGGGCGGCCATTATGCGAAATGTTCATATTCTCCATTCGGCAACGAAACACCCTGAAATATTAGAAGTGCAATAAAAATATTTGGTATAATAAAAAAACTTCAAAATCTTAAAAAGCAAAAAAATAATACGTATTTTTTACTTTTCGGAAACATTTTAAACTAATAGTAAAAAATTTCCAATCATATGTTGTAGGTAACCATGTACAGCAAAAACTATACATGGTTACAAATTAAAGACACGCTATTTAAAATTCCGACCTTCGTTGGAAACATCTAGTTTCCATTTTGACAAAAGCCACGACTAATCAACAATTTTTAAAGGTTATTCACTTCTTGGCAAAACGGAGCAAAACAATGATTTTGAAAAAAGATATAGTACATTAATAATAGTTAAATGCTATTATATAAAACATATTTCTATTTCAAGCTTCGAGTTTTTATGTATTTTCTTTTTAGTTTTTAATATTATATTTATTATTATAAATATTTGCATTCGTTTTTTCTGTTAACTTTGTACATCAATCATTTGACATAAATATATTTGAGACATTTCGATGTTATCTCGTTGAGATGTTGTTGCTAATTTTAATCATTTTTTCAGAACATCCAATCATTTAAAATGCCAAGCCAGGCTAGCGAAGGAAAAAGTTTAATAACGACGTATCTAATTCTCATAGCACTGTTACTAGTGTTATGGGCGCTTTACTCTGGAATGTTTTAAAAGTAAGTTTATTTAAATTAATTTACGGAAGTGTGGCATACTGGCTCCGAGATTATATTGGACAGTAATAAAACCGCATTAGAGAGAAAAGCAGCGTAATTGCAATTTATTATTCAGTTTAAATTCTATATATGGAATCTGAAAATAAACTCAAATTGACTATTTTGAAAAGGTCATTTGGTAGTTTAATTAGTGTACATATTCTATAATAATTTTGGGGAGGCTAATACAAATGAATTTACTTTAAATATTTGAGGCACAACAAAAATGTCGTTACTGGCGCAGACGTTGTATTTATAACTAATAGATATTTGGAAAATTAGTCCGCCAAAAAAATTCTTGGCTTTCGAGTAAAAACAGTTGGCAGGTTTTTTCGGCATTAAAATAAATTTGTAACGAAATCTTGTTCAATATCTGTCGAATTGGTTGTGGCGCAATAAAAAAAGGTTCGTGCCCGTCGAAAATAAGCAAAATATACATCTGCGCGAGTAGCTTTCTCACGAGCCAAATTTCAGTTAAAATTAGGTCTCTCAGGCAAAACATTGCTCGTAAAAGTCAGTCGTTTCTAAACCTCGTTGCCAACGGCGGGATACCAAAAAAAAAGTGCGCCCTTAATATTTGCGGGAGTTTAATGCACGATATGGCTTTTAATTTTTTCAGTGATCGTCTGACCCATCGCATCGCAATTTCATCATTCACGGGCATCATCCCCCTTGTATCACGGTGGGAGGAAATATGCAATATGTAATTCAAATTTATTTGTACTTTTATAATTTTTAAGACATAAATTGTATTAAAGTTTACATTATATTATAAGACAAAATAAATAGATTTTGTTTTAATTTTTTGTGCAAATATTCATTATCAAGCCCGATAATCGTACCGCATTTGTATAATTTTGATATTTTTTCCTTTTGCGAGTTGCAAGCATTACCATAAGTAAAATGGGAAACCTCAACATTTGGAAAAAAGAAGCAAACTGTAAAACGCCATTGACTACATGAGTATTAATTGCATATAGATCTAATCAATTTGCAATGGATGGATCTGTTGGCCAAACCGATAAAAATGAATTTGTTTTATGTTAAATACCACATGTGGCTTGGTATAAAAGATGGTTTTTAATAACAAAAAAAATCATAACATTCATAAAGTTTAGTCAAATCACAGTATTTATTAAGTCTACAGGAACTGTAATACATAAATCACGAATTTTTCAAAAAGGAATTTTGTACAATATATCTAACACATTGTAAAAGAACATTACGTTCCTGTCTTATTTCATTTTCCAATAACCTTTCCAAAAGTGTCACTTTTCGTTTTCTAAACCTGCTGTACGGAAAATTATCAGTTACTTCCCTCCCTCGAACCTTTAACCTATTGTCATTCCTCTCCAACCTTTTTACGTTTGCATTTTTGCGTCTAGACAATGATACCTTACTAGCGGTAGTTGGTTTACTAGGTGGTTCTGATTCAATATCTGGAGGTGAAATATTTTTCACAATTGCTATCTCATCAGGTGCTTCGCAATCACTTAGCTCTTTTTCTTTTTGTAAATCCTTCGAATTTTCTAGAATATTTTTATTAAGAGAGGCGGAATGGTTTCCTTTGGCAGCACCATTATACTGTGGTGGTTCATTGTACTCATCATCTGAGGCATAAGCTCCCATCAGAGTACTTAGGGCGCTATTTAATTTGGGTACTGGTGTCACATTCATTTTGTTAGTGTTCTCCCACTCATCATCTTCATAATCACTCTTTTCTACTTCCAAATATTCCTTATAAAGCTCAGAAGTACCAGTAAATGGGTACATCGACCCATTCCAGTCGGCTTTTTCATCAATTAAAGAAACTTTTTTAACCGGTTTGGATCTCCTACCTTTTCTTTTTTGGAATTTTCTGTTGTGTTTATTAATCGTCGATCTCGCCTGGGAATGTTCCACTAAAGATAAGAAAGAAAAATAAGTGTGCACATCATTATATAAGCTACTCGCTACCTAATGACTAGTTTAAAAACCAAAACTTTGTTTTGTTAATTGTACTAAATGATATACTTTAGCGTAAACCCAGGAAATATTCATATTTAAAATTAACTAATACTGATAATTATAATTTCAGAAAAAAAACTTACATCTATACCTATTGTTCCCGAACAAATTCTTATTTTTCTCTATTCTTCCGCCTTTCTCCATCCTAATCTGTTGCTCGTTAGATCGCCTTAAAATGTTCTCCCTATTTGGATAATTTTTCTTGCGCTCTTCTATCCATTTGGCTATATCTTCAGGACTATTAACGTTTCTAATTTTTTCGTAGAGCCCGGTCGCATGTTGCATCCTCACGTGTTTTTCAACGATCTTTTCGTGAGCCGTAAATGTGCAGCCGTCCAAATTGCAGGTGACATGTTCGGACATGTGCTTGTTATAGTGCTCCGTTGTAAAGAAATGTTTCTCGCAAGTATCGCAACAAAAATTTGATTCTTCGTCGTAATCACTATATTCGATGGCACGGTCAAACAATTCATCCTCCTGGTGAATATAGTCGTTTGGATCAATGTTGGAGTCCTATTTTTAAAAGAAGCTTATTAAAAACGAAAATTCCTTGATTACTTGACAAATAAGTAATATGCAAAAAGCAATGAAGAATTTTAAACAAAAAGTATACATATAAAACAGGACAACTTACTGGGTATCTCCTAGGTATCGAAATTATTTTAATTCCTTTATTTTGAAAGCGAAAATATTCCTTGACAAAGCTAAGGAACTCTTGATATCGCATAGTCCATGTTTTCCTGAGTAGATTTAATTGATGAAGTCATTTTGCTTGGAATTCCAAGGGATATTTTTCATCATCCTTGCACGGGTAAGGGTAGAAATGAAGCAGCAAGTAAGTAACAATATTGTTTCCAATGTATCAACGAGGCGTTTTATTTTTCATTTGGTTTTGCAGTTTATTTTTTTTAGGAAATATACTGTGTACAGGAAACCTGCGAAGCACTTTGAAGCTACGCACCAAAGCCAAGCCTAAACCACGTTTTTTTTTCGTATTTTCCTATTTTTTATGTTAAATTCAGAAACGTCACAAATCGTGCAAAGCAGTATAAAACTTCCAACTTTTGTGCTAACACAAATTTCACCAAAAACAAGATTTCAAAAAAATAGCACGTGCAGTCAAATTGATCATGGAAAATCCGGAATTTGCATGGACATAATTGGCATATGTTTAAAATTGTCGAATAGTTCAAGTCAAATTTGCAAATGACAGAAAAATATATAATTTTGATTAACTACGAAGTATTACGGCTGTTCGAGCCGTTTTAAAGTAAAAATAATAGTGAGACAGAACAAACGCCGTTTATAAAATATAATATAAAAAGTGTTTGGAAAATAAAGACGATGATGATCTGTTAGACCTTTAGTTGAGAAAGGAAAACTACTATATGTTCTTTAATATCCTTTAAAACGAAAGCAACAATTTTCGGATTAAGACTTTTCCGAGACTAGTCGAAAGAAAGTAACAGTTTTAGATATCTCAATGATACGACTCGAATTTGGGACACCCTGTCCACATTTAGTGCTAATTGTAGGTGTCATCTTGTGGTTATGAGCTAGCTTAGTATTTAAGTTAGAACACATTACCGGTGACATATCGAAACTATACTACAACATAACATTTATTTATAATTTAAATTTAGAGTTATATAAATAAATAAGAACTAAAAGTTCAGATTTTGACGAAATTATATATTTTTACATTGACAATTGTTTCGACAACGCGTCTTTATCAAATCTCACATTTAATAAAGACGCGGTGTTATCGAAACAATTGTCAAGTAAAAATATATAATTTCGTGAAAATCTGAACTTTTAGGTCTTATTTATTTTGATAAATGGATTTCCATCAAGTAAAAGGCACCTCAGTTTCAATTTTAGAGTTATAAATGTTTTGCTAAAGTACGAAGCTGAACTAAATCTGTTCCAACTAAACAATTAAGCATTCTAGTTCCGTTGATGGATGCTTCTTTTCAATAACTAGCTTAAAATTTAAGGCGGTACCAAATTTCTTGTAATTTAGTATAATAATGTTATATTTGTTTATATTTTGATCATCAAATTCACAATTAAAAAATATTAAAGTCCATCCCATAACCACTGTATTTGAAATGGAGAAAAGGAATATCTGAATTTAATTGAGGAAAGTACTTGAAATTTTTCTCTAAATTTTATACGTGTCATTTTTGTTGTGCTAATTTTAGACTGATATCTTGATGTTAAACATACTATTGGTGACGCTTCTTAAACATAAAAAATCGAATAACACTAACTTGTGTGTAATATAGCGAATCTTGTTGTAATGGGAAAAAAATTCGATTATTTAAAAGCTGCTAGAAACAAGGTAAAATATTTTATAAACTTAGCATGAAACAACATTTCATTTATGACGAACTATAAATCTCATACTGACCTGCTATTCAATTTATATTTAGAATAATGATTGGTTTGTTATTTTAAATCAACAGAACCAAACACAATATCTCCATATTTTTGAACACTATTTATAATCTGCCTTTTCAACTACAGCCAAGGAATTCCAGTTCGTCCACTCCAGACATCTGGGGTCACTTAGCCTTTAACTCATCTTTATAGGAATAGACAAACTCTCGTTTCAAAATTAAGCAACTTCATATCATGTACAGGGTGTCCGATTCTCGATATTCTTGGAAGGGACGATCATTTTAGCTTTTAATGTAAGAGGGGATTTTAGAAATTTGTGCGCTCTTCGGAAATTCTAGTCAGTTTTTACGTCCTCTATGTGCTAGAAAGGTTTTTTTTTATAAAATTGAAAAATGTTGAAATCCTTACACTTTAAACATCGAATAATGGATACCCTGTACAACCCCTTAATTAATTAATTTAAGAGTGCCATTAAACAATTCGCAAAATAAATACATAAACTTGTTCGTTTATATCCTTTTTTTACATTACAATGGTTTTCCACCTTTCTTAAGGGCCTTTAACCAAAATTAACTCTAGCTCAGGAAAAATAAACGATAATGCAGTCAATGAAAATTCAAATGGCTAGGTACTTTTTTATATATTATTTTATTAAATGAATCTTTTTATAATTACATAAAAAGGCCTGCTAGGCCTTTGGGATGAGGTACTATATCATAGTCTATATAAATAATAGTAAATCTGGGAACACAGTAACAAACTATCAATTATTTTGCAATCTGGAAATTAATATGGGATCTGATTGGTTTGAAATTAGAAAAACAAACATCAGAAACTGCAAAATAATATACAATACAATTAAATAATTAACACAAACAGTTCCATTTACGTGTATATATAAAAGAATTTACATCTATTGACAATTTTCTAAATTACAAAGTTAATTTACGCTTTTTGGTTTGCCATTTTATGATGAATTAAAAAGAACTATCTGGCAGCCAATGAAATGAAAATAAAAAACAAAAGAGGATGAGCCTCTTAAGCTGATGCAACCTCACTTATTTGCAGGTTCAGAATTTGCAGTCTCGGTAGGAGACTGAGACGTTTCTGAATTTTTGTTTGTCTCGGCCTTGGACACATTTTTGGTACAACCCTGTAAAGATACCCAAACCAATTTATTTTCTGCTTTTTTTTACTGCCACATTGGAGGATTGAAGGAATTTTCATCATTAATTTTCTCAGAGGTAGTAGGTATGTTGTTACCTGTATTTTATTGACTGCAGAGAAAGTGATTTCCTGATTTTAATTAAAATAAAAGCAACCAAAAATTAATCAGACACTTCAATTTTATGAATTGCAGAGTGATTGTGAAGCACTGAAAGGAACCGCAAAAATGTATTAAAATACTTTAAATTAATTTAACAAAAAGTTTAATTATACATACAATACAATGGTTACATATTTGATTCAAAAATGGTTGTGAAGGGTTTCTGAATCATTGTCAATAAAAGATCTTTGGTCAAAGTAGAGCGCAGAACAAAAGTTTTATATTGTATATCAATTTATTTAACAAATTTTGTTCAATTTTATAAAGCTGGATTTTATATAAATATAAACTATAATCTGATTAAAAATTAATGATGAAACATTTTCTCAAAAATTCGACTAGTAAGTATAAACAGATAGTGATATCTTTGAAAATGTTGCAGTAGAATGTTACTGAGTAATACTATTTAAGGCAAGAAAGCACCATTTCATTAAAAGTGCATCTTCTTTTCATACAAGTTTTAGTTGCGTTCCATATTCGCTGTTGAACTGTTTGCCATCAACTGATATTTAAGAGTATTGTTAAATACCTAGCCATAGTTTTGAATATAGAACACTACCATGTTGTCTCTGTTGCCATTTGTTACAAATACGCAATGCCTTAACAAAAAATACAAAGCGTACTTGCAGCGACACCAGAAATTTAATAAAATGATTCAATAAGATACCTATAAGTTGACGTCTGCCGTATAATCGATAGGTGCTGTTACTCGCGTAAAATTACTTTCGGGCAATAGCTGAGGGATACGCACCTCCTGCTCCCCAGCGTTCTGTGTCTCAGCTTCTTGGTATACTTTACTGCACTTCTCTCTTTGCTCTCGGTACTTTGCCCAGTCATCCTGACTTTGAGATGTTTTTGCAGCTGCCAGGAGTTCTTCCTTCTTTGTAAACTCTGCTTTGATTGCCTCGCTGACCCATGGTTTTGTCAAATCAATGTTTTTCATACTTGGTCGAGTTTTTTTTATTATTTTACCCCGCTTATTAACGCCTCTAAATGAGGGAAATCTTGGTTTGCCTCTTGGGCCACCTCTGAATGCTCCTCTCATTGGAAGCGGGGGAATGGGAGGCCTCATCATCATCATAGGCGGTGGTGGCGGCCTTAACCCAGGTGGTAATCTCATACCGGGAGGCGGCGGTCTCATTCCAGGGGGCGGTGGGCCTCTAGGACCGGGTCCCATCATCGGAGGAGGCATAGGAAGCCTTCCTCTCATGGGTGGCCTGCCACCGCGCATTGGAGGTGGGATCGGGTGTCTCATTCCCCCACGCATGGGTCCTGGACCTCTGGCCCTCATCATCCCAGGATTTCTAAATGGCGCCGGTATACCGTTAAGGACACGACCGCCTCTTCCTTTTTTCACTACACCTCTTGCGCTGGCAGCTCCGCGTTTTGGTTTCCCTCTAGTAGCGGGGGCTCCCATTGAAATACGCACGAAAACTAAAGTTTTTCTAGTTTTTTTGCACCGTAAATCCTTCTTAGTTAAATTTCTCGTACAACACGCGTCTTTATCCCTACTAATAAACTTCTTTCAGCGTCCTCTAACTCTATGACAATACTGCCAATATTCTGTGGTGATAAAAACTTTGACTGAAATGTCCCTATAAAAATTGAACGTCAATCTAATTACACAAAGGATGGAACAATTTGGAATATCATGAGTGACTTTAAAAATGAGCATTTATTTAGATTTATATAGTCTTCTCTTTACAGAAAAAAACATACTGTAAAGATTTTGTCCAAAAAATTTAAATAAATATTTAAAGAAAAAGAGCTGGGTTTGCTGAAAAATATCAATACAGCAGATAAATAGAATGAGAAGTAACAATCGTTTCTTATAATACTGACCTTGTGCCTTATTTTGTTTTGATGATAAAGGCATATGTTCTAAAAAAATATATATTCATGGAAGAAGACTTGTATTTTGCATAGATCTAATGAAGTCATTTTATAGTTTCTGTGGTTATCTATAACAATTATTATAGAAACAAGAACAAATAACCGTGAGAACCGCATATCAATTGATATAAATAGTATTTTAATGATCAAGATACATATTTCTTGGGATATATGACTTCGCACACTAACGAAATAAGTGGGTAAAACAACATTGTTAACCGAAACTTGAAATATGTAATGATTTTTTAGCCCATTTGGATATTGTCGCCGAATTTTTGGAGATAGTTATTCATAGCGTGCTCTACGTAAAAAAATTGTATCCCAATAGTATATTTTTGCCCAGAAAAAAATACGGCTTAGCTGTTTACCAAGTGGTTCATCCAGAACTGAGGGAATATATCAAGGAATGTCTTACAGCAATTTCCTTTCATTTCAAGAAAGGAGATCTTAAAAAAATTTATATTTGTTTTGTCAATGCTGATGACAGAATTTTTGAAAAAGTTGTGATTGAAATATTGGGATTTAACTATACCAGTGAAGGGTAATTAGAAGCCTCCAAGTTTAAAATTTATTTTGTTTTGTATTTCAGTGACACTTTTTTGGTTGATTTGGAACAGTGTTTGAGAGATTTTCTATTAAAATTATACAACTCACAGTCATATTTGGAAGATTTAACTCAAGATGCTTTTTTCACTATACAGTTAGAAACCAGTCGGACTTGTGCTTTGGAATTTAATGAAGATGCATCACACGAAGTAATTAGATGTGATTTTATTTTAGGTTTAAATGTTAAATGTTGTTTTCTTCTTTAAGGCTTTCCCTTGGGTTGAGTATCATGGCACTAAAGGTCAACCTGCAGACTTTTATTCCATAGTGCCATTACACACTTTAGAAACACATGCCCTTAAATTGCAAATGTATGCAGAAAAGTAAAAAAATGGTAGATTTTGAGCAAGATAACGAGGGCCAGGGCAGACTAGCTGTGTTTGAACATGTCACAAAGAACAAGAGACCAGTTAAACGGAAAGTACCGAGCAGATATTCCGATGACTCTTCCCAGTCAGAGTCCGAGCTTGTCATTGACGATGATGCCATCATTGTATGATTTTCCTTTTAATAGAAATGTAGCTTAGTAGAAAATTTTTAGGTTCCCAAAAAGAAAAAAATGTCAATAAATTTCAGTAAAGAAGTCTTAAACCTCCATTGTGGATGGAGTTCTTGTGAGAAAATTTTTAATAACATGAAATACTTTAATGATCATGTGATAAAACATATTGCAAATAAAAATTACGACTGTGAGTGGGCTGATTGTCCCAATCCTACAAATTTAGGATCTAAAGCGTTATTGAATAAGCACCTGTCCTATCATTGCTACCTAACAAAACTAATAAATATTGGGGAAAATGTCCTTAAATGCACCAAGCTACCTGAGTGTCATCTAGAGAAATCCTATTCAATTTTAATTAATTTGAATGGGTATAAATGTGAATGGGATTCTTGTCTAGTAACATTGAAAACAATTAATGACTTCTTGACTCATGTCAGCTGTCATGTTCAGGGAATGCCTTCTGGGAAAGAATCCAACAACCCTATTACTATACCTTGCGAGTGGAGTGGTAAGCACTAGTAGACATTTACATTATTATAAGTTAATATTTGGGTGTGAAAGGTTGTAGTGGGAAATTTTCCACTCGCTACAAACTGGCAGAACATGTCCGAGTTCATACCAAGGAACGAATGCTGGCATGCCCTAAGTGTTTAGCTTTGTTTTCAACAAAGGTTACATTTCAAGATCATAGGAGGAGACAGCTGATATCTAACTGTAGGTAACTTACATAGTTCTTTACCTTAAATTTCTTCCTTTGCCTTAGGCTTCAGTTTAAAATGACGCAATTAGCATCAGGTGTATTTGTATTTGTTAATGCGCTAAAATTACCTTTAAAAGATTTATATTAATCAATGCAAGATCAAACTGTCCAAGTCAAGTCTATTACAGTAAGTAAGAGTGAAACTCTTAAATAAATTTACAAAATTATTATGGTTTATATTAAATATGTAGAAAAGAAGTTTATCTCAAAATTAAACTCCTACACTATTTTTTTTTAATTAAAAAAAAAGTATAAAAATATTTATGGCAAGTGGGTTTATCACCGATTTCTAACGTCAAAGAGACCATACATCAATTGCGGGAAAATCTGGAAGATATTGGTAAAATGGTAAATAGAAGTTAAGTTAAAAAAGGCAAAAGTATTTTAAACATAACAAGAAAAAGCTCGCACAAACTCTTTAATGAATACGGCAAAAAATGGATTTTTTAAAAATGCAAGGAAAATCCTAAATTAAGTACGTCGAAATTGGCATCCATCGTCCAGACAATAAATCCAGAAACCATTAAAATAGTTTTACGAAAATATATTTATGGCTACTCCTAGAAGAAAAGCGTTTGTAAGTAAATAAATGAAAATAAAAAATAAGTAAATGTAAAAGAATGAATTTTGCAACAGAGTATCGAAACGCGAATTTGAGTTTTTAAAAAGGGTTATATTTTCTCATAACAGTAAATTTAACCTTTTGCATCAGATGGGCTTGTGCAAGAGAAATTTTTGTTTTTTGCCAAGATAACTGAACTAAGATAATGAAAACACCACCCTTGTCGTCAATGTTATTGAAAATCATGGGATCATTTGGAAAAAGCCATTAGGACATGGAATATTTCTTACATCGGCGATCTAAAGAAAGCTCTATGGGAATAATGGGCTAACATAGACCCGAATTACCGCGAAAAACTTGTCAAATCAGTTTCTTCAAGACTAGAATGCATCCTAAAGGGTAGAGGACTTCCTACGAACATGAAAATAGAAAATGTTATATATTATTTTTAAAATATGATTAATTTTTTTATGAATATTGTAAATATTTTTTATTTATGCACATTTCTATCTATCTTTGTTATGCCAAATTAAATATTTAAAAAAAATTATCTACTCAATAAAAACCATTAAATGTAACTATTAAAGATACACTATTTTTTATCCAGAAACTCAAATGTGTTTAATACCGTACTGCAATAAGGTTTTTACTTTTTTTTTATTTCAGTGAGGCGTTTTCAATGTTCGCAATGTTTAAAATTATTTCCAAGTGAACGCATCTTGAGTGATCATTGGAGGTCCCACATTAATCACTACAAATGTAGATTGTGCGATATGACAAGCTCGAAACCGTCGATTTTAGCCAAACACTACCGGTACAAACACATTAAGCAACGCTTCTTCAAATGTCAAGAATGCGGCAAACGGTAAAGCACCTTATTCAGATTTTTTTTTTTTTCAATTGAAACTCATTTTATTCCAGTTTTGTGGCAAAATGTAACTTAGACACTCACCTTTTATCTCACAAGGAGAAGCCCATGAAGTGTGATTTATGCAATTTTGGATGTAAGAGCAAGCAGGGTCTTGATAATCATTACGTAAAAGTTCACAACAAGGTAATATTTAGTGTTTTATATTGTTCTGTTTTGTCGCTAAATATTTATTGCTATTTTTTGAAGCCGAGAACCAAATACCAATGTCATGTCTGTCAAAAAATTTTCCAAAGAGGCGGTTATCTAACTTCCCACTTGATGAAGATGCATGAGTTTCATTGGCCTTCAGGACATTCTAGGTTCAGGTACCTGAAGGGCCCTGATGGTATTTGCCGATTACAAACTGTTAGATATGAGAGCCTGGAAGTTACTGAAGAAATGATAAAAAGTGAGAAACAGAAAGTTGGGACTCCAGAAGTGGCTCCTGATGACACTGAGAATGACACAGAAGGCCAAAACTTGAGAGTATCTGAAACGCAAAGTAATAACATGGAAAACAATGGCAAAGTAATGAAGCATGAAATTTTGATGACCGTCGAGGATTTAGATGAACAAGGTAACATTGTCAAGTCGGAGTTAGTAAAATCCGAAATTGTCGTCATTCCTAAAATGGAAGACGAGAATCCTGAGTTGGCCACAAATTCAAAACCAATTGTTGTTGCTTCTTATTTCGATATGCCTGATGATGTTACTTCCAAAATAAGTGATACTACTGAAAAAAAGGTGGTTAAGGGCAAAAGAAGGAAGAGAAGGAAGCACTTCAAATGAAAGGACTAATAATAATTTTTTCATGTCATAATGAGACAATGAATATGCTTAGTTTCGTATATTTTTTTCTTGTGTTTTCATTTCCGTTTAAGAATATTTTTCACTTTTGAAACTTAAAAAAAACGAAAATATGTTTTTCTTTTGCTTTTTTCTGCTTGATTTACTCAGAAATAAATTCAGCTTTTAAGAAAAACGGATTGATATGTTTATTTAATTATTTAGGCTGATAATGCATAACTATTGGTCCTAATTATTCTTGTAACAGATATCTAATAGCTGTGAAAGACTTTGTCACTATTAAAGTACAATTAGTGCACTGATCAAAAAGATTTTAAGTAATGATTATTTTTAATGCCTTCGGTTGAGTTACTAAATGTTAATCTGTTAATTTAACTTGTGTTCGGAAAAGTTAATTTGAATCAACAGTCTCTGAGCGCTTACTAGGTGTGGCCCGTTTATTATCTTAAAACCTTTTAAAATATCAAAAAAACTTAGAAATAAAAGTTGATGTTTTTAAAATCAATAAATACAGCGTGATCAAATAGTAATATTAAAAATTTAAATTAAACAATCGTTTAAGGTAATTTTTTGAAATTCATTTTAAAAGAGGGGGACACTGTATTAGATCGCCTATTTGAAAAAGTTGTAGGTTTCGAAGTATATTAAAAACAATCAAGCAATAGAGACACTATTTTTATTTGCTGTAAGTTTGAAAATTGTTTTGCCACATTATGAAAACAATTACCTATTTTTATAAAACAGTTCTATTAATTAAAAAAAAATGTTTTTGGTTTAACACTGTCAAACGATAGTAGGTGCTAGTTCCGTACTTCGCCAATTAATATCCCTATAGTATTTTTCATTGGAAAAACGTTTTATTTCAAAATCTTCAACTTTTTCAAATAGAAAAAGTTCTTTTAAAATGCTAAATACGATAAAATTATAAAAATTCATTCATAACGATTTTTTTATTAACATTTTTAAGGTGATCCCATGTATTTATTTATTTTTAAAATATTAACATAGATCACTAAAACATAAGACCAGTAACTATAATAAAATCAACCCCAAACGTCAAAAATGGTCATCGTTCATGAAAATGCAGCATCCTGTATATATAACAATATCATTCGGAAGTGTAAGTGTATTTAGAATTTTTTTAATATTTTCATCATGATCTATTCTCTTCTTCATGTGCCATTTTTATACTTTTGTAATGCAATAAAACTAGTTTATACCCTAAAATATAGTAGTTGTAATTTTTAAAATAATCATCATTATCAGCTACGAAAAATGCCTTTGTAAAAAAATATAGCGTTTGTGTATTATATATACAGTGAAAACTCTCCTTGCGGACAGCTTCTATAAGCGGATATCTCTTTTAACCGGACAAAGTTCCTGGAACCAAATTTCAGCATATCACTTTCAATGTTGAATGCATTCCGATAAGCGGACGCTCTTATAAACGGACGCGGACAATAGATTTTTCCTGAAAGTGACCCAAAACCTCCCATAAACAGACGCGACACTCTAATAGCTGGACGATTTTTAGTTCCGTTTATTACAATGTATCTACATAAAATTCGGTAATTCCTCGTTTTTTATTAGGTGATTCCCCATTTACACATTTCGTTTGCTAGTCTGCATTTAATGTTGTGTTTTGTCTTCAGATTCGTTGTTGATATTCGAGTTATTTTGTAATTTTACGAAAAGTGGCACCGAAAAAAGGATGCTCTCGTTAAAGGAAAAGATGGAAGTTGTTAAAGTTTTAGACAAAGAAAGTGTTTCAGTTCGTCATTTGGTAATATTGGGAAAACGCAAGCAGTTGAAATAGCCAAAAATAAGGAAGATATCAGAAGTAAATGGCATTCTGGAACAAATATAAATCAAAAGAAGGATTTTTTGAAAAAGGAAGGTTTTGCTATAGACAAAAGATGTTTTGAGTGGTTTGTGAAAGGTAGAAATCAGAACATTCCAATCTCAGGGCCGTTAGTGAAAATGAAAGCTAAGGAAATTGCAACTACTTTGGGCTACAATAATTTCAGTGCTTCCTACGGGTGGCTTCAAAAGTGGCGCAAGAGACATAGTGTTAGTTTTAAATGTATATCTGGTGAAGCTGCTGAAAGTGGATTTTTTTTTCGTGCATTGCCCGACAAAACTCTTATCAAAGGAGAAACATGTGTGGGTGGAAAGTTTTCTAAAGACAGACCAACCATTTTATTCTGTTCAAATATAGCCGGTGAAAAATACGATTTGATTGTGATCGGGAAAGCGGCTGGTCGTTGTGCTTTAAAGAACGTTGCTCTTCAGGATCTACCAGCCACTTGGAAATCCAATAAAAAGGCATGGATGACCCGAAAAATCATGTCTGAATGGTTGCCCCTATTCTACCAGAAAATGGGAAACCTAAAAAGGCAGTTCTTTTATTTTTGGACAATGCATGCTCTCATCCTTATGAACTGAAATTGAAAAATGTGAAAACTATATTTTTACCGCCAAACACAACTTCAGTTTGTCAGCCCTTGGATCAAGGTATCATACAAAACTTCAAATTTTAGTATCGGCACTTGATTTTGAAAAATATTTGAACAAAAAATTGAAGATATTGAAAGCTTATCTGAGCTGTTAGAAGCTTTGTATTTTATAAAAACACCATGGAATAAAGTAAATTATGCAGAATGTAAATGATTTCATGACCTTGGACAATAACATAACAACGGAAGAAAATGCCGTTGACAACTTTTCGAACTTGGATGTAGAAGAAGGTAGTCCAAATGACCGGAAGAAGAAGTGGAAGCACCATGCAGTTCAAAAACGATAAATTCATATCGGGAAGCTCTAAATCATATTTCTATATTAAAAACATTTGCTCGAGATAATTTCACTACATTTCAACACTTGAAAAATTTAGAAAGTTATTACGAAAATTGCCTCCTTCAGCAAAATATGGTGAAATTTCGTCAGACAAGCATTTTAGACTTTTTTCAAAAACCTAAGGAATGTTGAAGTTAAAGTTAAAGATAAATAAAGATAATAAGTTGAAGATAAATACGTAACTGGTTAAAAAATGTTGCCAGTTTCTGTATCCTTTTCCTCTTATCATTACATTATACATTGTACGTATTTTATACTTGCACACTATCCTTTAAGCGGACACCTCCCATAAGCGGACAAAAGTTTTGGAACCGTGAGTGTCCGCTTACGGGAGCTTCCACTGTACCTAAGTTTTCTTGATTCAATCGTGGTATCATATGGCTATTAGACAATATAGTGGACCTACTACGGTAAAAATTGATGTGCTGTAGATAGCATTAATATTTTTGTAGAGAAATTAATGATTTTCCGCGTATACCTGTAAATTTCACTAACATGCGCTTTATGCCATTTTCTTTCCAAACAGCGATTTTCACAACATACTCGTTTTCCCAGAACATTATTAACGATCTTTCAGCTATCGTGTTGGTTGTTGAATGTGGCAAAACGAGATTTTAAATCTCGCGCATGCGCATGTGGAATAGGCCTTTTCAAAATTTCATAGTTGCTTCATCAGTTATCGGCATAGGCAGGGTCTCTATATCTCTAGTAGCACGCGGTATGTTTTGCGCTACGAAATATGCTAAACTACAAGCCAGTGCAAATTAGGTTTCGTCAATATTAAAACTCTCATTTTCTCCCAGAAATTGTCATTGACAGGAAAATTCACAATGAAATCAACATTTACCATTTAACCAATTGTCTGAATTTTAAGTAAAGTCAATTTAAATATGCATGGTGGCATAGAACGTAATAACAAAAGACGTGAAACTTTCTCAGGCAAAATAAGTTTTCCCATGAAGTTTGGCGTCAGCGCCTATCGTTTCACATGTCATTTTTGTGCTTTTGCGATGGAATTAAAAGTGGTTAAGAGTCTAAAATACGTTTATTATTTATCACATTGTAAATTTTTAAATAAAAATACTAGCTATCAAATACGAAAAATGTCTTTGTAAAAAAATATAATAATTGAGCTTATATTTACGTAAGTCTTGTTGATTATAAGTACAGGAATTTCAGTATTTATCCGTACATCTACACATATTGCCTGTCATATTATTGGTCACTATAAACAAAATATCATTTTAAATGCGGCTTCGTTGTCAATACATAAAAAAATTCAGTTCCCAAGAAAATTAGACATTTGCAAAGATAAAAATAAAACTATATTTGTAAAAATTATGTAATTGAAAAACCGCGTGTGGTACTTCACAGTAAATTTGCTTTGCCTCGAACAGAGTAAGTATCAAATTTAGTGAAAATTTAATGAATAAAGTTCTTTAATAACTTATACTTGGAGTATCCGGTATCTTCAATGTATTTTTATTTTTTGTATAGTGCAAAGTCAAACTAGAATATTCGGAACGCGCATTTTAAATAAAACGTATTTACAAAAAAAAGTAGGTAAGCAAAATGAGTATAAAATTTGAGTATTTAGGTATTTTAGGCAGTGTTGTTTTAAGTAATATTTTCCCACTAGCCTTGCTTCTACATCCTACTATTGCTTCCTTTCCATTGCATAGTATTTCTTTGCTGCATCTGTAGTGAATTCCGGCTGCCGTAAGTGTCCTCTTCGAACGCCTTGTTAACGTGCCCGTTCTCGAACACTTCTTTAGCAGGTATGCTGCTGGCGACGCTATTTCTTTGATTCCTGATCACGTTGTTGTTGGTAAATTCGTTTTTAGCTCCTAGGGTCTGCATATGCGACTTTCTTCTTTCAGCCATTACCGAGTTCACCCTGACTTCTAAAGCCTTCATTGTTTCTCGTCTCATCGTCATTCTCCTGCTGAGAACTGGAGTGCCCCCATTAGGATTGGCGTTTAGTTTAGCGAAACGTTTTTTGAAAGCGACGTCCAAAGTTCCAATCTGTCGTTTCTTTTGTGCTGCTCTTTCAATGTTGTGAATTGTTTTTCTGCGTCCAATCCTATCCGGTCCAGAACCAGAATCATTGTCGTAATCCCCATCGTCGATGCCCTGCAGTTTTTGTAACTGTTTGACTATTTCGACCGCTTGTTTGTCAAGAAGTGCGTTCGGGGACATATCTTCTTTCTGCAATATCACACGTGTGTTGCGAGTTATTTAAAACGTAAAACGACGTACCTTTTTGCTGCAGAAGTTGAGCTCCGTAGAGGCTAAAATATGTGCTAGGGTGCCGAATCTATGGAACAACATAGCCACAAATTGGATGACCAGAATCAGAGCGAAGAAGAATACAAATACCAATCCTATTGGTTCCAGTTGAAGATATTCCTTGGTGATATGTACCTAAGAAAAGAAACGCAACAATATTAACGAATAGAAACAACGATTTCGTAGATCGGGTGCTATCCTATCCTCGTGTAAGTGCTTTGAGGGATAGCAGAAAAAAATGTTGCAAAATGCTTCACAGAGGGCATGTTTCAACCGCTTTTGGTAATTTGACTTCTGGGAAGCGTTTTGTTTGATTTTTGTGAACCGTTAAAATGTGGAAAAATTAACACAGTAGGCATATTAGAAAAGAAGACCCGGTTAAAATATATTCCAGTTCAAGTGTAGACGATTTGTCGTATGTGTCTTTTGTCTGATAATGACGTATGAAATGAAATGTGTGTGATATTTTGAGGTGTCCGTATGTTGTTAATGACTTATGAGCATGAATTATGGGATGCGTAGTAGCTACGTGGATGCAACTTATTTAAAACAAATAAGAACTAGAAGTTCAGATTTTCACGAAATTATATATTATGACATGACAATTGTTTCGACAACACCGTGTCTTTATCAAATGTCTTTTAGTTCTTATTTATTTTGATAAATGGGTTTTCATCAAGTAAAAGCCACCTCAGTTCAATTTTTGAAAGAAGCCGAAATTGGATTCTTGGCTATTTGGTATTTTAAATTGCTTCTAAGTTGCCGAATATGTTCCCAAAATATTTGGTTTTTTAACAAATGTCTGCAAAATAAGGTTTTTCCCAAATACATAAAATTGAACGAAACAATCGTCATGTCATATATATAATTTCGTGAAAATCTGAACCTCAGTTCAATGCAATTTATTTCAGTAAGGCGACCGCATATATAGTTTTGCACTAATAGTTTACATCCAGACAGCTTGAAATGTTAGTAAAGTATAATTAGAATAAGTGTAGACCTATGTATAGTGCGATTAAACCATATTATTAGGTTAAACCTTCACAAGATGCAACCAGAACCGGAAATTCAACACAAAAGTAATGTGGATTAATCACAAATGACGTTTCTGGTGGAATTTGAAGTCTGTGACGTTTGCATCTATCACCCACATCGAATACTTCGCAAGTTCGGAAATCACAGAGGCGAGATTTCGACGTAGCAATTTGATCTAACGGGACTAAAAAATTTTTGGTCGCTGTTTGAATAACTGAGGCGATTCTTTGGCCCTTGCGCGGTGCCATTTGTACACGTAAGGGGGTGGCTCCACAGTCGACATATTTGAGATTTTTTAATTTTTCAAAAGAAAGTTTTAATCTTTCGAAGAAGGGACACGCGGATTACTTGACAACGGCCATGATTGTCGGTCATTTCTGTGATTTCGAATCCAGCCAGATGCAGACGCAAACAGTGAGGGTAAAATAATTAGGAGGAAGAAAAGTCCCCAGGCTCGAGAGACTATTAGTAATCCACAGTCCGAAGAGGAAGACACATTCACGTAGACCTTTAAATACCTCGGAGGTTTCCTCAATGTACGTTATATTAGTGCGCACTCCCAGAGGCCACTTAACGTGGATTTGATTCTTGTTAAGTTGTAACAAGAAGACGACTAATACGAAAAGAGCATTGAACATGAAGAAAGCGAATACCGACTTATTGCGGAGCTCTATTAGATCTCGAGCTATTCTTTCCTGTAAAATGGAAACATACGTTAAAACTACGTTCAACTGGGGCTCACTTGACACCTTGACGACAGCTGTAAATGCGCGCGAAGTTAGCGTCAATATGTCGCAGCAAGCCCGTGTAGTTACCTCTTGTGTGCTCTCTTCGTAGGTTATGTTCGTCTTGACACCGAACGGCCATTTTATGTGAAGGTAGTCCTTTTTCAGTGTCAGCAAAAATACGATAAGGACAAACAGCGCGTTCAACATAAAGAACGCGAACACTGATTGGTCGCGTAATTCCTTCAAATCTGCCGCTATACGTGCCTATAAATTTGTCAAATCGTTTGTAAAATAACCGTTTAATATTTCAGATATGGGTACAGGGTGTTTCAAATTCGAGGTGCGGTAACTTAGAGGACAGAGTCGGTCAAATTAAGGCAAGCTTTTCATTATAGCGCCTTTATGCTGCAATATCATCATCATTTTTTTGTCTGAATTAACCGACGCGAAAATTCGCATTTAAATACGATATTTCGTTCGTCTAAAGTGGAGCGGCACGGTGGCCCACCGTCTTTCATAAAATAACAGCACGTTAATAGTATATTGTGCAACAAGTTTAATACTCGACACTTTAGTCACGAGTTTGATTTGGCACAAGCGGGGCGGGTGTTTAATAAACAAGTGAGTTTTTGTCTACAGTCGAAATATTATTCGTGAGTAAAGTGCTGGAAATATAGTGGCTGACGAATTATACACATCAGTGTATAATTAGGTACATTATTTTAGTGCAGAAAACAATATTTCTTGAAAAACCTTAATTCATTGGATTGTACTGCTCCAAACAAGCATAATCGCACCAGCCACTTAATCTGTGTCTGTACCTCGAAAGTTAATTACGTCCCTGCACTCGTCGTTTAACCTTAGATATGGTCTGTTCATAGATATAAGAAAGTGACCAATTGCATTTGAATGGGATTATCCAAGGGTGGTCAATAACATACAATGCAACAAGATTATTACCTAATGTTTCGGAATTTAAATTCAGGGAAAATTGTGGTCCGTAATAGAAAATAATTTTATACCTACCTGTGTTTAATATTCTTTGGTTTGGTATACTACTTAGTTTAAGTTTATTAATAATCATTCTTATTTCATGTGTACTACAGCGTGTGTTGAATCGTGTGCGAACTATGCAAAATATGTGAGAGTCTAGTGTATCTCAGGAGATACTCCCGTCCAAATGTAGAAAACACTATTCTATTGAGACTAAGGAAGTTATAAACAATGTTTATGTGACTCTCATTGAACGTGGTGCCAGCAAGCAAGCATCTTTAGAAGAAACGGCCACATTGACGAAAATTCCAAATCAACTGTATGGAAAATTGTGCGATGCTGACATTTTCTCGAGTGTAGGTGAAAGTGATCAAGATATAATACTGCTTAAAATTTACCAGTTATACGAGAAACAAAGCGTGCCTACATTAGATATCTTAATTAGGAGGCTTGAAAAAGATGAAACCGGTGTTAAATATGGCTGAACTACCTTATGGAAGTGTATTCAACACATGGGTTTTAGATTTAAAAAAAACTGACAAAAGGCAAGTTTTAATGCAATCTTTTAGAATTCGGAAATGGCGACTGGAATATCTAGAAAAAATTAAGATTTACAAAGAACAAAAAAGGCCAATTATTTACTTGCATGAAACCTGGTTCGATACCCCGGAAAAGTGTTGGAATGACTCAACTGATAAGCGTAAAACAAACGCGCCATCAAAAAGAGGTAAAAGAATAACTATTTTGCATGCTGGCTCTAAAGATGGTTGGATTCCAAATGGACTTTCCCTGTCTGCGAAAAATATTAAAGATTCTTCTCTGTATTACCATTACCATTACCATAATAATTAGAACAGGCGATGATAGCGATAGTGATACTGATATATTATATGAATAATTTTAAGTAATTTAAGTAGGTAATAAAAATAATTTGTAATTTTATTTTAGATTTAAACATAAATACATACATAAATAAGTAAATATTGTTTAGTATCTTTCCTAACAAAACCCCAAATAATTAAATTCTAAGCAAAGTACGGACCTGTTCGGCCATATTTCATTCTTACAGCTTGCCCGGCTCTTTCCTTAATTCGTATCAGTTAGTCACTTTCTTATATATATGAACAGACTTTACCCGACGAACTAAAAAGAAATAGCCAGCAGCGAAGCGATGGTGGTATTAGAATACTGGTTGTCGATCCCCAGTCTGACTCCGAACTCCTATTTTTCTTTTCTTGTTTGTTTGTTTTAAATTAATATAGGAAAAAAGAATGTTTAGTTTTGGTAAAGTTTTCCGATTTATTTGGAAATAAGCCTCACCAACGAACCTCGCAACGTTATATGCCTAGTTAAAATTTAAGAACTAGGTTGACGACCATAATTTTTTAAAATACTTCAACTAAACTGAATAAAATATAGAAATAATTTTTTTTTCGGTAATGACTGCAAATGCTAAATTTTGAGCTGTGTGCTATAATTTAACCGACAGTGTTTTGGTAGCCGTTTTCAAGATACTAATAAAGAATTTTCAACACCTCATATTTAAGGTGTTTTGTTTGTGCGTTGCATTTTGTATTGCAGTCAATGTGAGGAACATGAATTCTATAATATGCAATTTGCGAAAAAGGTAATAAATTACCTGCTTATTACACGTAAGTGAAAAATAACTGCTCCAAAAAGAAATGAAAACCCTTGTGATCTAGCTCCAAATCAGTTGAAGCGAAAACTGAACAAATTAAATTAAGCCGGTTTTGATTACCTTCTCTTCTTTATTTTCGTCCAGTGGAAATAGATACTTCGCCAGCAGATCCTTCCAGAACTGCATTTCGTTACTGCTCAAGAACTCCACCTCCCCTTTGCCTACGTCCGGGTCCTCTATCCAATACGGATTAACAAGGTCATCCCTCTTGTTCTGCGGCACCAAAGATGTGCTTTCCGAATCTGATTCCGAGGTAGCGTCTTCTGTTGCCTCTTCGGTGACGGCCCCCAGGTGGTGGTGATCACCGCCGTGTCTAGAAGAAGCCGACATGCTCCGTTTTCTCGACGCGTGACCCGCCGGATCGATGAATCTGAAAAGTTTATCCGCATTTAGACATCCAAGCGAATAAAATTGGTAGACTCACTTCTCAATGTGATCCAAACGTTTTCCCAGCATATCCAATGAATCTCCGATCTGTATTAGTTGCGCTTTTTCGTCGCCAGCTTTCTGATGAGTACACAGCATACACTTAAACAATCCAGCTAGTGAAATCTCGATGCTACCCTCGTCATCCTCGCTTGTACCCCCGCTTTGCAGGAATCCTAACAACGATTTTTGCTTGGCCTTCTTCTTCGCTTCCTCTGCTTGCTTTTTCTCTTCTTCTAGTTCCTAATTTGATATGATTACATGAGTATTACTATTATACTGTATTAGTACTACGTACCTTCTTGGTTTTTTTGACGGCAACTTCACGGGTACCCCATGAAACGTTGTTCAAATTTATAATCGAATACAAAATCAACAATAGGTACATAGAGGGTATGGATAAGAGGTAGATCAATCCGGGCACTATGCACCAGAACTCCTGAGGATGTAGGCACGCTGCTATCCAAAACGAACCAGTCATGGCGATCAGGAATATCGCCGAAGGAGACCCTACGCCGTCTTCGCGTAACTGCAAGGCTGTACCCACTATGACAGCCATCATAATTAATGCGTAACCGGTAGATAATATTTGAGCTACAATTAGTTGTATATTCGATTTGCACGTGAAGCACACCAACATGAAGAACAAGATCGGATAGATGTTGTAGTAAAAACTTGTCCAGTTGTCGATTTGGAAAGCCGCCACGAATGCACCCACTAACATAAGGAATATGGTGCCGGGTCCCAGAATAGTACCACCCATGAGAAGTATTTGGTATCCGATGTACGGCATAGAGATGTTGTCGTTGACTTGTATCGTTCTTTTAGAGTCCATCAGAAGGTCCATGATATTAGCAATAGTCGATGGTACCTATAAAGTGATACGTTGTCATGGTGCAACTAGGGAGTAGGGAGACATCGTACCCAACGACGACGCTGGTTGTAAAACTCGTTAAATCCTTCCGGTGCGTGAGTGTAGGCATCAGACGCTGCCGAATATTCCACACGATAACCCCTCTGGAGGAGCAATGTGCACAGCCAACGGTCTTCGCCCTGATCGTACTGTACGTAGTGCCTAGCTTCAGCGGAACTGAAAAATCCACATGGAAACAACATCTCCGATTTTGTTTTTGTATCGCTTACCAAGTGGTGTACTTCTTCATTACATTGTCATCCATAAGGGCCTTGCCTCTAAAAAGAGAGAAGCACCCGGGACTACAAAGTACGCAGCCGATGACGTGTTCTGTTGCCTTTTGTAGCCAGTGACCGATCGCGTATTCAAAAAGTTGGTACCAGACCATCGGACCCGAACCCACTGGATGGATACGACCACAGGCGGCTCCTAGAAATGAAATCATAAATTGGAATAGTAATTTTCAAATCTCAATATAGAACCTTTCAAATACATGCATATAAATATCCGATATGGACTTACCTAAATTTTTATTCTTTTTCATCAAATCGATAAGCAAGAGCACAGCCGAAGGTTGAAAGTCGATATCCCCATCTAAAGTCAAAAGGTATGTATTTTCCGCGATGCACTCTTTTCTGTCTACTGATATGGGCAATTCCATTAGTCTGTGGCCCAAAAGGTAGTACATGTACATCACTTGCGACCACCGCTTCCTGTGCCTGATTTTCATCTTATCTTTCAAATGGGCAATCATCTTAGTTTTCCCTGGTAGTTGCCAAATCAGTCTTCCTCCATACGGAGTGGGTATTTTCTTAGGAGGTCGGACGCGGATACGGGTGTGATGCACGTCAGAAGCCGCTTCGTCGATGGTGGCTACTAGCAGCTTGACGAATCTGTTTACCTGCGTATCGTCGTCGTTATGGTCGGCGATTTCAAACGCGTCGTCGAAGAATATATGAGCTGAAACAATTTACGCTTCACTATTTAGTTAAAGCCAATTTACCAGGTTATTACTTTCGAATTCATAGTAATCCGGATCCACAACTCTCAGATATTTCTGTGCTACTCTCCTGGCTGACTGATCCTCGTCCAATCTCAAAATCGACTTCAAGAACTCCATCATCTCCTCTTTGGTTTCATGCCACATCGTAGCGCACGCATAAATCCTCGTAATCTGATCGGAGCTCTTAACCGTCTTTGGAGAAGAACCATCAGTATGGTTCGAAATGGTTTCGTAATATTCGTCAGCCTTTTCCTTTTGTATTTCATCCAGATCTTCGGTTTTGACGTCAGCCTCGTCGTCTCTTCTCCTGTTCATTCCCATACTTTGATCAATCAGGAGTCCTTCGTACATGGGCGTGACGTATAGCTTCTCAGTTCTCGCTAAACGTTCGCACTTCGGCGTCCAAATGTGAAGAGTAATCCAGGTCTGAGACAGCAGCCACAGTAGCCATATCCAAGCGTGTTGGTGAGAGATGAAATCGTTCAAGAAAGTCACTGGAGGACTTTCGAAAAATAGGTAGTCTGGTATGGTCTCGTGGAAGAAGCACGGATCCTCGTTCCTTAATCCGCAAGCGGCTATTAAAAGAGACACGCACACGGGAATGGTGAGATTAACAGGGAAGGCGTACGAAAATCCCTGGATCATGATTTTGCATGCGAACTTTCCGAAAATATAGGCCAAGTAAGACGCGAATACATTGATGAGTAATACGTAGATAGGGGCCATGTCGTTTGACATCACTACAGTGTCGTCTCCTGTGGGTATGATTTCCGATATGTCTGGAAGCACTGTACCACCCAGCACTGGTTTGATCTGCAAGTATGAATCAGTTCTGAAATATTAAAGCAAAGATATAGGTTGTGGCGACTTACCTCTAAGACCGATATTGGATGAGAGTTGAATCCATGTGAGAATTCCGTGAAGAAAAATGCTATCTCGCCTTCTTTAATGAGTGTAAGGAAGAGTATCGTTATAAAGAAACATAAAATCTTCCAAATTGAAACGAACATGTATGTAAAATAGCGGGTCTGATCAAAAGATTCTCTCATCTTTCCGAGGCGTTTTATGAAAGGTATTGGTGAATACTTTGATATGTAATTCTCCCACCACCCAAGCGACACCAGAAATATCGTGACTGGGATGAGAAACAAATCGGGTTTTTTCTCTACCAAGGGCCATACAACGAATCCCGTAGCCTGACACGATATTGCTATCAGATCCATGATGACCTTGATGAACCTTTGGGATTCTTTATTGTTCCTAGATAACAGACCTAAAACCGTAAAAAAATACATTGAGGAACAATTAAGAAGCTTAAGCCTGCGAACCTAGAATTCCTGGGACGAAACATAAACAGTTAGTAAGCATGGCTCCTTTAACAACATCGATGTCAGGCAGAACGTAGAAAACCAATATACCTAAGCCGATGGTATGGGCAGTTTCCGGGATTAGTACCATTAGGAAATGCGCGAAAGACGGTCGTTTGGATGACTTGAAGTAACACATCCTGGTGGATCTGAAGAGCGATCCTAATTGGGGTATGCAGAATGCAAAAAATATACACCACATCCACGCAACTCTTTCCACGGTTGGTAACTTGACTAAAAATTGTTTTTCTCTACCTGAAAAGTGAAAACATAAAACAATAAGTTTGGAGCAATGAAATGCCGAGCGACGCTCACCTAAATCCCTATTGCAATAAGATATGACCTTGTCAGGTTTGAGTTGCGAGGTCATAAACAATAGAGTTCCTTTGGATATAACCCCAGATGCTAATACTATAACGAAGGTAACTAGATAAGCTATAACTTTAATTATTTTGACACTAATTTCGAGGCATTTTTGGTTCGCCATCGAACCCGATTCCTCCTTGATGGGAGGGTCCCTGAAGACGTCCCAGCCATTGGTTTCGGGCGTTGTTCTTGTGCTGGAATGATAAAAAAAGCACGGTGACTCTTTGTCTTCGACACGAACGTAGTTCCGGAAGAGCGATTCGGCAACGTACAGACAATGGGCCTAAATGCCAAGGAGAGCTTGGTTTTTAGTTCGCTTTAAAAACTGATATTAACGTAACGCGGCACCAAGTATACGGGAGAAGAGATGGATTGATCGATATGGACCGGATTGAGCCTTGACGTTTTCAAATTGATAATTATATGCCGAGCGAAAGAAAATTGCCGTATTAAGTACTTGAAGATATGCCCAGATTATATGGAATTAAAATCCGATTTAATAAAAAGTAATCCTTGATACAGGTGTTCCAGCAAAAGTTAGTTTTTGCTGATGTTTTGTTGTGTTTGTGCAGCAATTATTATTATTTAATTTATTTGGTTGTTTAAATTTTATGTTTCCGATTAATATATTATTTAATTTTCATTTATTAAATTGAAGGAATACGTCTATTCTCAAAGATAAATACTATTACTATGTACAACGAGATCCTCTTAATCAATTTCCGCAGACAAAATAGACAGACTACTTTAGTACGAAAAAAGGGGATTCTCAGAAAATGACATCTCAACGTTGCAAAAATTAGTCTTTGTAGACAAAACTTAGATATTTGATTTAAATCATTTGTGACTTTTAGATTGGACGCACTTAAGAAGGGTACATCTGACTATAAAAGTATATCCAACAAGTTTGATGAACGACACTTTAGTCACGAGTTTGTTTTGACACGGAGCGCAAAGGAGAAATGTTATATAAATTTTGTGGAAAAAATTATCAAAATGTTGGCATATAATGCTTTTTAGACGACCATTAATTTTTTGTTATATTTTTGCAAAAGAACACATTCGTCAAAATATTACGTAAGAACTGGCCCGCGACGGTGCGACGTCTTAGAGTCAGACTTGCCGTACTCTTGATCCATTGATAATCGGATATTTTAAAATAGGGAGTCGAGAATTATCCCACAAAAATAGTAATAAATATTAAACTAATACGAAAGTAAATCAAAAAATAAATTTTTTGAACTTTATTCATTTTTGCCTGACATAGCACTCTCTCTAATACTAATTGGATTTGATTGTTGCAGTAAATTGCCATGAAGAGAAATTTTTTGATAAATCATAAAATCAATTATATGAAATGAAGACGACGTGATATTTGTAGCCGAAAGGTTATGCCAGTGCGGCCCTGCTTGGTATCTGAAAATATCGCAGCAGGCCGAGAAAGTTTGCCGTTCACTTTTGTTGAAACTGGATCTATAGGCGGCCTTGCCACGAATTTTTTTCCGCTTTATTGTTATTAACAAATATACTTCACGTTGCGTCGGCGTTTTGTTAATAAGGGAGTGTCGTATACAGTCGCATTTTAATGGTTAGTGTCACAAAGGTTGATTACTTTTCCTGTGAAGTTGCGCAATTAAAAAAAAATGGAGATAATTCATCAGGAAGACTGGAATATATCATTATTTGATCACATCCTCTGATTTCGTCCAACTTAAAATAAACCGGAAATCGTAACTAAAGCAGTATAAATTTGACAAAATAAATAAGAACTAAAAGTTCAGATTTTCACGAAATTATATATTATGACATGACAATTGTTTCGACAACACCGTGTCTTTATCAAATTTGATTGACATTGACATTTGATAAAGACACGGTGTTGTCGAAACAATTGTCATGTTAAAATATGTAATTTCGTGAAAATCTGGACTTTTAGTTCTTGTTTATTTTGATAAATGGATTTTCATCAAGTAAAAGCCACCTCAGTTCAATTTTTGAAAGAAGCTGAAATTGGTTTCTTGGCTATTTGGTATTTTAAATTGCTTCTACGTTGCCGAATATGTTCCCAAAACATTTGGTTTTTTAACAAATGTCTGCAAAATAAGGTTTTTCCCAAATACATAAAGTTAAAAACCAACAACAGAAGTCCCGCTGCAAGGAAAGCCCAAATCCAAGGCCAGACGAAATGGATGAAGGAAGAACGAAGACACGAGTATAGAAAACGGGATTCAAACAACATTTATGTAAAGGTAATACATTCTGAATTGTCTCATAATCGCATAGAATTTGACACATTTAATTATAAAGTTCGAACAGACATTTCATCTATCATTCATAAAAAGTTTATTAGACAAAAACTAAAGTTAGACAAATTAATTTCTAATTCAAAAATAGCTGAAAGCAAGCCAGTTATTACAAAGCATACCGACCATCAATTTTACAATAGGTTCATAAACTTAACAGATACAACATATTCCAAAAATGAAGTGGAATTTCTGGAAAAATGTTTCAACTTTAACTTACAACACTCTTACATTAATAGATAAAGACACGGTGTTGTCGAAACAATTGTCATGTCATAATGTATAATTTCGTGAAAAGCTGAACTTTTAGTTCTTATTTATTTTGATAAATGGATTTTCATCAAGTAAAAGCCACCTCAGTTCAAGTATAAATTTGGGTGAATCGTTGCAAAGTAAAACATATTTCCTCGTTCTGTATTTTGAACGGCGGATCTTACCTAACTACGGAATATAAAAATTAACGTAACATTCAATTTTCGCTTTCTTGGAAGGCAAAAAGTTATAAAAAAATATTTCAACGCGTGTCAAACTTATGTAATCGTGCGCTCCAATAGTTTTCGTTACACAAACTTTTTCAACTACCGTAAATACGTGTATTTGTTGGTTCTAGGTATAACTATTTTATGTATTTTGTTTGGGTCCCGCCTTAATCGGAAACGAAGGTATCGTATCAGTTAGTCACTTTCTTATATCTATGAACAGACTTTAACTTTCCATTTTCAAATGTCTCGCCTCATATATTTTGAATTCAGCAATTTTTTGCTTTTTTCGATTTTTTTGTTGTAATCTGTTAGTTGTTTGTAACACTTATCTAGTTCAAAATAAATAAAAACTAAAAGTTCAGATTTTCACGAAATTATATATTTTGACATGACAATTGTTTCGACAACACCGTGTCTTTATCAAATGTAAGATTTACAAGCTATCTACTACTATATATACCGAAAAATGACCATAAAACCTTAATTAATGTTGTTGCGAGAATTTAAGTTCAATAAAGGAGAGGTATTTAAATCTAATTGATCGTTAAGCAATACATTTGAATATCTCATTTTGTTAATCTCCATAGCTTCCAATAAATTTAATTTTCTACTTTTTGTGTCTGTATGTTCATGTGTGTTCACACACGGATACGGACACGGATGGAAAATTACAACAAAGAACTTAATATCATTAAACAAATTGCACTGAACAACGGCTACAATCCGTCCATTATAGATAAAATTATAAATAAAAACCAAAACAGACAACAGTAAACTCTATTTATCCGAAACCTAATACAGAACACGAACAATTTAAAACAATTACATACATAGGAGAACCTAGTGAAAAAGTTTCAAAACATTTGTCAAAATGTGGTTTAAAAATAGCTTTTAGAACTAACAACACAATAGGAAAATATTTAAACAATAATAAATCGAAATGTACAAAATCCCAAAAATCAGGTGTTTACAGGTTGAAATGTGGATCTTGTCCTAAAATTTATATTGGACAAACAGGTAGATCTTTCAAGAAACGAATTAACGAACATATAAGAGCGTTTAAAAACAATAGTCTACATTCTAATTATGCTACACACTTAAACACAGAAAAACACATTTTTGACAACAATTTTGATATATTACGTACAGCCACAAAAAGTAGAAAATTAAATTTATTGGAAGCCATGGAGATTAACAAAATGAGACATTCAAATGTATTGCTCTCCTTTATTGAACTTAAATTCTCGCAACAACATTAATTAAGGTTTTATGGTCATTTTTCGGTATATATAGTAGCAGGTAGTTTGTAAATATTACATTTGATAAAGACACGGTGTTGTCGAAACAATTGTCATGTCAAAATATATAATTTCATGAAAATCTTAACTTTTAGTTTTTATTTATTTTGATAAATAGATTTTCATCAAGTAAAAGCCAGTTCAATACTTATCTAGTTATATATTGAGTATTAAAAATGATTTCAGCAGGTTTATAATCAGAAGGGGGCGTATTAAAAAAAAAACAGATAAATGCCATTTTATATTAAAGTTACTATAAAGAAGGTCATCAACGGTTTTAGTGTGAGTCCAATAATGACCACAAAGGAAAAATAATTTGTAAAAATTCAAATCTTCATTATTTTCCCAATATTATGAAATGTAAAACCTAAACAACAACATTTTTTTTAATGGTACTATTTTTCAAATGTTTAAGGGGAAATATAATATAGTAAGTAGTAGTTACACTTACATTACCAGATATGCTAAACGAATTTCGAATTTTGTGCCAAAGCTTTCAACAAAAAAGAGTTTTTAACGAAGGATGTTTTAAAACAATTAAACAAAAAATACACCACCTGGATCCAGAAATTGAAAGAAATTGAAAATCTAAAAATCCACCCCCTAATTATTGTCAAGTTTTGAATGTGGTAAATGTATTTTGTTACAAATAGGAATATTTTTTCATATATGCCATAATGAAATGTAACCTTAAACTTAGTAATATTTCAAATGCAACACCGCACGAATGAAATGAAAAATCTGGAATACTGGGTAGCTCATCGTTACTGCGGGATCCTTTCCCAAAGTTGAGTATATGAACGTGTTTGTGTATGAAGTATTGTTAAGCTCTGTATTATTCGCGAAACACATACGATATGCGGCTGGCTTTAGATTACTAAAAGGTATCGTCAACACAGTTCAATAATTTCTCTGTAGTTTACATAGACTTACAGGGCAGTAGTTCTGTTATATAGTCGCAGATTGAAAAATACAGATCAGGTGATCTGGATGGTCACTTTAACAAAAAAAAATCAACAGCACATCTTAAAATTTGTCAAAATTAAAGCCAATTAGAAACAACGCTGGGGTTTGACTGACTTTTGATAGAAACCCGTTGAAAATAGGTACAGGGGAAGATCTATATAAATCAATGATCGATATCAAATAGCAAAAAATAATCAAATTCTGTTTGAAATAGTGAAGTTGGGTGCTCTGAAATAGTTATGAGATTTTCATTGATACAAATAACTTTTTATTCAAAATCTGTAATTTGTATTGAATCATACAGCCACATAATAGTCACAAGGAAAAGTCATTTGGTTTCAGAAAGCTTCATAAAATATTCTGCGGGATATTTGTTACTTTATACCGTATATAAGTAACCACCATGAGCCAAATGGAGTATACCTAAAAGCGAATACAAATTTAATCGAAACGCTGTCAAAATCTCGAAGTGTCTTGAGAGTGCGACGACACCAAAAAGGCAAACAAACGTCCTTCACAGAAACGCTACGGCTCCGAAATCCGCCTTCGTGGACAGGGTGTTGCCCCAAAGCTCTTTCCCGTTCCTTTATTCGCCGAAGGCCGTACGCGGTGCCTCAAAGGTCAGCGTTCTTGAGCCGTTCGCCAAGTCACAATGTGCAGTCATTGTAATAAAAGTAAATATCCGCGATATATCGCGCGCCCACACTTATTTATTTGCATTTTTTTTTCGCCATACGCGAGCGTACATTGTGCATGGAAACTGGTTGAATTATGCCGCTCTCGAGAGTCGATACCCAAGCCCCCTAGCACAAGAATTGAGTATTTTTTAAGTCTCTCCGTGTTTCTTTTGTCGCGTTTATCGGCTCGTTATCGTACGTTCCAAGTCAAAACTAGTCGGAGGTTTTTTTTTTTCGGGTACTTGCAGGGTTATTCGTTATACTGGGTGATTCAGTTACAGCGCCCTGTTAAAAGTTTGGAGAAGAAATATAGAGAACTTTTTTGGACAAGTGTCGGAAAATAATTTAGAATTATATAAAATTTAATATCTACGTGATGCAAAATTTTTCTCTGCAGTATTTCTACAGGTTAAAATGGCAATAAGTGAATATAAATAATATATATTACTTTATTAAGTTAAAAACAGGCTAGAAAAAATACTTGACTTGGAAAAAGTATTGGTGTCGTCGCATCGTAGACAGAGAATACTAATAATTTGATGTTTTACTGAAATTTTATTATCTGCTTTTATTGTGGAAAGAAATAATTCTCTCTGGTGGCGTTTTCGCGTTTTCATCATTATCAATTTAATAAAAATAATTTTAATTTGTCTAACTCAACTACACTTCTGACTGTATACCTTAAAATAGTTGTTTCTACTCCCGTCTGTAAAATACCTAACTACACACCGATCTAGCATATGAGAAGCATCACTTTACCACGTCAGTTTCGTTTCCCACGAATCCGAGCCAAAAATGTATCCAAAAACTACAGAGAAAAATGTTATGCAATATATCAGACAATTTAAAAACTACGTGCTATAAGCTAAAATCTAGTGTACTAGTCGGTAAGTAAAGTGACATTTATAATTTAAGTTTCTCACAGAAATTTTTCAAATCGTTCTCATGAAGTTTGGTGGTTTTTACAGTTTTTATATTAATATCTTTCGACCAATTGTATCATTTTGAAATATCCATGTCTCATCAGTACAAACGAAACAAAATTGAAGATTAGGACCTGCTTTTTCTTGCTTATACGATGTTAAAAATTTAATTGTCTTAGAAGCTCTACCTTTAGATGATTTTTTTTATAATTATAGTCTTCTTCTTTAAATAAACTACTTAACGATTAACTGCAAAAGTTTAATAAACAACATAACGTTTTAAAATGGTGTTTATTCCGTTGTTTATATGACATATCCAATAATACATCTCTGTCTGTCTAACCTACACAGTTAAAAAGAGACAACAACAGTAGATCCGATCGGAACGATCAATGAATAGGTTTAATGGCAACTGTACAATGTGTTGTGAATTTGAATGGTACGAAATTTAGTAATCTGATAATCTGTTATTATTTGCAATTTGTTCAATTGTGATTTTTTCGTGCCGGTCGTAGAAAAAGTATAGTATGCAGCACGTTTGGTAAACTCTTTATCTCACTCGTTTACTATGCACTGGCTCCGCTTGTACCAAATAAACTCGTGAGTCAAATGCCGTTTACCGCACTTGTTGCCTAATGTACTATTAAAACGTAGATTATTCCGTGTTATTGCCGAAATGATCTATTACTCTACTTAAATATTTAAATTAATCCATACAAAATTGATGTTATCTAAAATCATTAAATCAATCTTACGTACAACAAAACTTAATAACAAACTTGATAGAAACTATTTGAGTTACCACTTTGATTTGGCACGAACATAGCGAATTCCCGAGAAAGCAGTGTACTATTTTTTTTCTATCACCATTAGTTTTTGGGTATATTTTTGCAAAACAGTACGAATACATCCACCAAGTGAAATGTGACGTGATTGTCAGAATTGACAAACGTCATAGTACCATCCTTACCATCCTTACCCGTGCCTAAAGTACCGGAAATGCCTGGAACTGGCTCTCAACCGTGTGTAATAAAGCTGACATCTTAAAATAACTCTTCTCTCGAGCTTGACTCGTACATAATTGGGTGTTTAAAGAAGGGAGTAGTGATATCCAGAATAATCTAACAGAATAAACTAACAAGAAGTTAAATTTTGGATTTTTTGCCAAAATAAATATAAATTTTAAATCTAACTGGTATGTTTTTAACAGTCATATTAAAAATAATAGATCGATTGCTATTACGGTCTTTAAATCATTATTATTTATAAATTAAGAGTTGGTATGTGAGTTACTGTTATAATGGTCGTCAAAGTTACGGAAAGTAAAAGTTCAAGGAATTTATTAAAAACTATATGAAGAAAATTATTGGTTCCACTTTCGAGTCTATTTCAAACATCTTCAAAAGTCTGTCAGTCAGTCCTTCCTTCAGTTAAGCTCTTAAAAAGCAAACAGAATGATGACCGACGCGGGGGGAATCCAGAACATTTGTAAATAGTTTATATCGTTTCGAAAAAAACTAGTTCGAATGAAATTTCAAAAAAATGCTGATTCCCTCGCAAACCACATAAAAACATCTGCTCTAAAACAGGTTAAGATAGTTGTTAGTTTTTGTTAGTATAGAAAGCGAATTTTGTATTATCACATTTTGCACACTTTCCCGTTGAATACTATTAAATTTTTAATTAGCCAATTTGTAATATTTTGAATATTATTTAACACTAAAAAATGTTTGAGGCTTTGCAACTTATTGTTTATTGTTGTAAAAGCCGGAAAACTGACATTTTTTGCCTCCTTCTGACTTGACACTTTAAACTTACCTGCCTCCGTAAATGTTTTCCGTAAGAGGTGAACTTTCGTCGTCTGAAAAGTTGTCACTGTATTCGTCATTTCGCAAGCCATTGGACGTCATTTCTGAAAATAAAGTAAAAAATCACCCGATGATATTAAGAGACCCTTCTAAATGTGATTTGTAAAAAATGGGCTCATTATTCAGTTTCACAATCTAGGTTTGACGTAACCATTTTATTTTATGAAAATTTTTGGTAAAATATGCACTTGAATGTATACATATAACCTTCTGATATCCAGTTGTTTATGCATGAAATTTTACATACTCAGTTTAGGCGGGGCTCGGTAACTAGATGTTTGTTTCCTTGAAAGGAAACGGTGGAGCTAAGAAACAGCCGCCGGTCACGTTGATTTTGCTCTTTGTTGTCGTAAAAACCATCGCGATACCTTTAATCGGTTTGGGTAGCTAAAAATACGCAGACTGTTTTTAACACGCGTCGCATTCTTAACTTTCTCCCTTGGTCAAACGTAATATTAATAAGCATTTCAAACTAATTAGAACAAATGTTCTCCGTTTACAATATGCTAAACAGAGATTTTGACCTTCGATAGTCATATATTTTTGTATTATGTTACGCTGTCTTGGTGGTCAGAATAAGTGGCTAATACGACGTCAATCTGCGAAGGCTAGTGATTAACATACAGTTTGACAGGCTTGCTGGAAAAGAATGTTTGACCTCCATATTATATTTCACGAAGAAACGAAATAAATAGCTTAATTTGTATTAATTGTATAATTTTAATTATTCAAAATGAGGCACGTACTTTTTTTTCAAATTTACCTTTATTGATAAAGTTTGTGTCCCCATTATGTCATTAAAAGTGAAAAACATTTTCGAAATGTTTTGTTGTTTTCAAAAAGGTGACACCTTGTACGTATTCATTTATCTCCGCGAAACTACATCGTATCAGCAGGCAGTAGTTTGTCGTATTCTCATTAAAAATTAATTGTCATTTGTGAAGACCAGGTGGTAATTGCGTTGCCAAAATTTGCGTTGGCTTAGTGTAGCGATTTTACAAAATTTTCCTAGCGATTTTGGTTAGATTTGTCAGTTATATCCATATTATTAATGTTCACTTTAAACAGTAAAATTTAATTTATGCATTTGACAGTACATTTTGTGGGATAGCTAACTGGAATAAAATCAGTAGTTATTATCTAACATGAAATGATCAATCCCCTTGAGGTGACCGTTGCAAGCCCCCAAATTTTCTGAACAGAAGTAAGAGCTTGTGATACTTCATTTGAAAGGACTTTTCATTAAAGACAAATCAAAACTACTATGAATATTTTTTTTTCAGGAATGAGCAGGAAAGCGATAAATATTAATGTTTATTGCAGAAATTAACAGTATCTTTGAACGCAGCTTAGGTCTTTTTGTTCGTCTGTATATTGGACTATATATTGAATGGCTCGATATTGGAATAATCTAAATTATACACCACAAACTTTTTTTTCTACTCCCGTCTGTAAAATACCTAATTACGCTGATCTAGCGTGCAGGAAGCATCACTTTACCACGTCAGTTTCGTTCCGGGATTTTACCGCACGGGTTTGGGAGCAATCGAATGATTTCGGAGATATTTTTCACTCCTTGAATTTGACGTTTTGACTAACGGTCGTAGAAAAAGTATAGTATTGCATACGTGTTGCATACTATACTTTTTCTACGACCGTTAGTTTTTGGGTAGATTTTTGCAAAACAACATGAATACATTCGCTGACATGACCGTCAAAATTGACAAACGTCAAAATTCAAGCCGTGCAGTAAAATCTTCGAAATCATCCGATTGCTCCCAAACCCGTACTTTGAAATCCCGGAAATTTCTGAAGGGGCTCGGATTCGTGGAAAAGGAAACTGACGTGGTAAAATGACTCTTTCCGCAGGGTATATCGTTGTATAACTTATTTTACAGAAGAGAGTAGAAAATATATTATTGGCTTGCTGAATTTTCACATGTACTTACTAACAGAAAGTCAGACTGGATTGTGTTGTCTAGAAACAATTGAAGTCAATATGTCTTCTTTTTTTTCAGAGTTTATCGAGAAACATTGCAGGATTTAACGAGGTCATATGTTAGTGGATGAACGCATCGACCCTGACGAAAAACTTAGACCGATTATAGCCTTCGATCAGTTAATATCAATATTATAATCTTCAGGAATTTGCATATTGAAACGGGATATGTGGCAATACGAAACAATTGTTTTATATCTTAGCATTGGCGAATAACAAACGTTTCGTAAAGTTGGCGATTTTATCCTGCCAGATATTTTCCGATATCTTTTTCAATCTGCCAGATGCTGCGGTGCGTTATGGATAATGCGTTTGTCGATACCGAATTTATCATGAAAGCGATTACCTACGTGTTGTAAACACAATGGCAGCTAATAATCCAAGCCCGGTTGTCTAAAAAGTTAATCAAACATCGTGTTTAAGAATAGCGGGAAATTGCAAAACGTTCGATAAGGATCTTTCGCCTTCGCATTAACATTTGGTTGCTGAAAATCTCGTTTCATTGGCGCCTCGTTACCGTGTCAGGTGTTCTAACCTAGATAACAGGGGTTCTACTCACTGTGTGAAGAAGGCAAGAGCTCAGTGCATACATAAAATGACATTACACCTCAGTAAACCAACCAACTATAAGCTAGCGTTTTGAATATCCTACCTAAAAATTCTGTAAAAAATGCAAAGGTGAGTTATAACTTAAAACTAAAATAAATAAAAATATAATAGGCGATACTTGAGGCTAATTTATTATTAAATGCAAATTGTGGGACGACGCTTTCTTTAGAAATGAAGAAATGAATTGCCACGAGCACATACTTGTGTGTGCTGTGTAAAATTAAAACAATAGATACAATGGATACAATGGAATCGAGGAAAATTCGACGATTTATTCGAAGTGGGCGTTCCTGACGTTTGTCCCACTTGATATAAAGGGCACGCAGTTAATTCTAAATATGGTGGTATGTTTTTGTTGGTTTAATTTCATGCTCTTGAAATAAAAAGTTCAACTCTTGCCATTTTTAATAACAACAGCTGTGGGGCTATCCATAGAAACAAATAACAGATCTGTTGAATTTTAGGAGTTTTCTCAAATGGACGAAAGACTACGACAACGGGTTTTGGATTGTATGTGTATGTGTTCATATAGGAGAGAAAAACATCTTCAATTGAGAAATATTTGATTAAGACTTTTAAAGTATGTGGGGGAATGTAAATAATGCCATTTTACACGAGAAAATACTTTATTGAGTCTAGGAAAAGGTGGTGAAGAATATAAAATATAAAAACAGCTCATCAACATGATAAACAGGGTTTAAAATCTAGAAAGGTTAAAAAGTTAAATAACCACGGAATTACAATAAACAATATGATTTTACCAGAGCAAAAAAATTTTATTGACTCATTTTAAGATTCAAGAATTTTTATTTAATAATAAGAATACAACAATTTTGATAATTTTTTAGAGCATCTTGTTTATGATATCAAAATATAAAGCGATTTCGATTTGCATGTCATTTTCAGCAAGTATACCAGTATATATAGCAAGACAATGCAGGATGACAATGGAAATTCGCATGGCAAAGATTGGCACAGATATCTTTTTTGCATGTTTCATATTGTAAATTAGATACTTTTCAAATGGAACATTTATTTTTTAATGGTTTGTCGGCAACATTGAAACAAGAAGAAAAATTTCCTTTTCCTATTTTCTGTATTGTGTACTGTATTTTTTTCCCTTTCAATAATAAAACAATAAAATTATAGCAATATATTTTAACTACGAAGAAAAAATCAAATTTCAATGTGGTTAAAAAATATTAGCGAGTGAAAAACATTAAGTAACTTTAAAGTTTAAAAATGTTCATTTAATAATTCCAATATAACAATTTTGATCATTTCTCTGGAGCTTCCGGTTTATGTTAAAAACAATGTTTAAAACTGAATTCTAATTTCCGGTAGCAATTACGGTCTTTTCAACAAACCGGGTGATACAACAAAAGGGTAGACAATTGAATGTGGATAAAAGACGTTGGAATAGTCTGTATTCTTATCTCATGTTTGTTACAAATTAGAGACTTTTTAAATTGGGTAATTATTTTTTTAAACTTTGAAAAAAAAATTTTTCAACATAATGTTTTAACCACAAAGATGCATTTTGCTAATTTGCGATCTAATTTTGTGAAAAACGTTTTACTACTGAAAGAAATCCTATTTCCAATATATTCAAATTCATTAACGGTGGCATAATTAATTTTTTTGGGATAAAGTTCGCAACGCAAGGAGATTTTAGCCACCATCTTAACCATACTAAATGACATTCGCGTGATGTGGACTAAATTCTTCGATCAGAGATATTTCCTGCCTAAAAATATAGCAGCGTATAACAGAAAAAGCCTTGATAAACGAGCAATTTAAGGAGCGGCCATAAAAAGACTTAGTCATTTGAAAAATATCCTTTCACTGTCGTTTTTTGTTATTCTCCATCCAGAGACTTCGATGTTAGGTCAGACGGGCAACGTTTATCCGTACGCTTTATGAGTCTGCAAGATTTATTTCTGCGAACGAGTCGCAGATTTCGAAAGATGGAGATTCCCGCACTTTACACTTAGTCACGTCCTTCGAAAGTGTTCGAGCAGCTATGATGGTACTCTTCTCGCCGCATTATTATAAAACGAAACAAAATGTTTCGACCGTTTAAATTGTTTGGTGGATTTCTTAAAGCAAATATTGGCTTATGTGTGTAACAGCTGCTAGGTATATACCACGACGGAGTTGACCCACTTTCACTCGCATTAATCGCTACTGACCGTTTATTGATGTCGACGTCTCTATTGCACACACCAAATTAAATCTAAAACCGTATACATTTTTGTATGACTGTTATTCTATCACTTAAATTTAATTAAAAGCTTAACACCAATTACATCCCTGTCTTGTCTAATTCTGTTAATTCAGAATCAAAATGGTTGGTTTTTCTGTGTATGCGTACAATAAGTTTTCATTTACCTGTCAAGTTTGACCAAGTAAAGTGATTATATCAATATTAATAAA